AATACTTGTAAATTTTGGTAGAGTTGATTTAAAAACCGCATGAATAAAAGTTAAAATTATCAACCTGTGGAAGAACTGGATGAATGAGGCTGACCATCCCGTATTAATCTCCACCTGGATAATCGATGGTAGTTTCGTAGAAGACTCCACTGATCACACCTCTTCTAGAACAACGAATGAGTGAATAAGTCGATATTTTGGGTTCATATTTTTCTCACAATTCGACGTTCGATTTGAATGTTTTTATGATATTATTCAAATAAGGTTTTCACAGTTTTTAGATATTAGAATCAGGCCACATTGGAAAGGAATTTTTTTCCATTTTTTTGTTAAACATTATTTATAAATTTCATGTAACACTGCTGATTTAATGATGTGATGTCCAGAATTTGAAAGGCACTCATTGCGGATACTTTTCTGACGAAGAAAATTCCATTAATTGTCGATAATTTGTTGAACTTTGTTTCCGTTTTCTGATATTTACAATCTTTGCTGTGCTGTTTTGGATTACTATGTTGCTAAGGTGCAAAAACCTGTCATATTTTTTGGAAGAACATTTAGTATACTTCTGTGAGATTATAAGGATATTGAGAAATAAATTGGTGGAAAGACATCAACTTTGTCAATTATACCTTGACTAAATCGTTTATGGATCAAGATTTGATGCTAGTGAGCAATATTTTTTATTGTTTTAGAGTTTATCGCTATTTACTGTATATCCCTGCAGTTGTAAAAATTGGTTTCGTTTTCAATAATATGTGGAAATAAAGTTTATAATAATGCTGTATCGCAATGGAATTCATTAATAAAAAATATGTCGTCTTACAAGAAATACTGAGCGCATGTTTTTTATTACAATATATTTGCATGGGAACGATGATTTATCGTGCAATGTTAATAAACAGTTGTTGGTTTCTTATGAATGTAATATTCCGGAACTAGTAGTTATATGCTGAAGTATCAGTAAGTAAAATATTTTTACTTTTAGCCTGTACGTATGACTCATTTATATCGGTGAGAAATTCCTTGATTTATAAAGTTTGCTGCAGTGGAACTACAGTTGTAAAAATCGTCCTATTACTCAAAGTGTGTCATTGCCTGTATCTATGCTTATTGAATTTATAAAGGCCTATATGCGAAAAATATTTGCTGTTGTTACTTCAGTTTGGTTATTAAACTGCTTGTACTGTTCGCTGCATGTTCGCTGCTTGTACCGTTCTAGTTTATCAAAAAACTAGACTATACAATGATTCCAAGTCAGGCGTATCTTGAAATAGTCCTTGTTTCGTCGAAGAATATAATGATACAGTTTTTTTACAGATAAAAGTTAGGATTGGAAGAATGACGAGTTCCCTGCCAAGACGTATTACAAAAGAAACGCTGCGCCTGATGAATGATCCAGTGCCTGGCATTTCAGCAATACCGGATGACAGTAATGCTCGTTATTTTCACGTTATTATTGCTGGTCCCGAAGGTAGCCCATTTGCTGGTGGTGTTTTTAAGTTGGAACTTTTCTTACCTGAAGAATATCCGATGGCTGCACCGAAGGTTCGATTTATGACGAAAATTTATCACCCGAATATCGATAAGTTGGGACGAATATGTTTGGATATTCTGAAGGAGAAGTGGTCACCGGCACTTCAGATACGTACCGTTCTACTCTCGATCCAAGCGTTGCTCTCGGCGCCAAATCCAGATGATCCATTAGCGACAGACGTTGCGGAGCAATGGAAGAATAATGAAAGTGATGCGATACGCACAGCGCAAGAATGGACACGTACTTACGCAACTGGTGATTGAATTGTTTCAATGTAGTCACGTGTCAACGTGGTCACGTTATTCAAATTTATGCACTCAAAACATTCTTTGTTTTCTTATTTGAAATTATTAGTGTGATTAGGTATGATCTGCGAGATTCTGCGCTCTTGCCGTTTGCAAAATTTTATGTTCCTTATTTTTTAAGAAGTATGAGGAACATTAGCACCTTTTGATATTATATTTCATAATTTGTCTAGCTACACCACTTAGAAATATAATTGTTTCGCCATCAAATGCTATTCGAGTTAATTTGTAAATTGTTATTGGACTTTATAATTGAATTTTTGTCACATATAGAGAATCTGCTCATATCATATATCTAGAATCAATTTCTTCGAGAAGTGAATGCACGAAGTGCGGTCCATCTTATGCTTTCTTTAACGCTGTCTTGATATCGTTTCTTCTTATAGCAAATTTATAACACTTATGGTTTTATTGCGGAAAGCAATTATGCTTCGATTTCAAAATCCGTTTTTCTTTATGATGAGGGTCTCTATTAAAGCTTCTATGGATTCTTTGAATTGGATAATGATTTCCCTTTTTCTTTTTCATATTCAGAGAATGTAATTATACATAATGAAGATGAAATACTCTTTTTTAATGCAAATCTTTTTTTAATGGGCTATTTCTTCATAATTTCTCATAGAATCTATTTGAAAGTGCCTTATGTCAGACTGAACGTTTTCGTGATAGAATCAAAAGGGCACTTGTAGTTGTTTCAAAAGGACAGGGGAGCCAGATAATATCAGTATTTAATAGCTTCAGTACAATGTCGGTAATTCGGAACTTATGAGAAAGTTATATTTGTGAAATACATGTCTAAGTGCCAATATAATTTTAATTGTTCTCCAGGAAAAATGAAATGAAGGTAATAAGCGAGCAAGCATGTACACGAAAATTAATTTAGAACATAGCAAATAGCCGATTATTCAATAACACGCATTACAAAACAATTAAAACGAAATGGTGCAGACATCAGTGATACGGATTATAAGGATAATAGGGAAAACGAACGATACATCTTTCCGTACATAAAATGCCACTTGAAAGGCGCTTCAAGTGGATGAAAGAAAGAAAAACCACCGTTAAGATTTAACCATGTTAGGAACACTTTTGCTTATCATAATGTTTTTAAAATGTGTCAGTCTAATTATTCTTTAGGGAAGTTGATGTTTCTAATCCATAATGTTATGTCCTCTAGCACTTAAATCATGGAATATTGTGTGAAATATCCCTTCGCAATATACTTCATGATTTAATACGGGATTCAGATCAAGAGACCATTATGCCCATATAGGCATCAATTCCTAATCCATCCAAGCGAAACGGAAATGTGGAAAATTAGGAATTGTAAAATCGTTTTTCAAATACTTCTTTTCATATTGAAACTGATAACATTTTAGCAAAGCCAGAAGTTCGAGAAACTGACGACCAAATGCACTAGCACCAGCATGAGCCTTCCTCCGTCTCTATCTTTCTTGGTTTAATAGGACCAATTTCAATCACCGGATCTATAATATGGCCGTGGATCAAATTAGAAAATCAGGTGTGTTCCTGCAATTTCCCAACTCGATTTTTTAATGTATCTAAAATATTAGCAACTTACCCTTGATTTCCTATGAATGTCCTTGTCGCCTGGAGTGGCCTTTAGTGTGTATTTAATCTCGAACTCCAGAGAGTTCAGAAATCATATAAAGAACAATAGATAATAAAAAATGGAATTCATCACACAGTTATAAGTTAACTTTTCTGTAAGAAACTTCTGACAAAGTATAATGTCCACAAATTCTTAACTTTCGAAAAACTATGTACTCTCCATGTATCACAGCAGAAAGCTATGACATTTGTTGGGATTAGTTGATTTCGAAAATTTTTGTTAGGTCCTTTATTAACTTGGAAATAGGAAAAAAATGTTAATAAACTCGGAAACATTTTAAAGTGGCTGGATAACCTGAGAAACTTAAAACAGTAAGTGATGGATCCGTCTCACTAATCATTAGTGCTTAACGACTGTAATATATTTACCGCAGTTATTATGGATCCTTATAAACAACACATAATACAACGACATGTTTAAAATATTGAGCTACCAACGATGACTTTGTTTGAATTTGTTATCTCGAAAGCAGCATTCTACTAATCACACTGTTCCATACATTAAGGGAATTTTCTAAATTTTAAAAACCAAAAATACAAAAATTCAGGAATGTATATAGGTTGCTGTGGAGCTACAACAATTCATACAAATTCATAGATAGTTATCGAAGTACCCACGAAAAGAGGAAAAAAAGTAAAAGAATAACAATAAGCAATACAATACAGTACACGCTGACGAAAGAACAGCCTTCGCTAGAAATCGATGCCTCAAATTCTATGTAAAGTAAAGGAGAATTCACTAAACTGAGATGAAGTACCAAGTTTTCCACGCAATTCACGTCATGAAAGTAGGACAACCTTCAACAAATCAACAGCAACACCATTCGAAATATATTAAAGCCATTGTATTTTTAGTGTCGATAATAATATGTATGGAAATATCTTGCGAACTTAAGCAATTAAATTTCATTTTTTTAAACGTATCTGAAATGCAGATAGTTGTTCATCATTAACATAAACATGCATATAAAGCGGATATATTGAATTTTCTCCTCATATAAGCTAAAAAAAATACTCTGAACAGACAAAAGCAGAATTGTACATATTAGTGACTCGAATTTTATGATTGCAAGAAAAAAGGCAAAAGTAAAGGAGCTTCAATTTAACTAAAAATGGTAACGGTAAATATAATATCATTTTGACACTGCGCGCAACGCTGAATGCATGCAAATATATCAAAAACCGAATAATGTTTTATGGCGGTGATATCCTAGTTGATAATTTTTGGTGCTAAAGCAACAGTGATGGCCTCAACACCAACAACCACTTTCTTGCATTTGAACCTGACGAATAGGCGCATCGCTTAGCTTCACTTCTTGCACTACAAACAGAAAACATGCAATAGCTCCACACCAACTGTATCTTCTCCAGATCATTTTATAGTGACATGATTCAATACAATTACAACAAAATTTTGATAAATTGTTCACTCTTGGAGCTATTATTTTATTGATGCTAAAATGCCTCTATTATTGACAGCTCTCTGAAGAAGTACTCAGTTTAATCGGTGATCTTCTCTGCTACAGATGGAGTAATTTTGATTAAATCCTATTGGCTCTTACGAAATACATAGGTCCCAAAGTAACGAAATATGTAAATGACTTGGATAACGAAAACTTCCAAAAGTTGTAAAACATCTTGTCAAAAACATTTTTGTTCACTTCTTGGATTTTTTAGCAATTTCAAAAATGATGAAACTAAAATCACAAAGTTCGAAGATGAATTAAAATTACGAGCGGACTGAAAAATGAATTCTGTGATAGGTGATGGGGAAAATTAAAAAACATACTATCATGCTTATCCCTCTGATCAGCCTCGATGCCGGGCAGCGCTCCAGCAATACGTCGAAAAAGCTGAAAAATTAAATTGATCTGCTGTAAATTTTCAATTTCATATCCGCTAAGTGCAATTCAATAATTCAGATTCAAGACCAGTTACCTGCTTCACATTGTATCCAGCTTTTGCCGACGTTTCAATAAACATAACGTTCAATTCCTTCGCTTTGCGCTCACCTTCTTCGGTAGATACTTGCCTGAAATCTTTTAATAGCATCCTTTTTTAGTCTTTTAGCATTTAGCAACTTTCAATCTAAAATGAGTAGAAAATATGCAAATGTTGGTCTAATATCCAAAGATTCATAAAGAATATCGCTTCGTTTATTTATATGACAATGAATGCACTTGCTAATACGACTACTAGCAAGAATCTTTGCAAAAATCATTAGTGTGTCATCAGATGATAATTGAATTTCATACTGCTGTATTAAATGTCTAATTTGAAGACCAGTCTGAAGTTCAAAAACAGTCCAAAAAAACAACAAAAAAAACAAATATATATATTAAAATTATATTCGAAATGATGTTCTGAAATTAAATTTACCGTTTGTCTGCTAAATCAGTTTTGTTGCCTACAAGCATAATGATAACATCACTTCCTCTTTCAGTGCGAACATCATCAATCCACTTTGATGTTTGGTGGAATGAATTTGCATCTGCAAAAGTAAATTCATTGCAGTCAAACTTAATTTGAGTCCTAATTTGCATTCAGCCAGCCCTGATTTAAGCTTATTTTCAGTTCGTGGAATTAAAATTTGCATCCGAAAATTTAAAATATGAAATTCTGATTACTTTCACCTATTTAAGAGTAAAATCTGTTGGTATTCCCGTTGTCTAGGTTTTCATTATGACGAATGCCGAGTCAACAAAAGCATTTGAAAAATCTCTGGTGTCGTCTCAAATAAGTTTGGAAACACATGAGCAAAGCAGCCAATCACATCCGCTGACCAGAAACATATTAAGACGATTACCAAATATTTCAACAAATAACAGTACAAGTACTGAGCAGAATGAAGCCACCGACGAGATTGAAGCTATGAGCAATCTTTTGGTAAAATTTTGCAACTTTCATTTCAATATCTATTCTTTTCTCACACATCGAAATTCCTGAATTTTCATCCCAACTTACACTTAAATTTCAAAAATGATGGAGAAAAGATTTGAAGTTATTCCGCATGAATTGATCAAGACTTCGAACTCGAACAGCAGAGATGACAAGGAAGTTCCGAGTTACTAAACAAAAATTTGAGATCAAGTTACCCAAATAAAAAACAGAAAGGATTTTTCTAGGATATATGAAAGGAAAAAATTCCTTGTCAATAAAACGAAATGATTTGTTTAAACTTAAAAAATTGTTATAGACAGAAATGCAGAAAGAAAATGACGAAAGGAGTGAAATGCTGATTTCCGTTTTCGATAAAAATTTCGATGCAAAAATTAAAACCTGCATTGATACGCGAGCTGAGATGGAAGCACGCGCAACAGCATTTGAAACAATAATTCAGTCCGAAACACTCATTAAAAAGCCGGTGTACGGATGACCTCTTGAAATAAAAACATGCGTCAAACAGGCTGATAAGCAGTAAAAGATTTTTCAAACATTCCACACAGTAAATGAAGTGCTTCCGTCATAGACAAACGACGCTCTGCATTAAATGATTTGAGCTAAAGACTGAATTAACTAGAAATTCTATAAATACGAAGAACTAACTAAAAATTCTACGTACAAACAACATTCATGTAAGGAACACTGAAAGTAGCTATATATTTAGTTTTAGTAAAACAGTAAGTTAAAATCCACAAAAATTTAGAACTTTGGCGATTAAACAGTCATCATTGAAAAGGACATATTTACTAAATGGATATGCACATCAGTGAAAAAAGCAATAAGATTAATGTATTAGTTGATATGAAGAGAATGACAGTAATTTATAAGTGGTTTAAAAGAGATTCCATTTTTTATATTTTAGTAAGGAAATCACGACCGAAAATACTTATGAAGGAGTATTTGGAACCAATTTCAGTCAAACAGGTTCAACATCTGATGGACTTAGAATGTCACCAATGGAACAACAACAGTTTACATCACAACATATTGCTGAAGCGAGCTCCATCGCGTCACAACTACCTCGCAATGTTGCAGATGTTACGTCACCAAGTAAAGTGTCCCCAAACAAAGTCGAAAGCGAACAGATCCTCACCGAACAAGCAGAGAACGCTGGCAAAAAAATAACAAAAGGATTCGGTGAGGCTGCGCTGACAAAAGTTGGCCACTGGAGCAAAAGTGCTTTCAATTTCTTCCGAACAAAGAATATTAGCTCAGGTTAACCCGGTGAAAGATTAAATATGCTACTGTGAATAATCCCGTATCAATACAGTATCATAAGTGTGTGTTTTACGGAGACACATATTAAATTTCTGAATAAAATCAGTTTTGATTTTTCTTTCATTTATAAATCTTTCATTTAACTGTACATGTAACCAGTTAAAATCTTGTAGGAAAAGACGCAACAATGCTTCGAAAGACTGCGGAAAAAGCGACGCATGTTGAAAGTGACCGCTCTCATGTAAAAGATGCAAAAATCGAAATAATTCCTCAAGAAAATTTTAGGCAAACACGCCGGACTCGACAGGCAAAATCACGAAGTTACCGAGAAACAAAAGGCCAAAAACCAAAGAAAACACTTCGAAGAAGTCTAAAACACAAACAATCAAAAAAAGACGAATCTGTTCTAAAAATGTCCATACCGACAGAACTTGGTAATACAAGTAATGAATTGAAGAAACATGCAGCAAAACTGACGGAAGCAAAAAGGAGGTTAAAAGAAAGAAACGAAATCAAGTTTAAAAAAAAGAAAAAATCAAATCTAGAAACGAAAGGAAAACGTTCACATAAATATGACAGTCGCCAAAACTTAATAGTTGGTGAGAAAAAAATCAAAAAAAGTACCAAAAAAATTAAGAAAATGGAAGCACAAAAGAACAACTGAAAGTTTCAGAATTGAAAATTCGGTAGCAAAATTCACAAATAGGAATTTATAAATTGCACTACCAGGACAAAAACACTTCTTATTGAAAACCTTGAAAATAAAAACTATGTAAGCAATATTGAAACAGAGCCCAATTTTCTGCTTATTCTTGATGTGAATCCTTTCTACGAAAAGCATTTGAAGGAACTATAAAATATGTTATGCCAGATGGAACGATATTCATTCCTAAGTTGCGTGCACTAATGAAACATATGCGTGAAATGCGTTACAGAAAATGTCCTCGTAAACTATGCTACGGCTATGTTATACGTTATACGGTAGCTCATAAGTGTCATAAACAAATATACCTATTCGGGGTCGAAATAGTGAAACACTGTAAAATTGCAAAACTAACTTGTGATGTCATATACGACAACGGCGACAGTCGAATCGCGGATGTATGATGGAATCAAAGATCGGAAACGTTCCTGACCTGCAGTGTCCCAAAGTTGTAACCGAACCTGAGATGAAACAGCTTATCACTATTAATAGCGTTCTGCTCTAACTTTTACCACTAATTCTGTCAAAGCAATTAATACAATATGTTCAGCTCCATAATCTATTGCTTATACCTGCTACAGTCTTTTCTATCTTACATGAATGGCTTGTGCAAATATGAAAATAAAAAGGATTAGTTGGCCACAAGAAATCTTCCACGAGTAAAAATGATTACTTCAAATTGCGTAACCCTTTTAGTTGGATTTATGGCTCAGCAACCACTAAAAATACTTAGCTCAAGAATATGGACAGCTTTGCAAACAATAGTAATTACCAGACATATATTGGTAATGATGTAAACATTTAGAATAAGAAGTACTTGATGCAAAATTTGAAGTTTTTAAGAAAGTACATACCGTTCTATCTTCGAGATACATAGTTTTGCTCAAGAAATCGATTCCTATAGTAGCCTGATACGTGTTATCAAAACTGTCATACATGAATCGTGTTATTAACGATGTTTTTCCAACTGAAATGATTTACAGCATAATGTAACTAAACAACGATATACTATATCATGAAAAAGAACTGCAGAAATGTAAAAGGACAGAAACCACACACACAACACTTACCACTCTGCTCACCGAGAAAAACCAATTTGAACTTTTTCAATGGATTACCAAAATCTGAAGTCATATCCTGAAATAACAATCATCCAGTTTTTCATGCTAACGTAGAAATTATTTGATGTTTTGAGTACAATCACTCATTTAATTTCAACTAAAATTTAAAAAATTTCTTGGTAAATAGCATATCAAATTCTAACTTTAAATCCACAAGTTTAATCCTTTAATATACCCATTCCAAAAACTGAGACAATGCCATTAAAACCACGTAAAGCACATAAGGTACCAGATAAACAACACGTGATCAAGATTGCGCCAATAACACTATAACCAACGACAATCAGAAAAAACTCAGGACACCTCCCTATCCCCACCTCTTTTTACAACCGCAACCGGAAAAACTATCGTCCCATATCATCATTGGCCTGTTGCAGCATTCTACTCTCCCCAGGTTCGATCTACTCTTTTTAGATCCATCGAAGGGAATGTTAATGTTTGGGTCACGTACACAGATGAAGAGGTACACGCACCATACAAACGCGCATACATGCACATATACATTTATAGACACATGCACAGATGATTGTATCAATCTTTCAGAAGTATATTGCAAGTGTGTTGTTACCTCGTTGTCATCGGGAATGTAATGATATGGGTTGTCACCTAAATTGTCAATCTTTTGTAATTGGGCAGATGTCAATCTTTTATGATTAGACAGATGTCAAAAGATCTGAAGATCTTCAAACTCTGTCTGAAGATGCTTAATCTTTCCAATTTGGGAGTATAGAATAATAATCAGTACTGAATTTTGAGATATCTATGGATCGATGAACTGATAATTGTCTTATCAATTTATCGCCAATACTCTTTTTCTACGCTTCTATCTTCCTTTCCCTCTCTCTCTCTTCCTCTCTCTATTAAAGAAATGATTTGAAACGACGATAAGAACCAATTTTTATACTATTTCTCATTGGAATTATTGTTGAGGAAGAATCATTCACTGAGATCACTGAACTACTTCGCGAATTGCTTAAGAATGGAACATATCATCAAATGTATTCTTTAATTCTCTCCTAATTCTCTCTCTCTCCCATATTCAGTTTTGAAATTTTTGATTGAAATCAATGATAAAATATTTTAAACAATTCTACATTCAATCTTTTTAATCTTTATTTACTATTTTCTCTTCAAATCAATAAATGACCAAAATTTTAAATTATAGTAAAATTTGATAAAGATATAGCGAAACATTCTATATTCCTCTATTCATTGAAGATTTCATTTTTTAAGTTAGCATTCCTAATCCTGCAGTAGAGATCAGTAGTTCCTTCAAATGTGTTAAAAAGCGGATGGGAGCTTTACACCGTCTTTATTAAATATTAAATAATTAATGGACACTATATTAATGGAAAATTTAATGTTGCAGATACTGGAAAAATTTAAGTCGGATTTGATTATCCGATTCACAATATCTCAATTTTGTCGCTATTTGCCTATGATTCTCCTTCAAATGTTAATATATTTAATTCATTCTTAGCCGAATTATATTGGTTGTTATTCCGGAATCATCCACAGCCCATTATATATCTTTCCTATATTATAAATATTAGTTATTGATTCTCTCTGTATTTTATATTTTTAAAATATTTCTAACCATTATTTCACATCACACACAAATTTGCTCCGTACTGCACATGACTTGATGAAATAGTTACATTACCTGTTTCTGAATTCTCCCCAATAAAGATAATATTGTCCTTTGTCAAGTTTGCGAATACTTTCTCTTTCTTTCCATCTATCTCTCTCCGTTAAGTCGAACTATTCTTTTTGCTGTCAGGAAATTCATTAGTACATCTTTTTGCTGTTCTTTTTATAATTCTTCCTGCGTTTTTATGTCAGATTTTTTTCATACTTTGCTGATTTTTTGCATTACTTTTTATCAACTCTTTCAAGTTTTATTTCTTTTTTAAAAATGCAAAATTGTTTTGAATGTCATTAACATTATGAAATGATATCATTAACTTAATACAATGCAATCTTTCCATTATTTCAATTGGAAAATAGCAAAATCTATTACTCGCAAATGATATGCGTCATTTTCCTTGCATCGATCGCTGTGGTAATTTCGGCAGTATTGCAATTTCTTGAAATAAAGTAAATCTTAGGAATTCATTTCAATGTATTTCATAGTTTCAGTAGTAATGTGAAAATATAAGTTGTTTAATACTTTTCATCTTTCTATAAAAATTATTTTGGCTTATAAGAACTTTTTTTTGTTTATAAAAGAAAGTTAGCAGAAAGAATAGGAAAAGGTAATTGGGAGGATTAATACAGAATAGGAACTGATATTATTAGAAACCAATTGAAGATGAAGTCATTAGTGGGACAAGCCTTTCTTACAACCTTTATGTAAGGTTCTTCTTGAATTTCTTGAATGATACAAGTGTGAAAATGTTCAAAATATAAGTTCAATATAAATAAAAATGTTATCTTTCTTTTTTCCATGCACCTTTTTTTCTCGGCTGGCAGAAAGCATCTTCATAATATTTTTTTTAATTATTTTCCTTTCCAAGCTGATATCTCTTTCTCTGAACTAAATAATTACGATTAAATTAGACCTAAACAACTGGTAAAACAATTTTCAAGAATTGAAGTGCTGGAAATTCATTTTCATCATAGGCTGAGGATTTATACGTACGAATTTCACAAAGGATCTTTCACTTATTCTGCCATTTTCCAAACCCATAATGGAACTGAATTTTCTTCCAGCAAAACTGTAATACTTCACAATTGTTTTATCAATTGTTTGGGAAGTTTTTTCCGTAGAATTAATTTAATTTAAGCAAAATCGCAATTATTTAATTCTATTTCTCTAATCAGTTCGCACACTCAGCCAAGAAAAATTAGTTATAAAAAACAAAAATCCAGACTTTCAAAGCCAGCTCAGATTGATAAAATATTCGACCCTGAAATTGAATTAATCAAAATCTCGGTCCAGGAAAAGTATATTTGAACACAAATTTGTTTCTTATATAAGTAGTGTTTTTTTTGAGAATAATAAAATTAACAACTTTTATAAGTCATCTAGTAGTTTTCTCCTTGCATACAAATGTATTAATTTATCTGAATTTTGATTTTCATATTTCAGTTAGTTAAAATGAGACAGCGTTCTTGCTTGGCATAACCAAGACTGAACAGTTTTTATCTTTCTTATACTTTCTACAAATAAGTTTTATTTTATTTGTTTTTTAAGTGCAAATTTTTATTAATAACATCTTTTGCTGAATTTCGAACTGATTTTTGTTGATCGGTTAGTTTAAATGTTAAAAACCCGAATTTACGATACTGGAATTGATAGTATTTTCTGGATGAAAAATTGTACGTTTTACAGAAGAAATGATTGATTTGCAAAGGGTGACACGAGCACAGGTAACAGAACACAATACTGGTAGTAGTTCATGGATCTGCATCGAGAACAAAGTTTATGACCTCACGACATTTCTAGATGAGGCAAATTCATTTTCAATAGTTTAGCAATGTTATATCAACTTCCATATATACACTATACTAATTTCAGCACCCAGGAGGTAGTGAAGTATTGCTAAGGGTAGCTGGTAGTGACGCTACCGAAGCGTACGAAGATGTCGGACATTCTACAGATGCCCGACTTCTGAAGGAGCAATATTTGGTGGCCGAAATAGTTGATGTAAGGAAAATGATGTTTTCGAAGGCTATTTTTCTCATAATTTTTGAAGATTTTGTATTTTGTTTATAAATCATAAGCAATTCCTCTCTTATTTGTTTTGCGTAATTGTGAAAAATTCTCCAGCTTTCTAATGACTTGCAGGACATTTGAAAATTGAACTTTTTTAGTCTTAGTACAAAAATAAAATGCATTCGTGTTCTATTTTATTTATAGGCAAATTGACAAACGAAAATTTCAGAAATTTTAATCGAGTTGACAATTGAATGTTAGTATTCACGTTCTTTTCAGATACTATCGTCAATAATTTTAGGAGGAAAAGGTGACATATTCAAATGATAAGGAGAAATGGTTCGAGAAAGAAACCGATAAAGCTGGAAATAAAAGGTAGTTTCAGCAGGAAAAGAATTTATGAATGTTACTATAGAGAGAAAGACATTTTCTTGAATTCGATCTTTATTGTTTCATAACTTATCAGCACATCACACAATTAATGGTTCACTTAAATATTTCAATCCGCAATTATAGTGAAATAGGGAGAGTATAATAATGAATTATTTTAAATTTAGTGATTCAGCTGCAACGGATCCGGTGGTAATTATTGCGCTATTGGCAGTAATATTTGCTATCATATATTACTTCTTGTTTTATTAATGTTCTTTGGTTCGCAGTTGTTTGAAAATTTTTATTTTGCTCGAAACTTCACATTTTTTCAGGTCCATTAAATTATTTAATCCTTTTATTCTTCTCCAACTCTTGTTTCACAGTTGTTTCTGTGAGAAATTCATTCAAAATGAATACATTTCTGATTTGATTTGATCTATCCACTACTCAACATATTCGTTGAATTATATACACTTCATGTTCCTTAAGCTTAGCATCACGATGATAATGAAATTTCCAGAACGAATTCAAGAATCTAATATATTCAAAAGTGATCAATTTTATCAATGAGATACTGCTAATGAGCAAAAATTACTCTTTGGTATTCAAACATACAGTAACATTTCTTAAAGCTTTAAAGTCATCATTTCTTGGGGAAATTTGATTTCCTATCTTATTCTTATTTATAGTGAGATCTAGTTACACCGTCTATTCATAGTTATATCTTGTTATCTAGTTTTATAGTTATAGTAGAATCTATCTCTGAACTTCATCTCTCATGTTTTTATGTAGTGTTTTAATTATCTTCATCAGAAGCATGTAATATTAACAATAATATCAAAAATCAAATTCTGGAGATTCTATTAAGGCTTCGTTCCAGTAAAATGCTGAATCTTCTAACATGATTGTTCTGACAAGGATAACTTTTTTGCCTTTGTGAGGAAACATTCTGCTTGAAATTCGATTTTTCAGCCAAAACAGCTTTATGCTTGTAAAAAATGAATGATGTTATCTAAGCCAAAAATAATAATAAAAAACAAGAATGTCTGTTCTACTAGTAAAAGGAAGCAAAAGGGAATGAAACAAAGCTGCCATCATACAAGAATTTTTCAACATTCCTTCTAAACTGTTTCATTGCCGAACTACAATGAACCATAATTTTCTACCAAAATATTTCTATATTTGGTTTTAATCTGCGAAAAAAAATATGCCACATTCCTAACAATATTATATTTAGCTTTGGTTCACGAAAACGGTCGATTACGTTGATATGATTTTTGTTCCAAGATATTCACGGATCACAACGGATTTTTCTTTGTGACATATTTTTTATGAATATGATATTACAATTGTTATGTTTCTTTTTTTGACTATTAAATAAACTCGAAAGTAGTTTTTGTAGGATTTATGATTTTGGCTGGGATAAAATATGTCACACTATAATTACTATATAAGATTTGTTGCTTATAACCATTTAAATAAAATGTTTTCTTAACAAACAAGATATTCTTCACTGCTGTCAGCAACATTCTACACTTTAGTACCGTATATAAGCAATTCAGATGCGTTGAACGTTCAGTTCTATAACAAATAATTCCAATATGAAAATAAGAAAAAATTCATCAATTTTCTCGGAAAAGATTATTTCGTTCATTTAATATTTGCAGTCATATATTCGAATAGGTGCTTATGTTTGCCTATATATTTCCTATATTTCTGCAGTCAGAACACATTCATTCTCATCAATTCTTATCGCTTCTTGATGAATGGAATTTTCTTTGATTTGAATAATTTAGGTTAAATTTATTTCCATAAATCTTTAAACAAAAATTATTGTGTCCGCACAATTTTAAAATAATACTAATAACCTTTATGATCATACATTGAATACACCTTTATGATCATACATGACAATCAGAAACATAATGATACATTGAAAGATGCCAAATGTGACATGAATGAAATGAATTCCAGTTGACTATAAATGTTTATGAATGTTTCTGATTGAAATAAACTCTTTAAACTTTAATTAATAAGTCTATCATTATGGAAATACTTTATTATTATTATTATTAATGCATTTAATATTTTATCATTATCAATGCACTGCATTATCCTTCCCGTAAAATTTATGATTTATATTGGAAAATAAAATTGCTAAAAATTCAAGTGGTACCATTCTTCATCTTATAAACAGCAATTTGTTTCCACCCAGAATTATATCATTGTTCATAGTATTAATTTCAAACCTGTCAAGTTTCTTCAATACAATTAACTGCTGCAAATGGTGTGTCGTGCTTGACTTTGTTATAATTCCACAAATAAATGTGCTTGCGAAATTACGGTATGATACAGTAATGACTAATTTTTTTTTAGATTTGAATCTTTTCAAAAAGTTAAGAATTGAAATATAATTTTTAGCAAAGAAAGACTTCTACAGTTAAAAATTTTGTATTGATAAAAAAATGATTGGTTAATATTGTTTTTGTTTTCAAACATTGTTTTAAAATAATATGTAAGATTGACTAAAATTCCTAACAATTTCTTATACAGCCGAACTATAAACAATAATCATTCAACACTGTGATTTTCCTTTCTTTCTATATTATCACCTTATGTATTTTAATTCTTCTACTCAACTCTTGTCATTTTATTCCTGCAATGCATTGTTGAACTAAAAGTAAACAAATGAACTTTAATTCAACTTACAGTAATAAGTGAACTAATGGCTTGAAACAAAACCAAAAATTAGATACTTTAATAAAATCAAAGTTTTTGAACGTATTCTGATAATTTTGACTCTAAGAAATGTTACTTTCGTTCTGAGAATCATCAGGGACTCTCGATAGAGCGATACAGATCTTGGCGGCAAGAAAAATAACTTTGATCGATGGAAGTTACATATGTCAATGTTGTAGAATGGTTGTATGATATGTTTGAACGCGAGGCAATAGTCCCATTGAACCTTAACTAATCGTTAGCTAATAAATTCGATGATTATATTACTTATTTTTTAGGGAAAGAAAGGAAGGTATTTTAAAAGTGTGCATTGACACTGAATTATTTGATTTCATCAAAATTTTACAATTTTTGCTGATTTGAAAGTTAATCAGTAAATTTTCCGTTTATGAGTGAAATATAATAAATCTTAGTGAATCATTTCATCGTTGCATATTATTTTACTTTATTTTAAAGTAAGTAATTGCTAGATGCCAAGTTCAAAGGTATTTGTTATATAAGAATATATGTAATTAACGAAATCTCAACTTATCACTCCATGCATATATAATCCAAAGAATGAACTTACGACTCTGGGCAACGATCCTAGCCATTATCACTGAGATAGCTGTTATGTCATCAAAAAAAGTTTTAAAAACCAAAAAAGGAAATTTTATCAGGTTGTGTTTTTTTATTTCATCTATGAATAGAATCATTTGCGCATGTGAAATCCAAATTATTTCATAAAATATTAAATTCAGCTTTAGACAACTTACTATGTATTTAGCTTTGAAATTCGTTATTTTAATTAGAAAATTTCTTATTTTTTATTGTTATCCTCTTTTAGTTTTAAAATTAAGTAATGGTGAAGTTATTTTAACAATTTTATCAGGCTCAAAAAAGTGCTTGCTCAGATCGAATTTTAGCACAAACAGTAATACGCCAAGACAACCGTCTCCAAAAGGAATAATTGATCAGGTATGGACGAGAGTAAAACGGTTAGTTAAAGCAGTATACGACAAAACTTTCTGGGCAATTGCAGAATTTTTCAATGGCAAGGTTCTTTTCTTCTAAAAAAAAGTTTATTAACTTGAATGTTTTTTTATAATTATGAGATTTGCATGCTATCAATATCATTTAATCTCAATCCGGCACTTTCATTCAATTTTTGGAACGACTAAGCTTTGCAAGTAATCTCAACGGCTAAAGTATAGGAATCTTAGGATAGCAGCGAAATGCTTCTGCTTTTTTATAGCAAATCTAAAATGCTAACTTTGCAGAATTGAATTTGCCTGCAAAAGTTTTATTTGATTGTATAAAATATGGCGCAAAAAGGAAATTAAAATTTGTTTTATTCCAGCGCTCATACACATGGAAATTATTCGGAAAAACAATCCGGATTGCAATGCCACGTATGCCACGCAGCGGAAAGGAGGTTCGAAAGCAACTAGTTATTATTGAGGAACTAATTCAAAATCCGACGAATCGATGTCTTGCAGTAATTTACGTGAACATAGCGTAATTATTTCTTCCTGCAATTTTCTTTATATCTCCAGCAAGTTTGATTCAGATTTATAAAAAATGATAATCGACGAAAATATTATTCCGTAAATACGAATCAGTATGATATTAATTGCCTTCTCTGAATAACAAATATATCAATTTGTAATTTTTAAAATTTCTACTTATTTGTTTAATAAATCTCGAAATGTTGAAATTGGAAATTTATTAATAAATTCTTTCTTTTTTAAGGATTTTTGTAATTGGTTACATAATATTATTTACTTACAACATATATTGTTATTTTCGTTATCGACGAGCATGGGCAGCTGAAGCAAATGGCCATGCAATATTTAAATTGAATCATCCGATAGCTGACTCGAATTCACCGCAAAATCTGCAATATACTGTCAGAAAGTAAAGTTATCAAAAGTAGTCTCTTTATTCAAATTCTCTTTGCTGGTCTTCTATCGTTGTGCATAAAAATCATAGCCTGAAAGCCGATTTAATTGACCCACTAGTTTAGTTAACAATGATTTGTATTATATGGTGTAAATGGTACTTTCATGTTGTGCTAGAAAGATAATTCTATTATCCCGCGATATCCCATCTCGTATGATGATGCAAAGATATATTATCAGTCATTGATATGCGTATATATTGAAAATGTTGATTGACTGCTCATGCTCAGTAAGATGAACAAATTTTTGACGACAATTCCATTTTCAAATATAAGTCATCTCAATGATTGCTTTAATTATTAATCCAACTTTATTAATTTACTTTTGTTTGGTTTTCAAAATTTCGACGTACGATTAATTTATTAATCAACAAGTAATAGAAGGCGATAGCATTTTAATTTTAGCTGAAAAATATTCTTACTTTGTTAAAAAAAGATATGTGTTGTTTTTTTTCAGGGCAGCAATAGCAGCAGCAAAACGAGATTTTGTCAAATTATCAGTAAGTCTGACAGAAACAATATTAGAAGAGGAAGAAATGATAAAAGGTGAAGCCGCGGAAGAAAGTACCACTAGAAAGTTATCATTTCGTGATTATTGAGTTGTAAACTGTTCGCAGTATCTGACATACATAATCATCCGACAAATTAGACAGTTATATAACACATAGGCCTTCTGAGTCAAAATAAGCCAAACATTAAATAATGGCAGTGTTAAAAAGAAAATATACAGTATCATAATCTATAAAAGTTTGGCTACAAAGTTCCACAAAGTTTAGTTGTTATTATTTTTCTAACCAAACTATTTATTTAATCCAATTAATTTCAACTAATTAGGCATATTTATCATTTTTTTGCAGGAATGAAATTGGTTCCGTACAAAATATGTTTCCATATATCTAATAGGACCGAATTTCACAGTACTGACTTGATTATTAGCCTCACTTCGGAAGCTAATAATACTGTCAATACTGTGAAATTCGGTTCTATAAGATATATGGAAAGGTTGTTTCAATAATAATTCGAGTTTTCTCTCATAGAATAATATTTGGAAGAATTTTTCCAACTATTTGAATTATCGAAAAAGAAATTCAACTAAAAAAGTAGTTTATTTCAACAATTCTGAAAACGTCTGCCTGCAGGGTTAATCCGGAAATATCAGCAAAACGGGAATTATTAATGATTGATGATGCAACATCGTTGGAAAAGATCAGTAAGTTAGAAGAGAGGTTTGCTTTCTGTATATTTGAATTTTTGCTTTAGCTGGAACATATTTACTCCATGTTGATAATTATGATAATGTTATAAAAAGTTAACAATTACTTCTGCTTTCAAGAAGAAAACTAAATTGCTATATAAACTAGGAAAATTAGCCTCGTTGTACAAAGTTTTGATTTTGCATAAAAATAGTTTATTTCAAAATTCTGAGAAACGTTTGCCTGCAGAATTAGTTCGGAGATATCAGCAAAACGGGAATTATCAGTGATTAATGGTGCAACATCGTTGGAAAAGATCAGTGAGTTGGAAGAGAGGTTTGAAAATAATATAAAAATTTTTAACAAGTGTAAAAACTTTTCACAATATTTTCAGTAAGGAAATTAATTAATTTGATTTGTAGCTTTAGTGTACCGGATTTATTCGACGAAAGCGATGAAACATCAACTTCATCCTTGATGAGGTTATTCAGTTTAAATTTTGTAGAAGAAATCAAAATTTGAAGATTTAGTAAAACGACATAACTTTCGAGGCCTGTCATTAAGATTTGTGGTATGTTTGGAAAATCCAGTAGGGAATTGTGGATGCCACGGAAAGTAACTGCTAAATTTGGAAAGTCTTTAACTGGAAATTATAGATATTATTTACAACAAACAACTGACAAGGAACTGAAACTTTTGCTTTTGATATCAGCAAAGAAAATTTTGCAGAAAACTGTAGGACTACAATGAAATTCTGCTACTTGTTGCGATAAATTATTTCCATGAAACAGAGCTTTTTCCCTGATAGCCTGTTAGAGATTCTTGTATCTTCTACTTCGAAAAATTTAAATTAAATAAATTTACAAGGAAAACTGGCAAAATATCTTTGCAAAATTCACAGTTTTTTTCGAAAGAATGAAATTGAATTGATATACTTTGTCTATTTCATGAAGTGAATGAATTAGAGAAGAAAATTTTTAAATCATTACAGGACCAAAGAGAGAAATTCACCTTCACGATTCCTTAGCAGTAATAAAGAAGCTGAAAACTTTTTGAGATCCGATGAACATTACGATTGTAACAATAGTCAGTTTGGAAATTCCAGTAAATTACATTCAGCAGGATGTCGTGGCGGAATGTTGCAACCAGAAATTTAGAAATTAGATCAGTAAATTTAGAGATGGAACGAATGCTACAATGACGGAAAATTCGCTGAAGATAGATGAAAAATAATTGTGAAAACAAGTTCTCTTTTAGTAATCAGAAGATAAAATTTTGTTTTGCTTATCACGAAAGCAAAAAATTGATTCACTTACTGTCACAAGTTGTTCTCTTTCACTTTTTTATCTCTCTCTCTCTCTCTCTCTCTTAGTAATGAATTTATTCTTGAAATATGTAGAAACTTTTAAAATTTGAAAAGAAAAGTTACTGCCGTTAAACACCTATTATTCTTTAGGAATTCCGAAGTTTTTGTAACTTGAAAATAAGGGTCTGAAGAAAGAGCGAGAGAGAAAGAGAGAGAGAGAGAGAGAGGAGAGCTCACATCAACGGAGTTAATACATTTAGTGACTTTGTTAATATCTATCTGTGTTGTTCTTGGCCATAGTTGGTCTGCTGCTCGTCGCTTCAATAAATCGTTCTCCTTTGCAAGCAAAATAAACTTGGAATGTTAGCTTTCGTTGGCAAAATTTTCTAAAAAAGTGATATGGGAATATAATAAAATGTAATGAGGAACGAGTAATGACCACAAATTATTTCCGATTGACCTCAACACTGCCGGCAATTCTCGCTCGATGTTTCTGGGCATCGTGGAAAAGCATATGAATGTAGAATTGAGCTGTAACACAAAGCAGCGAGATTTTTGAAACGATGGACTGCGTAATAGATGAATGGTTGATGATGTGGGAGGGAGTTGGTGACTGGTAGTCTGGGATGGTGATGGAATGAACATCTCAAATAATGAATAACTGGAGGAAAGAATAATATAATAGATAGATTTTGAAATGAATGAAGCCATCTGGAAATGAATTTGAATGAGTGAATGATTCTTTTAAGATTTCAGTTACTTAACACAGCTATGGCAGCAGCAGTACCATTACTCCTGGAAGATGTCGAACTTGGCTTACCTCCCAGTTACGAGGAGGCAAAGAATGGAAAACGGATATTGCATAATCGTCCACTGCGATATCATTGGTTTTTTAATTCCAATTCCAGCAAGGCGACAACAAGTTTAACACCTGTCATATTTTCCACTCTTGCTATCAGATTAGGTGTCGTCCTATTTGTTATGATATTATATCGTCGTTCCAATTTTTTTATCAGATGATTTGTTATCCGTTGTCTTAGCCGTATATAATATAAAAAATACATAGTAGAACTTCTTAATCACAAAAATCCTAGATTAGAAATTCAGAGTAGGAATGCTATGAGTTTATCGTAAATGCTGCTGTAATGTACAGCTTTTATTGGTATATGAGAAATGACTTAAAAATTTTCATGTGGTTTTATTTATCATGATCTTATGCAATTTATATAATTTTTAGGATTTCTGCGAAAAGTTTTTGGCATACTATCGTTGCAATTTCTTATTACAGTTGTACTTTGCACGACATTATATGTAACGCCAGAAGTTCTTCTTTTCTTACAGCAACAGTAAGTACTTTTCCTTTTTGAATTTCTGAAACTTATTGTGACGTACTTTGTGTTGATAGGAATTCATTGCTTTTCATCATCTTTCTCCCAATCTTCACTATTTCATTTAGTGTGTCTTGTTTGACTTATTTGAAGGTCAATCACTTATAGTTCATATATCATTCTGGGCCTATAGCATTTTATCGCAAAAACAGCTGCGTAAAAACAGGAAAAGCCATAGATGTGCTTGGCATTAATTGTATGATCATGCTTTACTGTGCAAAATTCAGTTGTGGTCCTCTTTTACTTACGATAGCTTGTGTTTTCAAAACAATTTTTCAAATATGCCATTTAATTGCTTAAATAAGACGTTTTCATCCCTCAATGCTCTCTATGCTTTACTTTTGTGTTTTGCTTTTTTTAGTCAATTTCTTCAGGGAGTTTAAGTGCGAAAGAAAGTTTGTTTCAGTTAGTGTATAAGTAATTATTTAACAGGAACAATCTGCTAAACAATTTCCTAATCCATAAAACACTATTGTGGTATTTATTTTATCGTGAAAATCCCTGCATTTATAGTTATTTTGTTCTACATGGGATCTTTTTATGGTTTGATCGCGTAATAGGCGCAATTTTTTTATCATTTGTCCTTATCATTTTAAACCCCACATCCAAGCTATCCCAAGTTTTTTCATCCAATTTTCGCTAAAGTTTAGAATGAAAGAAAATTTTCATTTGGCGTTCGATTAGGTAATTTTCAGATATCCTACAGTTCCAAAATTCTTCTAACCTAGCTTCAGTTCGTTTTATTTAATGAAATCTTCTTTCAAAGTGGAATTAATTCGAACAGTGAAGCTACACATATCTACTGATGCCTAGACATCAGTTGGTCTTAATTTTATTTTGAAATAAGAGTTGCAGAAGAAGATATATGTCTTACTTGTTTTGTTTTAGGTTATGGATTACATTTGCTTCTCTCATCGGCTCATTCATTTTACTTTTCGCAATGTTTATCCATGCTCATTCGGTACCTCTCAACTATATATTATTAGTATCTTGGACTATTATGCAGTCCATCACTATAGGTGCTATTGGTAAGATCTTGAAGCATCATTGTTGTATAGGCGGAGAACAATTATGGTATTGCTGACACAGTGCTAAAGGTTGCTGATCACTCTGTAATTTCTCCATTCTGGTGGCCCAGGTGGAGACAGATGAATTAGTGATGTTGAGTGTTTTATTTAAGATATCATATGGAAGGAGATATCACCAAACTTTGGCTTAGACGAGTTTCATTTTTAAAATTGTTAGGATTCTGCTAAATTTTCTTTTCATCGCCATTATACTTAGACATTTTGAAATGCTTTCAAACTTGGCATAGTATAATAATTTGTTGATGTTGAATGAGACTTAACAATTTGGATCATACAAAATCATATCCTATCGGACAACAGCTAACATCACTGAAGGAATAAGGAAATAATATAAGGAAATACCAATATTTTCAAAAAGTAAGTCGTATGAGTACCTGTTCTTGGAAATAATTAATATAAATTTTAGGTCTTTTTCGAAACCGTAAGGATTTTGATATGTGGAATTTTGAATTTGTGCTAAATTTCAGTTTCTTTCTTCGATATAAAGGTGGTGATTGAAGCAATTGGTCTGACAGCATTGATCGTTGCCGGCCTTTTCATTTATACACTCCAATCAAAGCGTGATTTCCAGAGTCAGTGGGCTACGTTGTTCATTGTTTCCATGGCTTTCCTTGCTGCTTGTTTTGTAAATGTAAGTATCTTTTAGTGGAAACTATTCTCATTTGGATTTTAATGCAGTTGTCGAATTTTTAATTTAAATCGAACTTTATTTGAGTGCACTTTGTTGATATTTTGTACTTTCAAAGAAAAGACAGCAAAATTTTTGCAATTTTTGCAGCTACTTCTACAATCAGCATTATATGATTTCTTGATGGCTGCATTTGGTGCTGTTTTATTTTCCATCTACTTGGTATTCGATATTGATCGTATCATGCATCACACTTCACCTGAAGATTATATTGAAGCATGCGTATCGTTGTATTTAGATATTATTAACTTGTTTCTGAGAATATTGCAGATTTTGAACGAATTTAATCGAAATTAGTTTGTTACTCACTTAATTTCACTGGAAAAATTTTGAATTACTTGCTATACATGCTTTTTAGTTTAATAAAGTCAGAGTTCTTGGAGAGAATCTGAATTGATCGCATCAATTTTATTTTCATAGATTTTGCAAATTAAAGATAGTGAATACATTAGTAAATCAAAACAGAAGGTGATGGCGGCTAGGCACCTATTTCTTGAAAATTCCTAAATAAATTCTTTGTGATATTAACAAGTGTATTTTCCCGTGAAAATTTTTCCCCTAAAAATTATCTGATTTTACCACGTTATTTAAAATTTCTGTGACAATTTGTTCAATTTGTTTCCCCTTCTCATCGAAATTGCAATAGAGCTTTTAAGAGGAAATTTTTCAGTAAATTATATATCAATTATATATCAGTTGAACGGATACATCTGTCACGTTAGCTTTGGAGATTATTCCAGGTGAAAATCAGAAACGTCATCTTATTTGCCCCATCTTGTGTGATATGTATAAACGGGATTTTATGTACGAGAATAATCATTAAATTAACTGTTGTATTGTACATGCTATTTGCTTACGTTCGGATCATATACTGAACATTTTGCAGGTTTGCGAAGACATGTTCTGAAAATCCGGACTGAGTTTTTCATATTTCTTGCTCAGTTACCAATTTCTTTCTTTTATTACTGATATGAACCACTTTTATCTTAAAAACGATCTTTGAGTGAGCTGACAATCTTAGCAATAGAATATAAATGCTTAAAGATCTCACAATTAAGTAGTGCAATGAAATGGAACTTTAGGAATGCTTTTATCTTTCTTGAAGACAAAAATATTACTAGAAATGTAAGGTATGCAGATTTTGGTAAAATCATTTCATATATTTCCTTTTGTGAACCACCAAAAGTCTATCTGAAGCAGGAACTATTGCAAGTGGTCATTTGACTGTTGATTCCGGACGATATTTGAACAAAAAGAAGTCAGCCCGAACATTAAATCTGGCACTATTTGTCGATATAAGCGAATAGCTAGCAAACATCGTTTTCGCTATTTGATTGTATCATCAACAATTAATGCTCTGTTTAATGTTAATATGTGATGTGTTACAAATGGAGTGTATGTCGAGGTTTATGTTGAAATGTTAAGGGAAGTCTTACTATACAGATTAAACCATATCTGTTCTGAATAAGTAATCTACCTACATTGTGGTGAAAGACTCGTCAAGATTCAAGTTTTGAGAAAACGAAATGTAAAAATCAGAAGTGTGATGCCGTGAAAGAATTCATATCAATGACACCGGTTTTATTTGGCAAAAAATTTATTGGCATTTTGGAGTAGGGCTCGTTTTATTTTATACATCTCTTTTTTGATGTTATCATTGTTTTTGAGTGTAATTCAGGTTTAATAGTCTTGCTAACTTAAACCGGATAAGTGGCAAGCAATAATTTCATCCATTACTTTTTGACAAACCAAGTGTTCCAGACCAAGTTTCGTAATCTCTTGTCCGGAACGACAAAATATTTCGCACTCCGGCGCACTGCAAATCATGATTTATTTAAATAATACATTAACACATTCAATTGAGTTGTTTGATTTCATTTACGAGTCTACTTCTATGATAAGTGATACTGCCATAACTTGATCTTAATTTACCTCTTATCAATATTTCAAAGAACGAATCTATTCTTTTCATAATTTCACACCGCAATCCATACAGGGACATTTCGTTACGCCTCTTTTTTTGAATAAAGATAAGATTCAATATGTACGGATTCAATTAACTTAAATCTTTGTTGGATGATTTATATATTACCTCTTTATAGTTATTTGTTTATGCCTGCAACATTTACTGTTATCGCGTCCATTTGAAGCACACTGAACTATTGGTACGATGTGTAAAATTGCGCAAAGACCTGCGTCGGTGGTCTTGCTTACCTAAAATTTAAAAATTGCAATTTGCAATTTGCAATAATAACTTATGAAAGCTTAAAAAACAAATAGGCATTCTGAAAATTTTGTCTGGCAAGGTAATGATTATTGAAATGATGATTGTGTTATTAATCAAATAGAAATGTTTTACCTCACTTTTCTTCATATCATATTTACAGAAATGTTGACAATTAGGTGGAAGTAATTTGTTGTGACAGCATTGTTTGAATTGAATGTTTGCTTGCAGAGTTGATATGCATGGTGAAAATTCTGGTGCAACGCCACATTGTTCTGTGAATATTACATTTTGAAAAAAGTTATTGATGGTATTATTAGATTTTTAAATCTTTAAAATTCAAATTAATACGACTGTCATTATCATTAGTCATTAATAATTGTAATTACTCAGTGGCTATATGCCATATTTTTTATTGAAGTAAGCAGATATTAAAAGTAGTTTCACTTTGAAGTAAAATATGCTTTATTAGAATCTCATACCCTTTTCCGATTCAGCCAAGTTGTTATTACGGTTGTGTAGCCAATTCAGTGCTGGAGTTACGTGAGGTATAATATTAAATGAACGTAGTTCCCAATATTTTCTTTGTAAGCCTTCCTGAACTAAAGAAATTTATTATTAAAAATGAGAGGGACGTTTTTTGTTTTAAATATTAATGAGCAATATTTGAATATCTAAACGATTTTAAATAGCTTATTGGTATTCCATTCGGGTAATATCATAAGTAGTAGAAAAAGGAAATAAAGGTAAATAAGCTATCTTTTATAAATTCTTCAAGAAAAATATTTCTCAGATATCTTCATTTTGAAAGAATGAAAAAATCTCTGTAGGAAATTTTAGATATGATACGCTTTAAATAGATATTGAAACAGTGAATATCCAAAAATGAACAAACAGCTATTAATTAAGAGGATTTAATTTTTAAAACAATGATTTAAATTCATGAAATACAGGTATTACATGGCGAGATATTAAATGCGCTTACATTAAACAAAACGTTGGGATTTTACATGCAAATTTTAAGATAAGAAGTATAACCTGGTGATAATGTACTGATTTGTTTTGTAATAATCATTGTTTGAGGTTCTAATGTGATGTAAGATGGTTCTAGGCCAGAACTTAACGATGATACTGTCTCTGTGACAAATGGTATTTCATCTATTGTAACTTCATCATCCTCACTGCTTGACATATTGACCAGTGATTCATTCTCGTCACTGTTTGTCGGAGCTGGTAAGTATCTTTTTTTAGATAAGTTTTGGGGCAGCGATTTATGTCCTGTCCGTTTCTGAAATTTCTCCAAAATCTATGCCTTAATGTTATAATGTGCTACTTTTTTATATAAGCTTAAATTTACATATTATTTAAACTTATCAATTTATATCATATTTTAAATAATATCTTAACCGGTCAGATAGATGTAATTAATAGTCAGGTAGGTCTAGCTGCTTACTTAAATTATTAGTACTACTATTTATTACTGCGGTGCTGCAATGTGCAGAAATAATCAGACATAAATATTAACAACAATAATGCTTCTACTAAGCATTAGAAATCAAATTCGGATGTGAAAGTCAATCAAATTTTTTTGCAACTTTGCAACTATTGTTTTCTAGTAATAAATTAAAATAATAATGAAAAATTTGCTAATAACAGCGTAAATAATCCATTCATATCTATTATTAGTAGAATTAATGAGTGGTTAAATGAGAAGATGAAAAAGAGAAGGAAGGAACGATGATAATGAAATAGTTTTGTTTTATCAATAAGCACATCATTTAAAATGATGTGATTCTCATAGGTAGTATTGCAATATGGTTCCTAAATATTGCTGAAATTCTTTAAAATTTCTAATCCCTTTATTAATCTTATTTTTATTTTAGCTTATTATAAGTCTTCGAGAATCGTAGAAAGTCAAGAAATCATTGATTTAAGTCACATTTTGCATGGAAATCAAAATGTTAACTTCATATCTTTAATTTTTGCACATTTTATAACAAAATATCCCAAAGGAAGTACCATTTGTATGCCATCTACAGTGTTACCATCGTTCAAACCATTTTTATAAATCGTTTGTGGTGCAACTACCGGTTGTTTCAACTTCCTCTCTGAATATTTTAATTTTTTGAAAAATAAAATTGATAAAAGAAACTTCTGCAATTCATAAAAGGATTAAATTTGTTTTGTAAATTTAGAAGTAACCTGTGATGGAATGAATTGTAGATTTATTAGTTGCAGTATGCGTTTTGACGATTGAGCCAGCGATGATGGTATTGGAAGTAGTATTTGCAAGTAATGAAACAAGAAGTTCATGTCAATTTAAAATTACCAAATTAAATTTCGAATAATTTATAGCTGTAAAATTGTCACTATGCTTTTATTGCATCGTTTTAAATGAATTTATCAGCAACACTTTGTTGTTAATTTAGCCAACAACTGGTTTAAATAGTTTCTCCATCCCATACTGTCTCAGTTTTAATCAAGAAAATTATTTTTGCTTTCTAAGCTGATCAGTAAGTAAAAACAAATCAAATTCATTTTTTCAACTTATAATGTTATGATGATTAACTGGCTTTCTTGCCCTTCACAATGTTTCTTGGTTAGTAAATAAGAAGTTTTTGAACAAACTGCATTTGCATGCATAAGGGAAATTGCATAAGTTGACGAACCTCGTTTGTAGAAATCTGAATCACAACGGGTAGTGGAACATTGCGCTTCGCATGTTATGCGGACACGTGTTGTGCAGCAATATGTGACGGGTAATCGAGAACAATCAAATTTAACATTATCTTCAATCACTGATAAATATTCGCCATGTACGAATTTGGTGAATGCATAAACCAAAATTGATGATAGTATAAACATATCGTCTAGGTACTCTTCTTCAAATGAGTTTAAATTAATTTGGGGTTTTGTTAAAACAAATTTGCTTTATTTGAGTGAATGAAATATTAAAATTTTCGCGCACATGCTCCTTCTATAAACTTGGAGATATAAATTGCAAGAAATTTTATGAAAGTGAAACAAAACTATGAGTTGAAAAGCTAAAGGAAAAAAAATATGAGAAATTTGATGTATCACCCATGAAATGACGAGGGAAATGGACTACTCGTATCCAAGACTTCAGTGAAACTTTTTCTATAATGAATAGGATAAAAGGCAATTAATTAATTAGATATAAAATATTAAAAAAAACCTGTATTTGTAGAGTTGAAATTGAAAAGGAATATGTTAAATGGAATATCCAACTATTTTCTTTCATTACCATTTCATCAAATTAAATCTATCATTAGCCATCGGCAAAAAGGTAAGAAAATTAGCAACAGCGAATAAATTGAACAGATTTGGAGACTGCAACTACTACTATTACTACTGTCACTAATATTATTGGTATGTTCACTGATATATTTCAATCAACACGAAAAACTTGCTTCGAATATGTATAATTTCCTGTTTTATTTCTTTCGCCAATTATTTCCTTTTTCTTTTATGAATCCGTTCGTTTTCACAGTTACAATTTTGTTTCTTAGCATTTTCCACTCATCCTTTTTAACTGGAATAAATATTGATTGTGACTGCCAATATTCTCCATTGTTGAAATTCAATTTCTAAACTATTTTATTGGAGCAATTCGAGTTGTATTATTTCAAATAACATTTTAAAGATTTCAAGCTTCTTATGTAATAATTGATAGATGAGATTCATTTCCGTAATGGACGGAAAAAATTGTTCATTGCAAAATTTTTAACAGTGATACATACAGGTGATACTGTCGTATTATTATTAAGCGCATCTTAATAGGAATTTCAAATAACTTTGTGAACATCTGAACAGCTGAAAAAGATGGTCTGTCTTCCAATTTCTAGACAAGGTATGTATCGCTGAAATCTCATCAAAGAAATGATTCCTTTTCTTATTGGTTGCTAAATCTGGTTTAGTTGAGAAACTAAGATGAACTTCTCCAGCAATGTTTGCAACAGCATTTTCTTTCATATCTCGAGCTTCATCATTATTACAAACGCTGATAAAAATTATTGTCATATATAAATGAACATTTGAGTTATCTTACCGATCTTCTAGTAATAAATTAATTAAATTTTCTGAAAAATTTCAAAATTTTAAGACCCAAAGGAAAGCACTTAAACTTATAATAATAATTGCGAGTTAAATTTCACGACCGATAGCTATTTGCTTAATGACATCACATACTTCTAATATCAGTTAATGTTGATATATAAAATTTAGTATAAGTGTGAAGGTTTTAAATTAACAGATTTGATAGAATATTCTGCTCTTATAATTAAACTTCTTATTGAACTTAGAAAATAAAGTTCAATGCAGGAAAGGACTCAACTCAGTACTCTAAGAAAACTTGTGGTAAATGGCGGAAGATTCCTGAGCTTTTAAATGATCCTTAGTGATGCTAAATTATCATTTGAAATAGTGTGAAGATTTTAGTAGACTTCTGATTGATGTAAAATTAAAAATCGTGATAAATTTTTGAATGAAGTAAAGGTAAAAACAATTGCGAAACAATCTGATTAGATTAGATAAAAGTTAGCTTGCGATGTTTAGTTACAAAATAAGGAATAATTCAAAAAATAATTATAGTAGTGTATAGTAAGTCATAATCTTTTATAAGTTATGTTTTAAACTATGACTCTGTTTGTATGTTATGGAAAGAATCTAACAATATGCTCATATCTATTTCTGATTTTTGTTTTCAAGTTCGATTCTTATTTCATGCTAATAGAGCAGTTAATGTGAAAAACAAATTCTTCCCTGATGGATGACATATGCTACATACGGGAAATGATGCAATGAAAGATATCTTGGTAAAAGTCAAGAGCTTATACTGATGTCTGGAGATTTGGAGTGAGGTAGAAGAGAATCAATAACGTGATGATATTTGAAGTTATCCCTTTAATGAAATGAACTCATAACAATACATATTTCTTAGCCTGAACGTGGAACACAGATTCTTACATATGTGAAAGCCAACATGTATTCGGAAAACGAAATGCATTTTTTTGGAATTCCGTTAAAAATTTTGCATTGCTTTGAAATTAATTTCATTGCATATTCAAATCCATGTCAGAAATCACTTCAACAGCGGGTCAATAGTTCGAGATTAAAAGTGACCGCTGGAAAAATGCAACCGAACTTTTTATGCTTGCTTTAAATAAAATTCCAGGATTATATATATTTCTTATCATTTGCAAAACTTACTAATATATATATATATATTAGTATATATTAGTATAAATATATATATATATATATATTTAAAGGAAACTTAATTACCGACATTGATTTAATTTAGAACTAAAACAATTTTGTAATCTAAAATGGTGTATAAAAGACTTTCCGAAACAAAAAAGAGCACAACTATTATAGATAAACTTGTGTGATAGGGAGAACAAAACATCAAGAATGATCATTAACTACTATTCATTATTATCGTAAAGCAGTTATTGTCAAAGTATAAGTATTATTGGTATTTTGCTATTGCTGAGTATTCACAGGGAAATGCTAGGGTAACTTCAGAGAGTTTGAAAAGGCATTTTTATATTTGAGAATTTAAAGCAAACAATCTGGATTATGTTTGGCGTGAAATGAATTTAAAATATTCCTCCTGAAAGACTACTGTACTGCAATACTTTGCATTACTCATAGGACGTTTGAAGTACTGAATAATGGAACATTCCGAACGATCATTTATACATAGTCATTTTCTTTTGCCTTGCAGTATTCATACATTTATAAAATTAAAAAAAAGAGAGAAAAGAAAAGTGAAAATTCAAAAAATGCTCGAATTAAAATTGTCACCTGCTGTTATGTCAACTAATTATTATCATATGTTGTTCATCTTTAATATTTTTTCGTAGCTTCAAATCTTTAAAACGTCTTATATATATATATATATTTTATAACAATAACTGCTGTCACATTAAAATTTCAGTATGCATTTGTTCAATTTAAGCGATACTAAATAGGCGTAACTTCATGCAGTCAAAGTAATATTTCATGAGATGGTCAAAGTTATCAAACATATATTTCAGTGGTGAAATGTAAAACTTTATGAAAAAATTACGTGTTGTATTTTTTTAGAATATTTTAACGTCGCTAGGTCTTCTTGATGGGAATGTTTAGAAGAAATAAATCACCTTCCAATATTTAATTTGAATTCGGATTGAAACTTCAAATTATATGCAAATGTAAGACAGATTTAACAGTAATTACTGGAATTAAATTTGCTGTGAAATAAATTTTACGGAAGAATACTCAACTGAAATTATGGTCGGAAATTGAAAAAGAAATTATTTGCCACTATTAATATTAAAAAAAAATTAATTTGTTTATCTCCAGATGAAAAGATTCTCTATTAGTTTAGTTAAATTTTCTTTGAATTTCCATGATGAGAATTCATGAATAAATGAATAACGCATTTCTGGAAACTGCCATATTGACAAACAGATTTTCTTTTATAGGACTATCGGAGAATCGATAGGTCACTCCGTTCGGTAAAGCGATAGGTTGAAAAATTGGATTGATCAAAATTTGCAATTCATATATTCTAAATAAAAAAGGCTAAAGAAAAAAATGGCCATAGAAGCTCAAACAATGACATAAATATTTTCTTCGACTTCCAATATGCTTTCTTTTCCACTGATCGACAGGATGCTTGTTGATAACTTTGAAATATTGTTTAACACTTTTTTCCAGTTTATCTCAAGATAAGACTGAGCTCTAACCTTAACTTGTATTATAATGACTGTAATTAACGACTTAAGACTATTTCTTCATTACTCGTACAATCGTTTCGCAGCAAAATAGTGTAAGAAAAGCTCTATTTATTTATGGCATGGAAATTTAGGATTATAGTCCGAAGTATTGAAGTCAAGTTAATAGTGGATTGCCTTGGTAAATGACAGCATGATCTCCACTTCACATTTCTTAATCTTCTACAATTACTTGTCATCAGACAGATCAAGTATTGCTGATTAACAAATTTAATTTATTGACTTTTTTTAATTGTCGCATACATTTGCACTTGTCACTTATAGTTGGTGAACGTCACATAATCCCATCAATATTTATATCATTCATTTTCAAGTATTCCTTACGTGTAAGAATACGTCCTTTCCAGAGAAATACACGGCAATCTCCTTTTCGGTTTCCAAAACGCATCGGTGACGTCTTATTGGCCAAAATTCGTACAAGACTCAACTGGAAATTTATAGTTGCTGGACCAAATCCACGAAGACGGCCAAGTTGTAACGTGATCTCACGCTGTACCCTACGACACGCGTCTTGTAATATCTGAAGCGTTGTAGTTTTTCAAATTCAAGCATTGTACTTCTTCAATTAGTTGAATTCTCTTTTTTATATATTTCAAATAGAATAGAAAAGAAAATCATGTTTTAAATTATAAAATTGAACTAACTGGCATTCTTTCATCATTGAAAACGTCAAGGAATTCCATGGAAGTAGAATTAAGTGGATACCATGACGGATCGATTTTGATTGATTCTGTTACTATGATTCGTTTTACCTGAATATATTACAAAAATATGGCCAAATAAAAAAATTGATGTTAGACGTTTGTTTGGTAAACTTAAGATAGTTTCATCAAAATTAGCTGAACATGCGTTATGCTCGAAATTTCCACTATTAGCAAGATCATTCAAGCATCATTATTCCGAAAAGGATTGCTATTGCTAATTAGAAATATGACTTTAAAACTGTAACAGATAATTCGTAAATGATTAATTAATCTGTAGCTAAGTTCTAGAATGGAAGAATAAATAGAATGAGCCGGAAAAGATACTGATGGCGGTAGGTGAACATTTGCAAGTTGTACGAAGTCATTTAAAAGCAATGCTTCGAATGTTATTGTTGACAATGAGTGAAACATTTTCAGCAGCTCAAATATTTGTTCGCTTGTTGAAGGCTGAAATTTTTTTATAGATAGAATTTAAAAAAAAGGAAAATTTCTTCTTTAATATTTAGATTCAATTATATTTGAAACTTTATACTTACCTTAAGAAAAGTTCGTGCAAGCGTTAAGTGATTCAAATGTTCCATAGCAGTCATTGTTTCTGCAACTTCTATAACAGCGGCGTTACGATTCTAAACATATCAATGGATAAGTTATTGCGAAAGAAATCATTATGAACAATAATAACTTCTAATGGTTTAAATTTCTTTTTTGATTCAAAATAAATTTTTAAATAAAAAAGACACATTACTTCAGCTGTGGCAGTTCCTTCCGGTATGATAACAGTTAGTAACAGTTCTAAACGTCGCAAAGTGCTTGCTAAAGCTCGACATATGATCAGTAGCTGTGGAATACGCATTCGATGTGTGCAAATTCGAAGATCTTCAATTGGGGCGCAAATTTTATCCAGTGGTGGAACATCAGCTAAGGTTAGCGTTTCTCGAATATGAAGCGTGCGAAGATTTGGCAATTTGAGAAAGTCGCTCAAAGTATAAGCAAGACTGAAAATTTATTTCAAATTAGTTTTTTTGTCCAACTTTGTTTTTCATTCCCTAACCAAATCATATGGCTAGCTATAAGACCATTCATTTTCATGTCAAATAGTAGCAATAACTATGCTACTAATATTACTGCTACTAATATACAAAAACATCAGGAATGCTTCAAATGTATTTATCCTAAAAATTGAATACATTGTCCCAAGAATAAAATTTGTAAAGATTTGCAAATTTTTTTTTGCAAGGCAAATTTTCAAATAAATTTGCTTTTTTTGCAAGATTTTTAGAATTTTAAATTTCTAACCTCAAATTATCTCGTATACTGCATAATTTGACAGTTTCTAGTTTTTGTAGCAAAGCAAAAAAGCCCTCTTCCACTGATATCTTATTGCAACGATCCAAAAATCGCATTGTTGAAGATTCCACCAAAATCGTTTTCACATTGCTGCAAAATTATTTTCTGATCTTTTGAGAATTTTTTTGCTGCTGTTTACGAGGTATTCAGTATCATATCAATAGATAAAATTTACTTCCCAACCACCACTTAATCTATGCTTAAATCATAAAGTAAGTTATTTAGCCAGTCAGATGCAACATGGTTTCATGTTAAAATATTTATGAATAAATATTAGCTTATTAATGTTCTACATATTTTAGTGAAAGAATTCTTAAATCAAAACGTGCTGAAAGTGGAATTAAATTCTTGGACTAAAATAATGTATGTTGTCCCATAAAACACCGGAAATAACCGTAAGTTATGAAGCATTGGGATAGCTTTAGTAGTACGAATTACGCCCACTGTAGAAGAATTGGTGAGAGCTTGATAGGCATGCGTTACAACCTGAAAAGTTTTCTTTTCCTAAATTTTTATGATTAAATTTTATCGAATACATTTTTGTTCATGATGCTAAAATGAAAGAACAAACAGTTTTGTTTGCTTCATCTTTAATTGGTACTCTTGTCAAGTAAAGATGTTGAACATCTGCCCAACTGCTCAATTCTTCAGCCAATCTAAATTTTTTCAAGAAATTCAATAATTTGGTTAACATATCTCCGTCTAGCATTGAGCATTAATCAGCAATTTTTCAGCATCGACATGTCGAATTCCATTTGCAAAAACTTATCCTTAGAAATATCCTTAGTCAATTTAATTCTTTTGAAATTCACTTCAGTTGCATTACAATTAGTTGATTCAGTTTTTGTTGAATAATCAAATTTGAGTAATTGCTAGAACGAAAATTTATCAAAAAAACCTTTTATTAATGCAACAAATGCGACATCGTGTAAGAGCATCACATAGATAAAAGATCATCTTGATAAGTTCAAACGGTAAGGAAATCAATGGATTTTGCTGCAACAATAATATCAAGAAATAGAATATCATCCATAACAGATTACTATTGATCAGGTAAATTTGGAAACATTAAAAGCATCTGTTGAAGGGAGAAAGACAGATGAGTGGCTGGAAGAAAAACTCGCTAGCTTATAAATCATGTTCATCTGTAACGGATTACTATTGGTCCGGAAAACTTGAGGACATTAAAAACATCAACTAGATGGAAGAATAGGAGAGAAGAAAAACTCACGAGCTTATGAATATTATTTAGACTTTTTAAACGAATATGTTGTACGGTAATTTTATGTTTTAACATTGCCACTGCTTGACGCAAATTTTCAATGGCTAATTCTCGGCGCTCTAAAATTTCGCGCAAACATTTCAGTGTTGCAGCGCTTGCTTCAATACTTGAATTTCCACCACCATCACTTTTATCATCGTATGCTTGCAGTGAATTTTCTCCTTCTGATTGATCCCCCATTTTCCGGTTTTTTCTTTTTTAAACTAAATATTCTGTTATCATTTTTTCGCACAATAAGCAAACATTATTTGTTCCCATTATTTTTTCAAGATCGTCGAAAACGTCTTTTTTTTTCAAAGATTTTAGACTTCATTTTCTTTTGAAAATTTCTTTTTACTTTCTTCTTTAATTTCAAATTTCTCTCTTACTTTTAGCAAACTTTACCGTCACTTCTTGTCAATTAGAAAAAGTTGAAATTTTAATATAATAGCATGGAAAGCTGGTAATGGTTTACATTATTTAATAATGACATGAAATGTTTAAAGAAAAAGGGAAGCGCTGACATTTCCGGAAAAAGGTTAACTTTGGCTTAAACGGAAAGAATTCCATTACAGTTATGATGGATAACTTACACAATATGGCCAAGTCTAATTAGTAATACATGGAGGTAGAGAAACTACCTCTCGCAATGTGTAAAATAATAAAAATGATATAATGATTGCGACTTTCTCACATTTACACTTTTATTTTCATCCAATTAACAATTCAAAACAGTGGCCGATAGTGCACTTCAAACAATTCCAAAAGAGTACAGTTGAGTACAAAAGAGTACAGCTGAGTACACCGACAATACAATTTTTGGTGATTTGTTGATGTAAGCAAAGGTACAGCTCATAAGGCTTCCCAAATCAGTATCGCAGAAAATTTCAGGTCATTTCAAATTTGAGAAATCATAACTCTTTGCACGAATTTCTCCAAATTTTCGTTCTGAGGCTCTCAGCTACAGTAACCCGGGCTATTACGCTTCAATTGTTGTGACAATTTTTGGAGGGGCTATTTTTTGAACTTTGCCGCGTTCGCAAGTGAAATCCAATCGAAGGTTGACAGGTTATTGTCCCTCTTCCACTGTACCCTCTGTCTCTTACCTTCCCTCTCTCGCTATCTTTGCCAGCTCGCATGTACATAAGTGAGCATATATTGACGGAAAACGTCTAGTTTTTTTAGTTTTTCGCTATGTATACATGTAACACTTGATATTCTATAGTGTTACGTGCGTGACGGCACGTAATATATGTAATACGCTATAGTAATATAGTAATATTTCCATCTCTTCCTTTTATATCTGTGCTATCTCTTCGATCTTTCATTGTTTTTACTATTAGCATTATTGTTTACTATTACTATTATTTAATATTATTATTGTCATTATCACTATTATCACCATCGTCATCGTTGTTTTTGTTATTATTTCCATCAGTATTTTTATGCGTCAGCTGCGTCGTTTGCATGGATATTTTATATTGAAGTTTTTCTCTTATCACTTAATGCTAACTTTGAAAATCGGCAACATTTTGGATGTAATAGTATCAGTTAAGATAGTAAAACGATAATTAGTTGTTAGCAAATCGAACGTCATCCAGCATCTAATGATTGTCGTTATCATTCTTAGATTTTTTTCCTGCTACAACATGCTTTACATCTCTTTTTCAAAGTATCGTTGTTAATTCTGACAGTATTTTTATTTTCTTTCTCATTTCATTGTTGTTGTTCTACATGCTTCCATTGTCTAGTTATCATTTTTCGATGATTTCATGCTATAAAAGTTGTTTTTGACTATTTTAACAGCAGATAGGAGGCTGCCCTTGTGACTTCTAGGAAGTAACTTATATATCAATTATAGATAGAGGTAAATATTATGTTCTGAAAGCTGATAATATATCATAAATTGTTTTCCTATCACAGCTTATTTGATTTTCCGTATCACATTTTCGATAGATCTACTTTTTTGTTGAAATGTAAACTTCCTGCATTTTAAGAGTAATGGATGAGTGTGAAAGTACGCCATCGGAACTTGCAACTCACTTAGCACGCAGAGTTGTTACATCATCTGGTCAGAATAATTATAGTGCTGTAAGTTTACATTGTCGGACAGTTAAAAAACAAATAGTAGACATTGGTTTATTGATTAGACAAAATTACTCGCGTATCTAGTTCTTGGAAGATGTTGTTTGAGGTCTTCTCGTGGGACAACATTGTTAAAGTTATGGTATACTTAAAAATCATTTAAATGAGTTTTAAATGCTTCATTATTGATATATTCATTTTCAGGGAACCGGAGCAATAAGACGATTTGCGACGCATGCATCAATTGGTCCATCTATGTCAGTTTCTACAGTGGCTCCGAATCGTTATGTTCCGGTTACTCGTATAAGCACAAATCCTGCTGGTAGTTCATCTATGTATCAAGCAAAGCGGCCCTTGTCTAGTAATTATGCGTGCGATCTTCAGTTAATACGGAAATTTCCTCGCAGTACCGATAAATCCAAAGGCTTGCGACACTTCAGTACCAAAGTTTGTGAAAAAGTTAAAGAAAAAGGACATACGAATTATAATGAGGCACGCATTATTGCTGTTTCTTTTCTCTTATTTTTTTCTTATGCGAATGGTCTTTCTGCCGATTTCTCTACCTATTATTATTACAGGAAAATTAGCAGTATCTTTGCTGTGAAGTATGAAATAAGAATTGTAAATTCTTCCATATACCAAGTGATATTCGAGAATTATTAAGTTTATTTGTACTTTAGGACTGTTTTTTCGAAAATACTTTCTTTTTGTGAAGAGTTTGATAAAAAAGAAATTGACTATTTAATAAGGAAATATTTCTTAGGTAGCTGATGAGCTGGTTTCTGAGTATTTTGATTCAGCCGATGTTCAACCTACAGATACGGTATGTTTTCGTTTTGTGATCAGCATAATTTTCCAGAAAATCACATTTACGGATTTTAATCGAAAAGAGAAAATCATGTGCTTTTTTTCATCTTCGGATAACTCGACTCAACTTTTCATAATGTTTAAAATTTCAGAGATATTAAAATTCAAAAAATGGATGAGAAAAAATTTATTAAAGAGGAGTTATTAAGTTAAAGTGTGGAAGATAAATAATTGTAATAAAAGATAAGAATCATCATAGTTTAAGAGTTATAGTTCATGTTCACATGTTCACTTTTCAAGTTATGTAAATATTTATCTTTTCCAAAAATATTTAGGAAAAGCAACAATATGATATGAAAAACATTCGACGTCGTGTTTACGATGCATTAAATGTGCTAATGGCTATGAATATCATTGAAAAAGAGAAAAAAGAAATTCGGTGGGTTGGATTGCCAACATCTTCCGTGCAGGAATGTCGTAAATTAGAGGAAGAAAAAGCAAAGCGACAGGAACGAATACGTCATAAATCCGACCAGCTTCAGGAGCTCATAATACAGGTAAACGTATTTACTTATAGCTGGTTTATTATTTAATTCATGCTTTACAATCACAGAAACCTAAATCTGTTAATGGCTGGCTTCACCCTCATAGATTTTGAGATATAAGTTCACAAATTTTATTCCCTGGTTACTGAATAATTCATATAACTCAAATATTTCTACCAATTATTGATAGAAAGTTATAGTACGAAATTATCACAAAATTTTTTGGACAAAACAAGATTTATTTAGCTTAAACTCATATCGAGCATATGGCATTAACACAAGAGTTTTTTTAGCTTTAAACAAACTTCGTAGTGTTTTTTTAGCTTGTGGCTTATAAAACCTTGGTAGAAAAAAATCGTGAGTTGGAGCGTGATAATGGTCGTCCAATGGAAGATTCGATACTTTATTTACCATTCATCATTGTGAACACAGCAAAGAAAACATTCATCGATTGTGCCATCTCTCATGACAAGTGTGTTCGCAACTTTTTTTTGTAGCATTTGCTTTTTTTTATTACATTTCTTGCTAAATCTCTCTCATGTTACTTATTCGGAATTACGGTTTGATCAATCATCTCGTAAACTGTGATTAGATAACTATTCTCATATATAATCATATTGTTTGTTATCTAAAACTTTAATTATATGCATATCCGCACCAAAGTATTGATTAGAGAACTGTGGTATATAGTGCAAAGTATATATTTATTTTTGGACTTTTATTTCGAAATCAAATTATCATTTCAGTTGCTCGTTTTCTTTTTGTCGTCATCAAATTAACCAATCTGTTAATAAGCGTCGTTTCAAAAAATAATGAATGAAATAGAATTATTTTTAATTTTGAAATCTTTTCAAGATAGGTTTTTTCTACCATCAGAAACTTTATTGCTAATTTCTTTCTCGCTGTGAACTCTTCTCATAATTTTAAATTTTGACGTACCTTTTTTGCCTTTCAAAAGAAATGCTTCTGTTCAATTACTTTGATGTCGCCATTGTTAAATTTTGTTAAAATGACAAATGCATGTAAATCAAAATTGCTGTCAGCTTATAAAAAGTTTAATTTTAAGGACCGAATATTTGTTCAATTTCGACCAACCATTTGAAATTCACGATGATATCGAAGTGCTGAAAAGGCTTGGACTTGCTTATGGCTTAGATCGCGGTGAAGTTAGTGATGTTGATCGTAACAAAATTAAGTCGTATTTGCCCCTTTGTCTTCGTGACTATGTCGATCAAATTATTGATGGTGAGTCTTTTGAATTTTGAAGGAGTATGATGATGAATTCTCATTAACATAATCTGTAAAAGATCGATATCTGTTTATGTTGTTAAGTTCAGGTTTATTTTTTGATTTTAATTTTTATTTTCATCTGATGTTTTAGCCTTCAAAACTACGGAGTATTTTAGTACAGTTCCAAGAAAGTGTAATAGTAATTGTATATTTCATCTTCTCTCCTCTGTAGGTACTTGCAGTAATGCCGCCTATGATATCTCATCGAATATTGCTTCAACTGTAAACGCACCGCAAGACAATAAGCAGTAAGTTTATATTATTTTATTTCACTGCATTTTTAAGTGCTTCATCCCAATTTATTATTGGGTGAATTATGAAATATTCTATTAATTGGAACTTGTAAAATAATCTTGACTTGAATTTCAGGACTGTTTACGCCATAGCACCGCGCATTGAACAGTCAACAGTTACTCCACAAAGCTACCACCAACCAAAACGTCATCTTCAGTCATCCTCAGCTCGAATTATTCCACCTGTTCTTCCACGAACTATAATTACTGGTGCTAGTGCTCTTCAGACAGACTCGGATCCGGTCATTTTCCATCGCCTTGTTTTAATTTAATTTTAGCGAGTAAATAGGCTAAGAAGTTGCAGTGCGAAGAGATATGTTTTTGATAATTCTTACTTGATAGCATAGCTTTTATTTTTCCAGAAATACCTAACAACGAACCCAAACGGGTGCCGTACCATTCGTGGATCAGTGCAACGCTATAATATACAACAAGAAGGTTCGAACAACACACAACAAAGGGCATTTAATGCAAATAGACAAGTTGCTTATACCATTCAGGTATTTTATTTTTTTCAGCATTTTTTATATCCTTGAAATTTGCTATGTCAAACAAGTTATTTAATGTCTTATTAAATAATGTCAGTTATTTGTTTTTCCGTTGGTGATATCAACACTCTTTTTGGCTAATATAGATTTTGAGGTGTTAAGCCTTACTTAATGTTGCAACATCAGGTTGTGTTCAAAAGTATTAGAAACTTCTATCATGACATTCATAAAAATTCTATTCACAACATCTGTATTTTAATTTGTTGGTTCTTTAATTATAAAAATTATCATAATTTAAATGAGATTAATGTAATTTAGGATGTCGGACAGGGCCAGCTTTCCGAAGAACAACAGTACGAAGAAGTATATGAAGAAGAAGAGGAAGAAAATTTGGGCTATGAATAGTTCAATGCTTGTACGGCAGTGCCACAAAACATTGTATTCTCAAATTATTATTTTCAAGGTTCTACATTTAATCTATATATTTTATATGATGATTCTTGGTCTAGTGTTTTCTAAATGTAATAATTTGAATTGTTTTTTGCTGAAATGTGGAAATTATTTCTCAGTTTCAACAACTTAATTGCTAGAGAGAACATTTTTAACTTCGTGATGATCAGCTTTTAAGAGATATTGGTTGTGCTCAGTATTCACAACATCTTGAATAACCACCTCCACCTAGTTGTAAGTTACTGCTAATGTGAAGTGAAGTATTGATGAGGCATGCACGGAGCATGATGAATTTGAATCCATTTTTCATCTCAGAAATCTAGTGTAAAATGGTTTTTTTATTTATCTATTTTATTTATCTAGAAGTCTCAAATCGAGTTGTTTTTCTCCATTTACTAGTTTGCGTAGTTGATGAAATATAAAGTTGTGAAGATAGTTTGATTTGAAAGTCTCTCAGTTTTTTTCCCAATTCATTCTTGTTTGCAATTTTTTTTGTAGCATTATTGCATGTTTCATTCATTTCCGCGAAAAAGTGAGTTCTATTTGGATAAGTTGTAAAAATATATTTTTTGATGAACTATTGCACATTCATAACTGTTATTGTGATTTTTGCAAAGAATTTTAGAATTGCAATATGTGAATTCTTTTTAGGACACAAACGTTTTTGAATTTCTAGATGCTTTGATATCATAAGGTTGTTTAAACTGAGCTTTCTGTAATTACTGAATAAGTATGACTTACCAGATACGTCGAAATTTTCTCACAAATTTTTATGGACATAAGATCCAAGTTTTTACTGGAATAATGGCATATAATTCTTAGTTTTCAAATTAAACATCGAAGAGAAAGTAGAAGGAAAGACATCCTTGTAAGGAAGAGGCTTTCATCGACCTTCATTCTGTATTTGTTACAATGGCATGCTGTTGGAGGATCTCTAATAACATTCATAAATTTAGGTACTTAAATAAAATTTTTAGTAAGTGTAATAGAAATCAATTAATGAACATTATTTAAGTGTAGAACGATAATCAGCTTAATTCTTCCAAATTTGCTTGTTGACATCTGTTATTTAATCAACATACTATTGAAGTCCCTATAAATTGATTTTTGCTGAAAAGCTTGAAGATAAGGTTGGATCATGTGTGCTATCGAAGTTTTTTTAAATTACTTAGGATCGTTCATGGATCGGTTACGAAAAAAATGTAAGGAAGTGTAAGATGACATTGATTCGAAGCTTCGAATACATTTTCGGCCATTTAGTTTATCGAGATTTTAAATTGGTATTGATTCTTCTCGATCCATCACAAAAAATAGAAGTCAGAACTGATCTGGGGTGCTATGTTGTGCCACATAGGCAGAATGTAATATCTCTAAAGTTTTAAATGAAAAAGAAAATTTTAGTTAGAACTTCAGAAGTTTTTTTTATTTATTCTGCGAATAAGTCTTGCTTAATTTCATCCAATTTTATATTAAATTCAAGTATTAAAAATGTGATGACAGTATATTGAAGGATACTATCAGACTATTACTACTACGAATTTAAACATCTGTAATTTGATTTTTTCCAACGTCTGTAATTTGAATTTCGAGCTAAACAAAATGTTTACATTGAATTAGAATCGATGCATGACATATAACAACTACATTAGTTTTTTTAAATAACTATATATGTGTTAGTTTTTTACATGTTACTTTTTTTTTAATTTGTATATTAATTTTTTCAAATAAAAATTGGAGAGTTCACCAATATTATTATCAAATTGTCGATAATACTTCAGCTTGTATATTCTTTTGCAAATGGATTCATCCATGGAAATTTTCATTTTCATTAAAACTTTTCGGAATTCGATTTCAATTGATAACATTTATTTTAATTCAAATCTCCGGGAAATTCTTCATACACGTTTGCTGAAAAATATGGCTTGCAAAGTTCTCACAAAATCAATAAAAGCAAAAAAATTTCCTTAAATTTTGTAATGTAAAAGTTTGTGTTTTAATCATTTCTGAAAAAGTATTGGCATTTATAGCAGAAATGATCGATTTTTGTTTATACATTTTTATTGTATCGCACACTGCAAAATATAATCTAAATAATAGAAAAAATGATGAAATTTTGCCAATCTTTTTGTACGCAATCTGTTGAAAGCGTTGAAATTTTTTTCCCTTCCATAGTTAAATGTAAAATGAAAAGAAGTGATTGTTGTTGCATTTTGTTTATGAAAAAATAATTTTATTCGCATAGATTCAAATTTTCTGACAATGAAACTTTTTTTTGAATTCTAATCAATCGGTCAGTCAATCATTTCTTACAAACAACAATAAACACACTATCTATATTCGTTAACTTTCTGTTTGCTTTTCATACTTACATAATTTGAGCTATTGGAATTCGTAACATTTCAATTCTAACAAATTAGATTCATTATCTTTATTTAAATATAATTCATTAATTAATTAATGCTAATTTGAATTGATTAAAATTATTTCAGTTTGAAAATGAATTTGATTGTTTTGAAATGAGGAATATTGCTGCAATAATTTTGGATTTTAACAATTTTGAAGTCTAGCAGATAGTTCTTTGCTTAAATCTAGCGTAATTATCAAATTTTACTTGTTTATCAAGATTAATTTAAATTTTTTCAAGCATGGTAATATAAATAGTGTAAATTTCTGCATGGCAACTGATGACAGACACGGCTACTGGTAGTGGTGACGAATGCTCTGGGCGTTGCTGTCGCAGTAATCAACCATGTTGCTATAGGAGCTCCTTTCCGAAATTACTAAGAAAAAGCTAAAAGTGGGAACATTTTTTTGTTTTTTTCTAAAACAATACAATTTGTCCGATTTCCTATATTTACTCTTGGAAAACTCTAAAAGCACATGTTGACAGCATAATTATTTTTGTTCGATTGTTTTCTCCCCTATCTCTACTTTTTAACTTCTTTCATCCAATATTGTTATAATAAGTCGAAACAACTGGTTTATCCGTAAATTAGTAAATCAAAAAATTCTTTTATTAAGCAGGCAATTCAAAATTCCCATTATATTTAGTATGAAATTGGAATTTTGTTTTCTAACTTTCCAGTACAGAAGTAATTGCTGTTAAATCTCTTATCGTTTTTTCTCTTTGCAATCAAACCTACTTGCAAATTTCGTTCATGAAAAGTTATTACCTTTCGTTTACCTTTCTCAGATTATCCATTACTCAGTTACCATTGAATAATCAGTTGTCATCATTTGATCTTTCGTTTCCCAACTTAGCAAAATTTCCATCTGTAATTATCTCAAAAAAATTAAAACTTATCAGCAATAATAAGAGCGATACGAAAACGTGAAATTTCGATTTTTAAAAACATTCAGAATTTTTTGTGGCCATATGGTGATCTCTCAATACGAGGAAAAAAGGAATGGAAATCGACATAATTGATCGTTTCACATTTACATTTATGCTCCACTAATTCCTTTCTACCTCATCACATAATTTATCGCCCTAAATTGAGCCTGATCATATGTGCCATTTTTTTGGAATTTTTCTTTCCAATTAAAATTTATTATATTTCGTATAAATGAAATATCGAGAAGGAATTTAAACTGTACCAGTTGTAATTTAAAGAAATACCTTTTATTATTACTTCAAGATTTTTTCAAAATGAAGATAGTAATTGTTAGAATTAAATTTTAAATTTGTAAAGCTTTGAAGGAAACTATTTAATACAAATTAATATAATAATTGAATACAAATTAAAAAATAGCTACATCAAATTGTATAAGATTTCGAGAAGTTGAAATTTTTTTGAATTAATTAATTTAATTAATAGTCTAATATAGTGTTTAATGGATTATTCTATTCTGTAATTTTTGTTTGTAGTTTCCGAAGTATGAGAGAGAAAGAGGGAGAAAGAGAGAGATAAACTATTTGGAAATTTTTGTGACAAATATTTTTAAAATGCTATTTGGAGAGAGAGAGAGAGAGGGAAAATCCCTTCAACAATTATTTTAAAAATTTCCGTCCAATAATTTTATGTATTATTATGCTAAGAATTTCAATACTCTGAAAAGAATTTAGAAAAAATTTTTTAAAACAATTTCTAAATTGTTTTGACTGCGATGTGAGTCATTTCCTAAGAAATGGATGAATCATCATGATTGGAAAAGTACAGCAACAGTAGGCGTCAAAAACGATAATACTTTTATGTTGAATAGGTATTGTAAATGTTTCTACAGTCATTACATCGAGTTAGAGTGAGTCATCAGTTGAAAAGTCGGAAAGTTACGAAAAATCCGGAAGTAGGAAATCTGAATGGGCGGTCCTTTTCGATATCCTGCACTTCTCTCCATTTCGTCTCTTCAGCTAAGCATTTCAGGAAAATTATATATAAACGAAAGGAGAAAAGTGAAAGGAATAATAAGTGTTAGATTGTTTTCAAATTTTCCATTAGTACAAAGTAGAATGAATGGGTGGCAATATGACAAGTTCATAGATATAATGAATTACTTCTATTACTTTGTTAATAATTTAAAATAATTGCTGAAGAGAAGGCTCGAAATATTTTCATTTATTTGGCAACTTATCAATAGAGTTAGTACTTCTATTGGCTTCTATTAGCTATTGTAATAAGCACCTTAGTGAGATGTTGCAAAGATTAAAAAGATATGCTAAAAATGCATTTCAAAATGGCAGTCGTTGTCTTTAATATTTCATTTTTAATATGTTATGCAACAGAAACATTTTTGAAATGAAATAGTATTTGCCTTTATTCTTTTGAACGGTTTTATTTGGTATTTATAGTTTATGGAAGAAAAAACATGCCCAATTTCTAGACCGTAATTCAGTTTCCTTCAAACTTTGAAATGATAACTCTAAAATTTCCTAAAATTAATGATAAGAATAATGATGATAACAGCATATTCCCGGATGATCACATCATTTACCTTTTGTTTAATAATACATAATATATCTTTTCCATTTAAGAAATTGTTCGAATTATACATGTTTGAATTAATTTATATCTTTTATTGGTAAAGATGATTTTGATATTATATCTCAGTCCCTTAATATCTGTTTTCTATTTATCAAAAAATTATCACAAAACTAAGAAGTCCCAAGTTCGAATTACAATAAGCAATTGCATTTTTTGTAACCAAAACATTGCATTTAGGCTCAAAAGTTCGTTGTAACTCTCAGATTCTCTCTAAATTTATTCAATTTTGATTTATATCGTAAGGTTTGTAATTTTGTTGTCATTATCTGATAGCTTAATCACAAGAAATGATTCAGCGATGAAAAACCTCGATAATAGATCAATTAAAATCAATATTTTATGATAAAACAAAACTTCTCCTCCAGTGAATATATTCGGTGAATTAAATTTATTACTACAAATGTAGTATAAAAGTGAAAATTTTCACTTTTTTTACTTAATGTTATCATTTTTCTAGAGAAATGAGAAATTGGTTTTCTAATTTAAATTTGTAAATTTGAATTTTAGAAAGAATAAAGAACATCAGCAGAGATGATTATTGATCATCGCCTTCGAATATAGTGAAAACTTACAAAGAGTGTTTTGAGAATTAAGCTAGTGCTGTTAAGTAATTAGTGCTCATTACAGTTGAAGGTTATAAGTTATGATTGCTCTTCAAACTTTGCTTCTGAATTGAACTGATATACAACACCCTAATTGCTTCAACCTTTAATCTTCAATTTTTAGCCTCATTAAATTCATTGAAAACAATTAATGTTTACAGCTAATTTTCAGGACCTGTTTTTATTTCAAAATGTTTTTTATATATTTTTTGTGACTTTTGTATGGCACATTTTATCAGATATAATCGATTATTAGAAAAAGGAAGAGAGGAAAAGAGAGAGAAAAGAAAAAACGGAAGAAAGAAGAGGAAGAGAACTGTGTCAACAATATTTAGGACTTTATACTTTTTGATAACTGATGGAATTTCTTCAGGAATTTTATTCTTTTCACTATTGTCATCATACTTCGTTTCATTTTACAACTGTTGATGTCAAATGCTTTCATTTTCACTTAAGGCTTATTTTCTCATATTTCTTTTACACTCATTTCATCATAGCTATTTGTCACAAGCAATTCTAATTTTACTATTACTACTAATGGATATTATTATCAGAAGTAAATAATTGTCATTTAGCGCTGAATATTATCCTCAAAAGAAATTAGATAATCAAAAATTGACGACAAAGATAATTTAGTTTCTAAATTGTATGCTTACGTATTTAATTTCATATTGCATAATTGTTAATTATTAATAATTCTCCATTAACATTCTATGTAGTTCCTATAAAGAAAATGACGCTCGTTGAAAATAAATGGCGTGATGATCGTACAATGTTTCGTTCCCGTAATTCATTCTGGGATAGCGATCGTTGGTATCGTGATTGGGATGATTGGCCATTGGATTGGCCTCGACCTGGTGAACTTGTGCGACGCGTAAGTTTTTAATTTATTTTTCTTGCGAATGAATATTTTTTATTAGAAATATTGAATTTGTTGCCGAAACTTCTGGTCATATGATAGTTGCGTTAATTTTCTACCATCCTCCAAATCTTGCTGTCGTCTGCTGTGGTACTCTTTATACTTGAATGAGTGATGTGGAAATGTTTCGTGTCGTTTATGTTTATTGTTGACTTTGTAGAAAGATGGAGAAATGGCAAGTGATGGGAGGAAGATTTGTTTACAATGTAAATCACTGTCAAATAATTAAATAATTAAGGAATTTAATAAATGAATGCAATAAACTGTAAATAGTGGTAGAATAGGTAAACGAAGTCCATAATTTAGATTTTAAAGTAATTACGGAAGCATTCACAAAGATTGATCTTTTTTAAGCCATTTTCTATTTATTTAACTTCCCAGAAGAAAGATTTAGTTTATGATTCTGACGTAAATTTCAGGAATTCCCCTTCATTTTTTCCCTTAATATGACACAATACTGATTGAAATGTGAAATAGTATTCCTCCCTTCTAACAGACAACAATTCATTTAGAGGTAGTTGCCACAAAAGAGTTTACAAATAACAATTCAATTTTCATTCCCAATGAAAAATATCAAAATCGTAGTGCGCTTTTTGATCCTACCCATTCTTCCTGTTCCATCCTCTTCTCATGCTTACTACAATCCATCAGTAGTTATTCATTCAATTTTCCCACATTTTCCTTCTCCATACAACGAATGAAATGATACGATAAGAGCTGAAAATGTTTTTTTCCTTTTTAGTGCAATTTCAAAATATTTTTAAAATTTTTTCTTTTTGCTTTTTCATTTCAGCCAATCTATATTGAATTTTATAAAATTCGTTCTATATAGATTTGATAATAAGATAAAGTTCCAAGAGATAAAATCCCGGAAGATAAGATATCTTATCAATTATGACTCGTCATGGGAAAGAAAGATAACGGAAGTTCAAAAAAAATTAAATGTGATTTTTATTTCAATAAAAATTGAACTAACAAAAGATTAGCATAAATTAATGAATAATTTATTTGAAATGTTTTAGGATACATTTGTATTCAATGTTTTTCAATTCAAGCATATTTTTAAAACAGAAATTATGAATTTGAGAATTGGAAATTTAATTCCATTTAATTAGTCTTTGAATAATGAAAAAGATGAGCAAAATTTTCCCAATCTTACTTCATTTCTTTAAGAGAATAATTGAGATTTGAAACTGATAACAATGATAATGTTATGTTTCCTTTTAAGAATTGTCGAGGAAATTATTATTACATCGCATAGTTTTAATAAAAGACCTTGAAAAATAAACGCGCCGTTTCAATATATGTACATAAAACGAACATTTCTGATGTAAAGTCTTTTAAATAGTTTTGATGATTTTGTATGTTGATTAAATAATAAATTAGTGTCAATTGATGATTTTAAAATGACCGATTGCTAGAGAAAATGGCTTTATCTTAAAAAGACTACGTATCAAATAATTATTTCAGTTTTACTTGAACTTCTTTCCTTTCCTTTTGCAGTCAGTCACTCTTTTGTCATCATTTAGTAATCATTGTATTGGAATTCATTTTAAAGTAATTTTAGGATTCGACAAAATTATTGACTCAATTAGAATCTATTCGTTTTCAATCATTTCGCGTTCTTTCTAAAATTATCTTTTTGCAAATTTATAAAAACATGAATATAATGTAAAATCAGTTATTGATGAGAGCGGAAATAATCCCTTTTTCGATGAAATATTCATTGGTAAGAGAAGAGAAGAATGTCCTCTCTTCCCCTCTCTCTCTCTCTCTCTCTCTCTCTCTTTCTACATCATGGTTAAGAGAACTTCCCGAAAATATTAAAATTTCAAATTATATTTTTAGTTTTGTATGCATGTGCGCATGTACGTGAAAATTTGGATGAAAGAAACGTTCCATCTATCTATTGAGGATATTATTATAATTGTTGGAGGATAGGAGAGGAAAATGACGATGATAATGATGGTTGGGGGTCATTTGGTTCAATTTGGCAAGAAATATTTTGAACTCTTTTAAGATTTATATTCATACATTTCTCTCATTTCCTCTTCTTTTCCTCTTAACCTCTATTCTTTTCATCACTTCTCATTACCTAATCCATCCTTTCTAATAAGTATTTCATAAGATTTATATATCTTCTTCCTCTTTGCTAATTTTAACCTATTTTCATTTTTCATGACATTTCAAATGATTGATTTTCGTTGTCAGTATAGGATGATGAATGCTATTATGATCATGAAAGCTTAGTGTCTCATTTGCATTTTATCCACTTGACGGTTATTGCCAGTTTCTGTTAAGTTTATAATAAGTGTAATCACAGAAGCAAATAACTTACCATACTTGAAAATTATTTCCGCCTTGGATAGTGCACTCCTTGAATGGGAAAATTGAAGTGCGTCCTATTTAATATATTTTAAGTAAGTTGCAATTATTGTCTCTAATTGTTCAACAATTTAGTCTTCGTAAAATGCAGTTTTGGTATATAAATTTGAATTGAATTGAAATGTAAAGAATTAGGGACATTCATTTAAATAAACTACACGAATCAAAAATCGGACAAAAAAAAACCGGAATTGCTAGAAACAATTTAAAAGCATTAATTCTTTTCGGGTAAAATTATAAACATCATTTTTCTGAAGGAATGAGAAGTTAGTAAGTAAAGATAGGAATTTAGAATTGTTATAAAATTTTGAAGAGAAAAGGAAAGCCGACATGACATTATTTGTATGATAAAATGGAATGTAATCATTTACTAAATAAAAGGGTGGCATAATTATTGTGCGGTGAAGTTTATATTATTTATATGAGTAATAGATGAAGGAATAATTATAATAATTTTATTAATTGTTATGTATATATTTATGTATTAGATCTTTCTTATGTAGCGGCATCAATGAAATACATTTTTTTATTTTAATTACTGGATCAGTATTGTTCGTTGTCACTGTCATTAAATTGTCATAGTGATGAGAGATGTCAGAGATGTGGAATGAATCATTATTTGCTGCTTGTTTATTTAACAACTTCCATGCCTTTTTATATATTTACTTTACTATGATATTTGAAATTTTATGAATTCTTTATTTGCATATTGTACTTAAAATATGTTTTATAGTGGAGAACCGATTTTAATCGGGATGGATTCTGGGATTGGCCATCTGATTGGCCTCGGATGGATGATGTAATGCCAAGGGTATGTTATGAAATTTAATTCAAACATTCAGATCCTTTGCTGATTTCACAGCTCTAATTTTCATTTTAAATAACAAACTGAAATATGCAAGAATAATTCGGAAAGAGGAAGAAGAATGAAAAGGTAATCAAGAATGTTACATACTGAACTGCAAGAATTTCGTTTTTTTAGTTGCAACTGTTTCTAAATAAATAGAAGTTTTCATCTTATTCTCCAACGTATGCCGGTTTATCATGGAATCCGGAATAAGTTGTAACTAGCATTTTAAACTCCATCAATTCCCATCAAAACAATAACAATCATCGTACATTTATAATTTATTATCAAAATCAGATTTCTTTATGAGATACTCTTATGCCTTATCGGTTATAAATAATATAATACAAAATAAATTAATGCGAAATTAAGTTATTCTTTTTATAGAATTGGATAAGATTTTATTTCTGAAATTTCCTAGTTAAATTCTTGAAATTTTCAGTTTTCTTCACGTCTCGATAGTTTGGATCGTAATTGGCGTTCCGATCCATTTTGGCGTGATTTGTATCCACGTTGGGCAGAACCAATTTTCAAAGAAGGTATCGATATTCGCACGAATATTATCAACGATACGTTACGTTTTGTCGTAGAAATTGACGCATATCAATTTCGACCGGAAGAGATACAAGTTTGCTTCTTAATTTCATTCGAATTTTTTTCCGAAAAATTAGAAATGGTTGCAATTTCTAGAATAAAAAAATTTTTTCTGAGCCATTTCTTTTTAGCACTTGTATCCTACAAACTCTTCACAAGTGTTTCAAATTACCATAGTGGTGATGAATTTTAAGTTTTAACGATGAAGATATAATTTTGAATAATGTTGAAAACCTTGGAATAATTGCGTTCTGCACAATCTAATGTATTAACTGAAAATGTTATACATTTGAGGTAAAAACCATAGATGATACGTTGCTGATCGAAGGTCGACATGAAGACGTTCGTGATCGTGATAATTTCACAAAGATGTATTTCGTGCGCAAGTATCAGTTACCGCTGGACGTAAATCCTATGGATATTTCAAGCACCATTGACAGTACAGTTAGTTTTGGTGACTAAATTGCTCCGAATTCAGTTTTTTCAGCTGTTTATCATCATTTAATCCACTGTTTGGTTACAATCATTAAATTAATCATTATGAGCAACAATCAATTAATTCAATTTACGTAGATAACAGGAAAGCTTTTTTGTCTCATTTCTAATCCTCGTTTTGATAGGATAAGGAATGAGGTGAATCTCAAATAATAAATTTTAAAAGCAATAAGCACCAACGCTCATTTCAAAAAATAATTTGAATTTATTAATCACTGTTAATCAGCAAACAACAAGCTTATCAAGTCATTAATTGAGATTTTCAATATACAGTATCTTATTCAGGGTCGTCTATTTGTTGAAGCAAGGAAGCAGCCGCAAGTACAAGGACGTGAACGTACGATTCCAATAGAAGGATCGTCAAGACGTGGCGAAATTCGAATGCAACAAAATGATGGCACACGAAGCCATGAAGATTCTGGTTAATTTTAATAGCTTCCTCAGATATTATACCAATTACTAACTTATTCTATGTATTATACGCGAAAGAGAGGAAAAAAAGGATATACATTTGAATTCTTCAAATTTTAGATGCCTTCTTTGGAAAAATTTTAGGTGCCTTCTTCCAACATATACGATCTAATTTAGGTCACTGGAGTTTTTGAATTCTTTCACTATAGGTTCGTATGGATCGCGTATGCAGCAACAATCAGCACCTAATCATCGTTCACACAGCTCATATTCTTATCAGCATAGTCGGACAACTACTGGTGGCTCACCAACCAGTACTTATCGTGAACGTAGTGTTCCAATCACTGAAACCGGAATAAGTTCGCGAGCTAGCGAAAGAAGAGCTTCCGGTTGCCACATTATAAATTAATGGAATTTAAAGATTTAAATTTAAATAGCGTTAAGGGAAATGAGTGGACCACAGTGCTTAATTTCATCTCTCCATGTCACTTCGTGAACCACTGAAATTTCAAAATTTTTATAATTTACGAGCTAAGGTTAAGAAAACTCGTTGTGAAATCCTCCCATAAATTGCTTAAATTAGTTGAAAGATAGGAGTTATAGAAAAGTTTAGCCTAATTACTGAAATTTCAGAAAAATTTCATTCCAATGAAAGACGTGAACGTGAAGAGGAGTACCGATCCGAATCCAAAAATGACTATTGCAGTCAATCATCCAGACAAGATAGCGGTTTCCAGGATAGTGGTTCTTTATCTACCAAACAGGATGGAGGTCCACGAAATGGTGATACAAATCCCAATAATGTCCGTAATGTGCCAATTCTTCGAAAAACATTTAAATAAATTCAAACTTCTGAATACTTTGATATAAGACCTTTTGAGAGTCATGACTCAATAGGACATCGGCAAACATATTTATTTCATAGTTCCTACTGAGTTCATTTGAATCTCGTAAAGTGTTAAGACAGAAACCGATGTCTTCATAATTTTGCTGAAGTCTATTTATGATATCAGAATGTCAAAGAAATTAAAACTGGATGTAGCGAACCTGCTTATTTGTTTAATGTACCGTATCATCTTTTTCTTCTAGTAACACTATTAAATTTCACTTATTCGTATCAATTATTATATTTGAATATACAGGATAGCTTCTTGTAATGCAAATAAACTTTTCTTGATTTAAATGATATATTTCTTATAGTTCAGCAATATCCATAAAACGTTATTTTCCCGATTAATACAACAAATGAAAATATCGTTTCATATGCTTCACGAAAAATTACTTGAACTATGATAAGATCGTATGAGTTGTAGTTAAGATGGATATTATTGTTGTAGTATTAACGAGAGAAAAGCTTAACGCAGTAACACGATACGTGTTACGTACAATAAAGCTCGAATTGTTCCATCAATATTTTATTAAAAGCATATTCATCAATATTTTATTGAAAGCATAATACCAACTGCCGATATATATACCTTTGCCTTCTTGGAAAATATTCCACAAACCATATCATGATTATACACTGATGTAATGCGATCCACTTTATATTCCCGTGTGAAGTACATTTCGTGGCATATAATTCTAGACATATGACATTCGACACATGGATCACTAAGCAGAACCTGCATAAGTTAGAAATGTTGAAAAATATTTCAGGAAGTTGTGCATGCAATCTGCAGTGTTTCTTTTTCCCAAATATAAGTTATTACACAATATCATACTTCCAGATTTTTCTGCTCAACTGCTTATTTAACAAATTCAACTTAAGGCAACAAGCTCTCTCAAAGTAAAGTTTGGCAACAAATTTTCTTGTTAAAAGGCAAACATACAAAATTCTAGGAGAATAAACAAGTTGGACTGATCTTTATATAATGAGGTATTCACATCAAGAAATATAGACCACAAACAGTAGATCCTGTTCATATCCTCACCATAAGACGCAAGACTACCGTTTCCCTCACAAATGTAAGGTCCATACTACGGCACTGACTACAACAGTTAACACATTCATTTCAAAGAAATTTTTGTGAAGTAAATGAAGCAAAGCGGGAATTAAGTTGCCCATAACGTTCCTTGATCGCGTCAGCATTCAAATTCCCCGCCCGTCCAAATGTATGATTCTGAAAACAACATAAATGGCTGGTATTGAAAATTAATTTTAAAAAAAGATTTCTTGTATTCCTGAGCAGATTTGAAGCAAAGACTTCACAATAGAAACAAAAATAAATACACCAAAAAGCAATACGAAATTCTAAAAATTACATCTAAATCCTTATTTCGATCAAATGGTCGCCGTTCTGTTGCGATTATTCCCTAAAAAATAATGCATTCGATATTTTGAACTCAAATAATTGAAAGAATGGAACAAAATTTGAATACCTTATCGCACCATGCTTTAATGAAAATAGAATCTAATTCAGTAGGTGGAGATAGCACTACAAAAATAACATAACCGAATTATATAATTGAAAGCCATCTGAAATACTATTTATACAATCAAAAAAAAGCTGTACATTCTCATCGTTCTCATGTTTCCGTTTTCTTTGGTGAATATCCAGCAATGATTCTGCACGATCTTCCTGCAAAAGAGAAAAAACAAGTCGAGAATCGATAGTCATCTGTGTTGTGTGTAGTTGTAATGCATTATAATCAAAGTGTAACATAACAGTTTAAACAGTGTGCCATAAAAAAACTGGAAGATTCCTTTACACTATTTGAATATAGTGTAAAAAGTGCTTTGTCAAATTAGCCACTAAAAGGAATTTAGTAAAAAGAAAGCTAAACAAGAGAGTGGATATCAGAAACCATAAACATACTTCCAAAGCCGCTACATGTTCAATATGAATGGCATCAGAATTCCTATTACGTTGTGCCTCAAAAAACAGCCCACTCGGTCCAGCACAAGATGAATCACCTCGCTCCTTTAAAATAAAAGAAAATTTAGATGAGCTTTGATCAGTTACTGAAATTGACAATTTTAGTAAATGACAAACCCTCGTTCACTTGCACGCAAGGAAAGATGTAGAAAAAACCCAGAAATTTTCATAAATTTCAAAGCAGCATTAAATAAGTTCTATAAAGAAAACCAAATAAATAGGGCGATAGTCAGCAAACTCACTAATGTACAATTATTCAGAAATTCCAATAAAACAAAAATCTCGAGAAATTTTATTCGAAAACAGTTGCTACCAATCGATTTTTCCTTTCTGCTGGAGTTTCCGTCCATGCAAGCTTTCCTTCTTCGGTTCCATCAGAGACTTTCTTCAATGAAAATGATTTGGTTGACAAACTATACCCACCGAAACATTTAGGCGGTTGCGTCATCCATTCTGGTCGTTTGCACGCAGATTTCTGGAAAACAGCTTTTCAGATTCGTCGAAGAGACACATTGTTAATGCAATACTACAAATTTTTTCAATATCTAGCCGATAAAGATTCTCTATCACCTTGCTCGCTTGCAGCATCTCCAGACGCACTAATCTTTCTGTATATTCTTCGTCTATATTTCCTTTTTGTTCCCAAGGAGGAATTGGACCTGCAACATTAGTCAACTGGAAATCTAAGGAAAAATGTTCTCAAATTTAAAAAATTCGTTTCAAAATCTAAGTGTCACCAATTAAAATTAAAAGAATTATTTCGAAAATTAAACAATGGAAACAAAGTCTCAGACCGAAAACGTTATTGCTATCACCATCATTATCATGACCGCAAGTATCATCATCAATGGGTACTTCAACATCGAAGTCTTTCCCAGCAGATGTAGACGGTTTATTTTGCAAATCGTATGGTACTGCTGGGCCGTAAACATCTCTGCTGTCTTCTTCATCATCATTCTAAAGGTAAATTTAATTAAACGGTGTAAGAAAAATATTATCCAAAAATTCAGAAAACCAAAAGTTTTTAAAAGCAAGAAAACAAAAAAAAATGAAGGACAAACTCCTAAATTGGCAACTGTCGGTAGCAGATCTGGCATTGATGGACCAATTACTCTTTTTAAAGAGTAATCTACACTTGAAGAATGCGTTTCTCCAGGTTCCGGAGGAGGTAATAAATTTTCTGCAAAAGCAAAATATCAAGTAAAACACGGACGGATTATTGAATATATCATTATGTCGAATTGTTTACTAGATGAATCGAAGAAAAAATCTGGAATAAGCCTGAAATGAATTAATCAAGGTTAGCGATGCAAATAAATACGAATATTTTAAAATATGTTAATTGTGCTTTAAAATTCAAGATCCAATTTTCACCACATAATGAAAATTACCTCGTGAACGCTTTGTTTCTTCTTCAGGAAGCGAAGGTGCGATTATTTCCGATGAATTTCGCACGGTTGAACCAAAACATGAGGATTGAGAGGATGACGATGGAATATTGCTCGACATTGAAAATTGCACTGCAAAAGTCATATATAAATATAATGGCTTACAATACATATCTAATTAACTGAAACTTGCTGCCAAAAATTAATATTCAATAAAAATAAGACGAACAACAAAATATGCATCGATATATCAGTTGCATTTCAGATTCACTTACAGAATGAGCATATATTTGGCATTGCAGACTGAGAATCACCTTCATCGGGATCTTCTGGATCTCCAGGATCTTCTGGATCGTCTTCTTCGCTACTGTTCATAAGTCCGGGTGGTAAAGAAGGTCCTAAACAGAATAGTTTTAAATTGACTTAGTTTGAACTTATTTTCGATTCCATAGCTCCTTCAATTCATATTAAAAAAGATACGAACCGCATAGTTGTTGGTCAGAAGATGATGTGGTACCAAGCTCGCTCACACTGTTTGGTAACTGATCGAGATACGAAAGCGAATTATTGCTCCGAGTAAGACATACTTCACCCATATTCACATGAATTTGTCTTGTTGCTGAATAAAATCCTAAAAAAATAACTGCGCATCCCTAACAAGCACAAATGAGAGAAACCAGAAATGTAATTGAATCAGCGCTCTACTGATAAAGTCATAAGAAATTAACCTGGTGGAGCGATAAAATCGAAATTCCTCGAACGACAATCTTGTTCATCAGTTTCATGATCTGAGCTACTGTTATAATCTAGCTCTTCCGAACGGTCAAATTCATCCCATGATGGCCCCTGCATCGTACAATCTGACGGCAAACGAGGCGACGACATTTCTTAAAATTAAATAAAATTCAATTACTTACATCGGACAGTTATCAAAATTGCTAATAATTGTTGTAATCACATCTTCGACGCTACTCAGCTACCTTTGTATCTACAAGTCCATTAAACTTTCTTATATATGCTTCCAATTCTTCCCTTTGGCGTTACTAATTAGCCTAGATGGTGCAACCCATGTTCATTGGAAATTTCCATTGTTTACGTCCACTACTTCAAATTCCGAAGAATCCACTCCCTTTCATAACCAAGTGTTCCAACCCTAAAGATCAAGTATTACTTTCCCAGTGTAGCTTTTTATTGAAAAAGAGTATTAGAATTTTAGAACTGGAATATCTGAACTACAGAAAAAAACGAAATGAGTGAGTTACGTATGTATACAAATGGCGTTAGATAGAATTCAGTAAAAAAATTAAAATTAGCGATCTGTTACGATCAGAGATATTTTAGTTCAAATTTATACGCAGCAAAGAAAACTAGAAGAAAGGAGGGTGATATAATATAAAATCCCAGAAAAGTTATGCCGCACAGAAGAAAACGATGTAAAATGAGAGACCTCCCTGAACGGGACACCACCGTCCTTCTGTCACCACCCCGCAATTCTGAAGGCCGTATAGGACGGCCAATGAGCTCAGTGCAACAAAGTGAATCCCACAAGAGATGTTTATAACGTTTGATTTCAGCTCTTGTTATGTAGACTTCTGTGAATTTTAGCGGAATTTCTTTCTCTTATCGTTTATTCGATATATAATCAATGCATATATTTCACAAGATTTCGATCATCTACTTCAATGTTTTGGATGACTGTAAAGTAACATAAACTATTCAATCTGGAAAATTAAAATTTTTTTCCTGAAATTCTTTGATAGTGTCTAAGTAATTGTTTTTCAAGTTTTAATTGTTATGAATTTATTGTCAGCGTATATGAGTCATATCGATAAAATTATTTTGAACGGTGGGCTTAAGAACCAGTTTTTAACTTTATGACATTATGAAATAGCTTGTGATTGTAGTTTCAAAAAAGTGGAATTTTGATAGTTTGGTAGAAAGGGAGAAATATCATAGCTAAACAGTAGATGCAGACGATTTAAGTTAAACTTTTTTACTACTATTACAAATCGTTGGTTAACTTCTCGTCTCGCATTGAGAGAGAACACTGATGAATCCATTCCAGCTCTCTTTTATATTCATTCCTTTTTCGATACACACTGAAATAAAATGATTCTTGTCGACGTTTCTGACTGTATGGCACAATCTGATTCATATAGTTATTCCCTTTTTCCTCTTACTGTACGACTCGATCGCTGACCTTCAGTTCTTTCTTTCTCACTTTATCGCTGATCTTTCCAAAAAGTTCTTTGGTATCTTACATAGTTTGTTAAAGATTCCGCATCCGGTTATCTTTTTTTCATCAATAATTTTTTGAATAGATTGTAGCATGACGTAGGAATTTTATCGTTTGAAACATCGTACTACTACATATCTGTCATATGAAGCATTAATTCTTTATATACCACCGATGTGGAATGAATATGCTTTTATGAGATTCTGGGCATAGAATGAAATTGCTTTTGCTGTGATGACATCAACTCTGTTTGTTACAATAAATTTCAGAAATGAATTCTTTTCAGCAGGTGACTGCTCGAGAAATTGATGAAGAATAGTGAAGGATAGTGATGTCGCTGTATGATGAAGATCACTGCAATTCTGAAATATCCAGGTAATAGGATTTCAATTAACTTTTGATTGGCTTTGTTCGAATTTTTAAATATCGAGTTAAATGTGACTTGGATTTCATGAACTACCTCTAAAATCTTGTTTTCTTTTTTGCTAGTATCAAGTTTTTTATTTCTCGAATATAGAAGAGATTCGAAAATTTGCTGGAGATGCTCTACTGATACAGTAACTAAGTGATTATTCGGATGCTACTGTTTAGAGTTCACGTTTTCTTATCTTTATTATTTTATAGAAATCGGTTCAAATTAGATGCAATTTCGTTGAATAAACCGCCAGAAGAAGTGTTTGACGTTGTCGGGAAACTTGGCGAGGGGTTTGATTTCATATCTATTTTTCATAATTTTTAAGTCTCTTATAGTTGCTTTCAGAGAATAATCATACACTCATCTTTCTTTTCGTTTTCCACCATTATTTTGTATGTTCGATTTGAATTTTTAGATCAAGTGATTAACAAGAGAACGCTTCAAGAATTACTGGTGGCCTATAAACTTTTAAACTAACATCTGCATGAGAAGCATGAATTGTTTAAGCCTTAAGGGAATCCCTACACAATCGGTTTGGCAAAATAGCCGTCCGATGCATAAAACTTACATTTAGTTCTTTGGTATTTGGCTGTTTTATTTCAGGTATAACTATTCGTAATTCTAAAGATATGTTCAAAATATATATGTGGAGGAAGCACCACTAAAGTTGTTGAATGTTTTCACGGATTTTGCAAAAATTCTTCAGATCGTATGGATCGGTGCACAAGGCAATTCACAAGGAAACGGGGCATGTACTTGCAGTTAAGAAAGTACCTGTGGATACGGATTTACAGGAAATAATCAAGGAAATTAGCATAATGCAACAATGCGACAGTAAATATGTCGTTAAATATTATGGTTCATACTTCAAAAATTCCGATCTTTGGGTGAACACTTTTCATTTTGCGTGTGTGTATATATTTGCGTGTGTATGTTCATTTTGCGTTGTTTACTGATAACATTCTAGAAAAGAACATCAAAGAGATTAGTATAAGTGAAAGAATTCAATTATTATTTTTCTTTCTAATGTTTGGATTTAAATCGCTGTTGAAGAATTTTTTAAGGATAATCACGATCTTTCATTTCATATAACATTCAATATTTCTTTCAAGATTGTTATGGAATATTGTGGCGCTGGTTCAGTTTCTGATATTATGAGGATTCGTAAAAAAACACTGAATGAAGCAGAAATTGGTGCTGTTACTAGGTGAGTAAATTGTTATTTTATTAGCTTTTCTGCAATCAGTCGAAACGAAACTTTTCGTGAAGAATTCGGAGAAATCCTTGTGCATTTTCAGGGATGTTTTGAAAGGTTTACGTTACTTGCATGATTTAAAGAAGATCCATCGAGATATCAAAGCTGGCAACATATTGCTCAATGCGGAAGGTCATGGAAAACTAGCGGATTTTGGTGTCGCTGGCCAGTTAACGGTACATTAGTCGGCAGTCCGCAAGACAAAGTTTAAAAAAGCCCTATTTAGAGTGCTGAATTAAGAAGTATTAACTTGTATAGTTCTTTGCAGGATACTATGGCGAAAAGAAACACCGTTATTGGAACACCGTTTTGGATGGCACCAGAAGTGATTCAAGAAATTGGTTATGACACAAAAGCTGACATCTGGTCGCTCGGAATCACTGCTATGGAAATGGCTGAAGGTCGTCCACCACATGCTGATATCCATCCAATGAGGGTTTGTGCTACATACCTGAAGCTGTTTCTTTTTTTATGATTTTTTATATCATGATCACTAAAGATTTCAGATTTCATCAATCAGAAATATGGAAGTTACTTCAGTCTGAAAATAAATCATGGGAAATTATAGTATCTTATATCTATAGACGTTCTTTTCAAAAACTTCAGGCTATTTTCATGATTCCAACAAAGCCACCACCAACACTGAAATGTGAATCTGATTGGTCATTAGATTTTGTGAATTTTGTTGGTCAATGCTTGGTTAAAAATCCTGATGACAGAAAATCTGCCCATAATTTGCTAGAGGTATGAAATATGTCATATCTTGGATGCGGCATTTTAAGGAAGGTCAGGTTTATGAATCTTTTGGTGGATATTGAAGAACTGGTCAAAAAGGCAAAAGCTCAAAAATTTACATCTCAGGAATATTTGTTATCGTTTTAGACCAATTGAATTGATCAAATACCATTTTTTTTTCTCTTCAAAGGAGTTAGAAGTCCAGAATCTCTCATACTTATTAATAATGGTTTTAACTGCTGGATATTAGACTCAGAAATATTTTTCACTTTCACGTAATTGTTATTCAAGCTTTTTTAAGCATCCATTTGTGGTTAATGCATCGCCATCAACCGTTTTGTTGAACATGATTGATGAAGCTCGGGGCATCGCTGATTTTGCTGCTCAAGAAATTCAGGTTTGTTAGCATTGAAAATTTTTTGTAATCTTATTCGTTTAGCAAGATTTTCCATTTTTTTTTGGTTAATTTAGGAGCGTAAACGTATAATCGAAGATGCAGGTGATTCTACTCTAGTACGTGAAGGAATACATGGTGATGAATCCAGTGAAATGGAAGATATGACACTTATACGGCATGATGTTCCGTTAACACCAACCAACGGTATATCATATTGCTTCATTTTTTTGCATTTTGAAACTATACAGGTCTCATTTTGATGCAAACTTCATTTTATTTGAATTCATGACTCTTCCTAATCACTTTATTTTTGCCTATCTTAACATAAGGAAATTCTGAAGTTGAAAGAAAGTGAATCAGAATGTGAAGGTTTTTGTTTTATTTGGATCTGTATTTGGGAAACCTAATTTCAGGAGATTGTTATAAAATGTCAGAAACAATTACGCAGCGGACGAATTCAGTGCGAACGACTGGAATTCGTCCTCCAGGTGATACAGGTTATGTACATAACCTGCAACAAGCAAACGCAATGGCTCAAGGAGGTATATTTTGCGCTAAAGTAATATTTTTTTTTAAATTAGGCATCAGCTTGACTGAACCCAGTGAATTATTGTCTTGGAATGTTCGCTGACTCTTTTTCTGAATCACTAGTAGTTTTGAAAATGAACAAGTTTCAATATTCAGTGCCTCTTGTACTATTTTAAGGAAAGTCATTGGAACTACTCAATCATAAGATGCTCTATGTAAACCAGAAAATGGAAGAGCAAAAGCAGGATCAGATAGCTCCAGTAAATGGTGGCGTTCATTGTGGTGATGCAAATGTGATGAACGGTATTGGTATTCCACAAACATTCTTCAGCACCGATTCTTCTTACGATACTTCATATATTGATCAACATTTCAACAAAGCATACGTAGATGGCGATTACAGTTTTGTTAGTGTTTTTTAAATCTTGAAGGCAAAAATTATCAAATCGAATATCTTGAAGGCAAAAAATACCAAATCGAAAATTTAATTATAGCATGAAATTTTGTGGTATGACACATTTTATATTTTCGGGAAAAACCCTGAAGTGGTGTTAAGAACCAACGATAAAAGATAAAAGCTGCGAATTTTGGAAATATCTGAATTATAATTCTGGAAACTTTTCCAAAACTATAATTCAGTAATTTCCAAAACCAATGAAAATTTTCAAAAACTCAGGAAGTATAAATGATTAACAATTGTTTAAATATTTTTAATTCACGCGCTATTGACAACATCAGAAGACATGTTGTGTGCAAGTTCTCTCTATTCCCGTCGTCTCAATAAATTTACTTCAGAAAAATAAATTTCGTTTTTGAAACGTTTTTAAAACATGTCGGCTTGAAAAATTCAAATAATTATGAGTTTTAGCTAGCTGAACTTCCATTGGAAGAATTAATGCGAAGAAAAGCAAATCTAGAAGCTGATATGGATGTAGAACTGCGTGAGTTGCAAGCGCGCTATCAAACCAAAAGGCAGCCAATTTTGGATGCAATAGAAAATAAAAAAGTTAAAGTACTAATAAGATAGCTTTCCTGTAGTTTAGACTGATTGTTGCGGCTTCTATTCTCGCTAAGTCTTTTGCTTTTTGGTCTTACCATAATGTTCGAGGTTTGTTTCTGTAACCTTCTTATTTTGCTCTTATCTGTTAATATGTTTATCTTCACAATATTGTAATATAGTGGTATATTTTCCTATTTATAAGTTCAGTTCTATTGATTTTCATTTATCGATAGCCAGTATATATTTATATAGTTGAAGCAGAGGTCTGATATGAAGATAGGATATGGAAAAAGATGGAATATTTCATATATTTCCGTATCAGCTGAGAATATTCAAGTAAATTTATATTTGTGATAAATATAACAAATAGCAGTCATTGTTTCTTTTGATTATTTTTTTTAACTGTCGGGGTTTAAAATAAGGTATGTTATTATGATGTGACTTTAATGACAATTCTTCCTTTTGAATATTTCGGCATTCTGTATGCTGAAAAGGCAGCAAGGGAAAGCATAAGCCGAGATACGGGGTTGATTTTAGCACACTAAATTTTCTTGTCCGAAAACATTGTTTCTGTACCTTCTAATTTTCTCGACTAATTCCAAATTTTTATTACAGAATGCTAAAATATTATAAAAATTGGAAGCGTTTGTTGCACTATGAAGTTCTAACTTTTAAAGCGGAAAATTTTTATCAACGAATTATCCAGAAAGGCTTAAGAAATCGTGAAGTACAATTTTTATGTAAAGTATAATTTTGATGTGCTAAAGTTAAGTTTTTCCTCACAGCTTATTTTAAAGCTGTAAATAAAAACTTCTTTTAAAAAGATATTCAAGTCATTACTTCCATAAGATTTCTGTGTTATATTCGTTTATCTCTTTTATTAGACCGATAAATTACTCCAAATTATTTTATTTTCTGAATGTTTGTGCCATTAAGAATGGAAGATGTTTTGTTTTATCTGTCTTCACTATCAGTTATTATTTGTTTAAGTGCGTTTTCGGTAAAAGTAATTGTAATATATGTATTGTGTCTAGTCTTTTTCTCTGTATTTCACATCTTTCATTCTACATGTCTTCTATGTCTCTTTATCTTTTTAATTACATTATTTCCTATCTTTCATATATTACTTTCATCATGTAATTTGTACAATTTTTTCCGATTTTTTGAATCTTTATTTTTTCGATATGATCTTTACTCTAAACACAGCATGCTGAAATAAATTAACGAATAATTGGTATGGATGAAAGGAAAATGTAGTTTTGCACTGATTAGTTTCATTGCAATGTGTTAAGGTTCTAATTGCTTTAATTCTGATTGTTTGTAGGGAAAATATGAGAGGTTTATAAGTTCTGGATATTTATTCTGGATGTAATTTGTTCTAGTGCTTTGAGATCTGTCTGATTCACATGCTGCGTAGAGGGGAAAATATTTTAGATAGCAATATCCCGAGTAATTTATTCAGAAATAGCTTTCGAATCGAATATTTTTCAGCCTCCTGGAACTGTCCCAAATTTCTTATTAAAAATGTGATTATTGTTCGGCTCCGTTTTATTGCTTTTTAAGGGATACTTATTATATTTTTTCGTTTTCTTTCTATGATTTCTTTCATAAATGATGGTCCAAAATTTTCAGTCGAAAATCTGCTTTATGCTTCAGATTTATGCCAAACATTATATCCAAACTTACAACGAAGTATCGTCCAAATTATATGACACAGATTATAATAAACAGAGAGGGGGAATAAAATAATTTCCTAACAGCGGTAAGATATTTTAATTCGAATCAATTCCTATTAATTCATCTCACCTGATTATCCCTGTATCAGGACTAAAATAATATTTATATAATAATAATAATTAATATTTATATTATAAAATAATATTTATGCTTTTCGAACAATTGAAAATTAAAATGAGGTGGTTTATTTTTGCGGTTAGTAAGAGAACCAATACGTATAAGGAACACGGAGATAGACCAACTTTTGTTGAACGTATGGAATCGTGGATATATAAATTATTAGAATATATGCAAAGAATAGGGTTTTGTGCTGTGTAAGCTCTTTTTTCTAAATTTGATCCTAGTTGGAGTAATTTAAATCCATACTTCAGGCCAGATATCTGATATAAATACTTGTCTATTACTATATTTGCCAGATGATACTTTTTCTTGCTTAGGTTCGAGTGGAGAATTGTAGATTTTGGAAATTCCGCAGTCTGATGGGCAGTACTCGGCAGGATTTCCTGAGAAAGTAGTATTGTTAAATGAAAAAATGGACTTAATTGTAAGTTGGTAATTTGTAATTTTTTGACAATTTAGAGTACTTTTTAATCATTAGAAAGATAGTGGAAGGTATGCAAGAATCATGCAGGAATAAGTAATGCGATATTCCATTATATTGATAATTGGTTTACCTGGTTCACCGGGTGGTCCCCATGGTCCTTCGTCTCCTCTACGTCCTGGATTACCATATGGACCAACGTGACCAGGACTGCCTGGGTTCCCGGGTTTACCAGGTACCTTTGAGGGTTTTCCCGATATACCCATCGGACCTTTAGGGCCCATTAGGCCTGTTGGCCCTTGTGCGCCTTTAATTCCTCTACCTAAAATATATTTTCCACGTGCAAATATATTAATCATCTAAAATGAGTAACAAATATATAGTACTGCAACGAACCTGCAACGATTGAATCGCCTACTGGTCCCTGAGGTCCTCGTACACCTTTCTTCCCACGCATTCCTTCATTTCCCACTCTACCAGCATAACCTTCTATCCCAGGATTTCCATGTTCTCCAACTGCACCTTTTGGTCCTGGTTCCCCTCTCCGTCCTCGTTCACCTTGAGGACCACTGAAATCAGATGTTATTTTCAACTGTTAATTGGAAAACGAATGGAAATTTTTACGAATATGAAAAGTTTCGTTACCGTTGTCCTGGTGGCCCAGCGGGACAAAGAATACATGGAAGATCAGATTCTGGTTCCAATTGTATATCATAACCATCTATGCCTGGTTTCCCTTGGTTTCCCGCGTCACCAGGAAAACCGTCCAATCCTGAGGGACCTGGTGGTCCAAGTGGGCCATACGGACACGCCAACGAATAGCATCCTGAATGTTTTGTATTATAGCAGTAATAAAGAGTTCAGTAGTTTTCTATACGCAGTTTAAAAAAAAAAATTAACCCGCCTTGGCATGTTCCACCTCCCCCAAATGATCGCATGGTCCGATGATACGGCAATTTCTTATGAAATCTTGATGGATTGATGTTCCTCAGGTTGATCCATATTTCATTCGTCCTTTCCTAATTTTGAATAATTAGTCATTGATCAACGATGATCAATCCAATGACAAATTATCATAAAATATGGTATATTATTATAAATGAGACAAATTTAGATTAAATCAATAATAATGTGAAAATCTGTATCGTATTTTATTATTTATTACCGTGACTGTTTATTGCTGAAATATCCGGAAAAACTAACCTGAGATTTTTTGATCAATATTTGTGTTTCCATTGTTTCATTTTTAATTTTAGTAGTAAATATTGGAATAAAGATGATGATGCAAGCAATTGTTAGTGTACTTATTACAACGTTTCCAATTGCAACGAAACGAAATAAATCATCATTATGCATTGCGACCCTTCAAAAAAACAAAAACGGAAAGCAAAAGACAATTAGAAATTGAAAATTCAAGGCAAGCTTTGTTTCTAAAAATAATATTAGGAATGAGTGTAGCAGGGAATTCAAAAATTGAATACTTGAAGTGGAATCTAATACCTGAGGATTTGAATACTTGAAGTGGAATCTTGGAAATTTGCTTCGCTTAAACAGAATTGGTTTTTTTTTTGATTTATTATTAGATGCTGCGCCAAATGTTGTGATCTCTTAAATAATCAAACTTAACATGATGGGTCAAAATTCGATGCAGCGTTTGGCGCATTTTAAACAATACCGCTGCTGATTTGATAATATGAAATTCGACAATGCTAGGAAAAGAATTTATTTCTACAATACTTGGAATAATACATTCTTCAAGTTCAAGAACTCCAGCGTAAGTGCTTGATTCTAACTATTCTCCTTAGTACTATAGCTCGGATCATTCCAAATGGATTTTTTTTCTTCAAATTGGAATTAGACTTATGTCTCAGACTTAACCCAACTGTTTGCTTTCTTTTTCGTAGCCATGATATTCTCGTTAGTTTTCGTGAAAAAATGAATATGATAAGATGGAAGGGATAATTCGTACAAGGAATCTTCGTGTGGTAATTGAAGTAAAGATTTTATCGTTGGGCGGTATCAAGCAGAAAATAGGCTTAGTTCATTTTTAACTAACCGAAATACTCATTTTTCATTAATTGGGTCAGTCCTTGCCGAACAATTTCCTATTTTCTTCTTCCTTCGGAATTCATTATTCCCATTAGTGTGTGTAGCTTAGTGTCCTTGACACTGATAACGAACGAAAAAGATTGGAATGAATAAAGGATTAAAAAATTTTAATGTACAAATTTTCGTGTTGAAGCAAATATGGGTAAATGAAAATGGATTCAATTGACAATATATTATATGTACCATTTAAGTTTTTAAAATAATTTCAATTGTAGAAATGGAAAAGTTTATCTTAAATGTGACTTTTCGCTAGATTTTATGAATTTAATTTTATAAATCATACGATTTTTATTAATCTTATTGTTTTTATTTTGGTCTCTTTGTTTCTAACAAAATTAATAAAAAATATATCAATTATTTAGGATGAATATAGAACTTTGCACTGAAGAACTAGAAATTTTGTCAGTAATTGTGAAGGGCACCAGAAAAAAGTAATGGCTTTCAGGAAGAATTTAGGCAAAGTTTTAAGCTTGCCATACTTGCCATACTTCAAATTTATCTGTAATGATCCACTTTGACATGTTTCAGGTAACTTTCATTTTTATTTGAATTAAAGATATAACACACTATCTTATCTCAGATCTTTAAAAAAGAAAAAATTAGAAACTGAAATACAGTCTTTCTTTTTATATTATTCTATCGGAATGACGAACTTCTTGATTTACTGCCTTCCGGAAAGGTCATTCAAAACCTTCTCTTGATTAGCAATTGAATTTAGCATTAACATAAAAGCGATTAAACTATAATTTGTCGGACGGTAAGTAATGAGTTTTCAGGCTTGTAAAAGTAAATGAAAGTGCAAATCTGATTTTAAAACCAAATTTTCATTTCTTTGAAATATATCTTGTTTCGAAGTTTAAAATAATTTTGAAAAAGATATTTTTGATGAATGTAAAATCTCATCAAATAATAGTTTCTCGAATAAATTTGATCTCATAAATTGCTGTGACAGATATAGCCTTTATAATAATATGCTAATCTGAGCGATGAATTCTCTATCCCAATGCTATTAATTGTATATTGAAGTGAGTATTGAAGTGAAATGTGAGAAAAATTGAAATTTTTCAGAGCTTCAAATCTTTCTTTACAGATTAAATTTTTTATCACGGAGAAAAAAATGTATAGTTTGTTTTAACTGCTTTCAATTTTTGCTTTTAAAGAAATAAAAATGTTGAAAAATTTCGATAGAATGGGTTTCTTAATAAAATTTTTCTGTTTGTTTGTTTTATTGATGGATGAATGAAAATTCTTTTTGCACTTAAATTTCAATCATTAATGTTAGCTTTAAAATAAATTTAAAATTTTGTACTTATAGTCAAAAGTTATAAATTAAAGTAATTTCAAAATTCTGAATATCACTTTCATATAACAATGTCGTATGATTCTAAAAGTAAATGTAATAATAAAGTTTATTATCCCTCATAAATTTACTCAAATTATTTTTATTATTGGCATACATTGTTTACGTTAAAGTTAAACTCTTTTTGGAGAATAAACAAAGTTTTTTCTTTTATCTTTATGGTCTATACGGTACGAAAAAGAAGAAAACGATATTAATATTATTTAAAATAATGAAAAACTAAGTGAAATATTAACAAATCTTTTTATTTTGCATGATGCATTTCATTATTATTATTATTATTATTATTATTATTATTATTATTATTATTATTATTATTATTATTATTATTATTATTATCATTGTTTAGTTATTATATTGATCGCTATTAATAATAAATGCTAAATTGCTGTGTTTAAATGGTGATATGTTATTGCTTACTATTATATTATAACACATGCATATTTTGTCCTTTTCTCAATCGCAGCAATTCGTTGTGAAATTTCGATAATTAATCAAGGAAGAAGTTAATTGAAATACACAAAAGAGCAGTCTCATGGGAAGGCTTAATGTGTCGCATGTTCAAGCTTGTTGATTGAGCCACTCTCCTGAAATTTCTCCTCTCTTTTCAAATAATAATTTTAATAGCTTCAACTATTAATAATAATGATATTAATTTCGCGTGAAGTGATGATGTGACTAAATGATTGTAGTCGTGATTTATATATTGATAATGATAATGATACGGGAGTGATAGGAAATCGAATGATGATGATATAGGATTCAATTCAGAAGAGTTTATCATCATTTAGAAGATATAATAATCATATAGTATTCAAAATTTAATATATTAGTAAGATGTAATTATAAGTGAGAATTGTATAATTAAATGTCCTCGAAATATTTTAATTTAATTTTGTCAAAATATTTTAAAAACTTGAGAATAATTGCTTTAATCGTGTTGAAAAAATAATGATAATAAATAATGGAAAAGAATTGATAACAATAACTGTAATGATAACAGATAGATGGAAAAAATAAAAAGAATCATATCATATTATTTATCTAATTTTGATTCGGAGACTCAAATAGTAAGATCGTAAACTCCAATCAAACTTTGATCATAAAAATTACAAAACCTATATGTTCAAAAATAATGATAGTGAAGGGGTGATGATAATGACAGTGATTACGACTACGATATTAACTTTACCAACTAATGATAAACCATCGTCATTGCATGTTCTAATGAGTTACATTTTCGGCAATTAGTTCATCTCTGTGCTTCTTCTGCACCGATGCACCTTTAAGTGGCTATCGAGCCGTCGACATTTTATTAATATCAGCAGTGGAAAATAATAATGTATTAATGTTATTCATTGTTGCAGGACTCATCTGTGGCCTAATGGTCCAATATTAATGTCTCTTAGTCGGCACAGCATTACAAATTGATCGCAGAAGCAGAAAAGAACTTTTTTTTAGGTGCTCTTGAGAGAGATTATTCAAAGGGTTAGCCAAGGTCATTCACGCTTCATTAAAATTACAAATTTTCTTCCAACATATACAGAAATATTATTTTTTTCGATTGCCTGGTAAAGCTAAGCTTTTTAATACACGAATTATAAGCTGAAGAATAGACTTTGGTATCTTAATTTGAATCAATATGTTGACGTTATTAATTCTTCAAATCTTTTTGTGACACGCAATATCCATTTTTAGAGATTAAGCATTTAGCTACTGAAATGGATGAGATTCAAAATTCAATTTCACCATTGCTTTAGAATTTCCAAAATCGATTATTACTTTTTTCTTCAATATTGCAATCAAAAAATTCTCTTTTATTATCAAACATTGACCAATTGCATAATTGACCATTGTCTCTTAACCATTGTCCCATTGTCTCTTTCAACAAAATACAATTTCAATATTAGTCACACAATCATTTCATATAATGGTATACCTATAATGCCATATACCTATAATGCTAAATTAGCAACTATTCATTTATTGTGGTTTTGTTAATTAGTTTGATGAGAAAAAAAGCTCATTTTTTCGTTTTCCTACTGTAGAAAAAAAGAAGAGGATTTTTATGGGATAATGGTAATGCCAATGATTGGTGTTAGTGTTGATTACGATCATCACGATATTTTCCAATAGCTTTCTTTCTTTGGGATAATGGATTTTGAAGAGAGAGAAAGTGAAGAATGACTGCTGAGTGGAAGGATATAGCAAAAAGCATCTCCATTTCTCTAATAGCCTAGGCATATCTGATTATCCTATTCTACAACATATCCATCGCTATGTATATATCATATACATATATATGATACATATAAGAAGGAACATGCCTTATGTAATGCATATGTGCTTTTTCGATTATCAACATTGCAAAAGCAATAAAATACTAATGCGATTTGCGCTTCCGTCTATCTTTGCTAATGTGATCGAAATTGCCCAAATGACACAGACGATCACTTTGACGATGATGATGATGATAATGATATTATTGAATATCGTTAATAATAATTGTAATTTTAATAATAATAATATCTCTTCCAATGATTGTTATTTATAGTAATAACTAGCTATCAGCTGATTGTTATGAGTTAAATAAATCATTTGAATAAACTTAAATAAAGAAGAGAATAATAACAAGTTTGTGGTAATTATAGTTTTATTACAAAATATGACATAATATCAATGAGAAAAAATGATGACTATTGTAAATTTAATGAATGAAATTATCACTAATATTCTCTTTGTTTCCTTAGATTATTGAAAGATTTTGTACTATGAAAAAATTTTTGGTGGTAACATAGTTGTATGCTGATAACGGCTTAGCATTATTTGAATCTTCAACAAGAAAATCACAGGAAAGAAGTTATCAAAATGCTTCATCAAGCAGCTCCCACTTCATTTTTAGCAATTTGCGTATAAATTTATTCCTTGATGATCGCTTGTAATTTAGATAGCTCAGAGGGATAGATAGAATGGACAGAAGGATAAATTGAAGAGGAGTGAGCATCATTTCATTTTCTCCATCTTTCGAGCATTCAAATAATGTAATTACCGGATCGACAACTTGACATTGCATTATTGTTGCCGATTGCTGCTTACAAATACAAATGCAGCGCTTGATATAAAAATTATAGGTTTGACATAATTATTATCCATTAAATTTTCCAAAATTTAATAGAATTTCTTATTTAATTATGACAAAATTTTGTTGCAATTAAGGCAATAACATATAATGAAAGAATGAACGATATATTACACTTTGGCAATAGTTGTAACAAAAACCAAAAAGAATTTAAAAGTATTAAAAAGATTTTTATCTTACGGCATTTTATAGATTTTCCGGTAAATATATTTTATCTGATCCACATTATTTAAAATTAACTCATAGCATTACAGATTTTAATGAGTATAAATAAGATGATTATATTATTAATAAGTTTGATTTCAGCAATAATTTAACTCCGGTGAAATTCATATTTAGCAGCTTAAACTTAAAATTATAATTCATTGAGCTAAAGTCTTATTTGTTGTTTTTGGATGAAGAAAAGCAACATTCTGCATATCGAAACATTATAAATAAATTATTGAAATTATAAATTAAATCGAATGCTTTAAAATGCGTTGTACATACTGGTGAAATGATATTGGCAATAAGTAATAATTGTAGCGAAGCGCTAATCTGTTCAATCATACATTAATAATTACGCTTTAATATTCTTCAAATCTTCTACATAAGAAATTTATAGACAAAGTGAAATAAGCGAAGTTGAAAGAGTTTAACCAACGATTAGCTAAGCAGCAACTGATTAGCAGCTCTCGAAGAACTCGTTTTAACCTCTTCATCAATGGAGCTAAAGGTAGTAAGTACAACTTTCGATTGTAAAATAAAGCAGCTGCATTACGGTAGAATGAGAAAAAGATATTTAATGTGGGAGTTATTCTGATAACGTTAAATTTTTTTGCCAAAAAATCACACTTACTATAAATTGTAAATAATTGCTTGTGATTAAGCCAAGAAAAGTTTCGATACCATTGGAAAGGCCAATTTTTTTTTTTCAAGAGCTTAGCAAAATGCAATGAGTGGTAATCTATCACTGACCTCTATACCTTATGACAGCCAATAACATGGCAGCGGACATAATGCCGTGCAGCGCATATAAGCAGCATGCTTTCACTTCTGCTATATCGATGTTGCCACCTACCTTCCTCTCCAGTAATACCGCCTGCTCTCTGCTTCTGCTCTGTGGCTCCTTACTTCCTGCTTGTTGCTCCTGAGTTAGGCTATCCAATTTTCTACCATACTGTAGCATCGTTTATCGTCAAGAATCCATCTCCATCAGTTCGGTGCAGGAATTCTTTTACATTCTTATCAGTTTTATATAGATTAATGCTGATGCAACGAACTTTAATTTTCTATGGTTTAAGAAATTTATCATTCAACTTGTTTATCTGATCCGTCTAAAAATCGTGAACTTCTTTATTAAATCCTTTGTTAGTTCTCCTCACTTGTAATTTCAATTATTTCCAAAAAATTTGTTTTGCAAATTTTGGCATCTGAAGCTTTTGCAAAATAATTATGAATTCTTACGAATCTTCAATACGACCAAGTTCTGATGAACAACTTCAAGAACAACCACTCAATTTTTCGACTAATTCCACTAATGACACCACAATATCAGCAGCAACAAAACTTTGGAAAGGTATATAAATACGATAGAGACATATCATATTTTTATCTTTCTTAGTAAAATATGCCCAAGAAACTAAATTCATTCATGGTTAATCATTGGGTAATTATTCAGGTATAAATAGAGCTAATATAGATAAGGTAAAAAGTAAGAAGTTATGGCTGACTAGTCTCTTCTTTCATTATGAAATCTATTTTTTTGCGAAATTTGAAATTTCAGATTCTGATCAAACTGAGAAACACAATTTTGATGGCCAGTATAACGCTGCAACTTCCGGTATAAGCACAACTTCAATTCCGGTTCCAACTCCAAGATCCCTGTTTACCTATCAACCTCCAATATTTATGACGCCAGGATTTTTACCATCATCTTATATGTCCTCATTTGCTGCGGCTGCGATGTCAGCAGCGATGAATGCCGCAGTACATCGCCTACCACATCAATTGTAAGTCTGAGTATCTGAAGTTCGATATTTAAAGAGCTTCAACATTTCCAGTAAACTTTCGTTAAAACTTTTCCTCATGAAAAAGATTTTCTAATGAAGGAACACTAAACATTCCTCCAAACTTATTTAAATGAATTCATTGAACTAGTTTAAGGATTTTAGGTAATACACACCTTGTAGGAATTTTTTCTTTCAAGATAAAATCTAAACAATTTCTCCAAAATTTCCCTGAAAATTATAATTTCTCTTCAAAATTCGACTTCACAAAAGTTTTTTCTTAAAGATCACCAATGAACAGTGCAGCAGAAGTAGATCAAGCAACGATTTCAGTAAATTCGTTCTGTTCGATGAACACAGAACAGAATCCGGCACCAACATCACCGGCGCTTTCCTGTGCTGTTTGCGGTGATGTATCCAGTGGAAAACATTACGGTGTCTCATTTGTGTTTCAATTTTATTTCTTAATAGAATTTAGCTAAAAGAGCTGGTAAGAAATTTTGAAGTGACAAAACGACTCTGTTCAATATTTTTTTCTCCTTCGCAAGAAAATTACACCCTATATTACGTAAAATTTATTTACAGGAATTCTAGCATGTAACGGTTGTAGTGGTTTCTTCAAACGGAGTGTACGACGTCGGTTAATTTATCGATGTCAGGCTGGTACTGGTTCATGCGTCGTTGATAAAGCACATCGTAATCAATGTCAGGCTTGCAGACTTAAAAAATGTCTCAGTAAAGGAATGAACAAAGACGGTATTGTTTTCTTCCACATTAACATAAAGCAATATTTGTATCTATTGTGAATTAGTGACAATTTCAGCTGTACAGAATGAGCGACAACCGCGCAATACAGCTACTGTACGTTTGCAGAATGAATCGGATTTTTCAACGTCTTCAGGTTTTTACAAGTAAGTAACTTTGCATTTTTCATATTAAACACCAGATTTGTTAGTATGAAACAACGCTCTTACTTTGTTCTGGTAGGTTTTTTTCATTACTCTTTCTCTTTAAGGGTTTTGAAAAAATCCACCTGAAAAAAGAACATTACCAATTATTTAAATTACAAACATGAGTGTTTGCGCATTTATCATAAAACTGATAGTCAATCAAAATCGCAAAGGTTTTGTGATTAGAAAAATTTGTCGGTCTTACTTTTAATGTGCTGCTGCGCTTTCAACATTTAACTTAACCTAACTTTTTTAATGCAACATATTCGCTTAATCAGTAAATATGACAGTACGGTAACCACGGCACTTTGTATGAATGGAGAAATACCAGATTCCACATCCGGTGCACAGATAACAAAAGGCTCTTCACCAATTAGTGATTCGGGTAAACAGGACTCTTCGGAGGTTAGTTTTTCAAACTTATTTTTTTCATTTCGATTACTGATGATAACCATCTTAAATATTGTTTTTATATCATTCAGATATTTGGTAGCGAGAAAATCGAAGAAATTCGACGAGGTGTTGAAAATGAAAATGTGCAGGAGGCTTCAACAAGACTTTTGTTTTTGGCTATTAAATGGGCAAAAAATCTTCCATCATTTGCATCACTGCCATTTCGTGATCAAGTAAAGCTGAAACTAACTCTATCCAATAATTTCATCATTTTTGTAATTTTTCGAAAGTCGCATCAAACTAGTTGCTTCTTCTTTTAAAAAAATATGATTAATCATTGTTTGCTACAGTTAAAATTGCTGGAAGAAAATTGGTGCGATCTTTTCCTCCTCAGTGTATTTCAATGGTCACTTTCAATGGAAAAATGCCTTTTGTTGAACGCTTCGCAGATTGACCCGTCCAGTTTTCGTTACTTAAACAATTTATTCTTTCGAATTCGTACTTATGGCATTGATCACGGCGAATTTGCTTGCTTAAAAGCTTTAGTGTTATTTAGGCCAGGTAATCAATTATTTTTTTCTCAAATCTTTTTGATATTGCACAGTACAAAATTAATTATGCAAAAAATTTCATAATACTAAAGAACGAAAAAACAAAAAACCAAAATTTCTGTAAAAATCATTTTTTGAACAGTACTAAAAATAAATAAATTATATGTAAAAGTATTTTTTTTTGGTTATGATTGATTGGCTTGACGAATAGTTCTGATAAAGGTTGTATTGATTGGTGCTTCTTGGATATTATAAGATAATTCTTAGAGAACATCGCGAATAGGATAGGTCGCTAGGTTATATACAGATGATAATACTCCTGATAGTATTGACTGTATTAATGATTAAGGTAAAACTGGTTAAGACATATTGATATTGCTCGATGAGTACTATTTATAGTCTTTTTAGAATCAAAGAGTCAAGGAGGGCTTAGTAAACAAAAACTCATTTCACAACCTTTGATAGACGAAACTGAGTATTTATAATTCTTTTGGGATCAAAGGTCAAGAAAAGTCAGGCAAGTAAAATATCATTTTATGACCGCTTGATAAACGGAATCAATTGGTAAACAATAAATCACTTGATTGAGAAACATTCTAAACAAAACGATTTTTATAGTGTGGATTTCTGCAGCACAACAACACTTTCATCATTCCAATACATTTATATCATATAATATTTCGACTTTTCGACAAATTCAACGAAAAAAAATTTCGAATTTTTCGATGAATTTTTGCTCCAATTTTTTTAATATAATTATTTTTTGAACTCTTAAATCATAGAAGGAAAAACTTTGTTCAAATTTTTGGATGAAAAATTCAAAGTTTTAAAATACATATGAGCTACTTCTGTTTGGAATTATTGGAAAATCTAAAAGATGAGATCTAAGAGATTCAAATCCTTCACTTTCTTGCCCTATCATTTTCCATTGTTGGGGACTCATTCGAAACGTCAACAACGAACTTCCATTTCTCGTTTCCTTTATCAGGTCTGCTTTTATGGCAAAAAACATTGTTTACTTCTAGCCAATTTTCAATCCTAAAATATTTATGTGATATCTTTTAAACTATACAACAAACAGCTCTGAATTCATTCTGTTATATTGCTATTTTGCAAGTTCGAGAACTTTGCCGACTTCCACAGGAACATTTTAACTTAACTGGCCAATGAACAAATAGATCTCTTTGTATTCTTATTTCTTATAATAAATGGATATGCTGAAAAAAGCACTCCTCATTAAACTACTGTGTTTATCCTACAAATAAATAATCATAAATAAACAAACAAATTAGAAGTGTAATTAATTTAGTGCTCGAAATTTGATTTAGGATTGATTAAACTATAAAATGAGATGATGTCAATTTCACTGAACAATTTGATATCTATTTAAAGCATTGGATGTATAAAATAGGAAGGGAGGAGAGAAGGACACTAACGAAACAGAAGGCAGCCATTGTAAGTGTCAAAATAATTGAGGCGGTAAGCATGGCGGCGTCGGCTACGACACAGTAAAAGAAAGGGATAAAGTAAAAAGCTAATTAAATGCATTCCCTTCTCTCTATCCTCCCTCTTTTACTCTTTGATAACATTCTTTCCCTTTTCTTTGAAAGATTTGGTTAAAGTTGCCAGCTTTGTTCATTCAAACCCTTTCGCATTGAAAATGTTTTTTTTTTCAATTTCGATATAAAAGTAATGATTTTAATAAATGCTCAATTTATAAATTTTCATTAGTATTTTAATTAATCAATTTGCCACTTACAATAATCAATGAACTTCTTCAATTCCATCTGAAATTGATTCTTTTGAAAGTGAAAAAAATTGACAAAGTTATTTATTAAAATTTTTTGTCAAGAAATTCTTGACAATCCACTTTAAAAGTTTGTTAATTTTCACTATCTAAAGAATTTGTTAAGTTACATTAAATCAGAAACATATATAAACAAGTGTAATGAACAAGAACAAAATGATCTTTGACACTATCATTCTCAATTAATTTATAAGTAACACTTCGAAAATTCATTCTCTATATTTCCGTAAAGTAAATTTCTTGTTTTGTATTGATCAAATCTCAAATTTTGAATCGCTAAATTTTCATAGCAGTTGAATTTTTTTGTTTCAGAAGTTATTTTCCACATAATGAAATGTTAATATTATATTTATCCATCATTCTACAAATGTTTTAGAAACAAGAGGATTGAAGAATTTATCTCAAGTTGAAGATCTACAAGATCAGGCACAGCAAACATTAGCCAAGCATACAATGAATTCATCACCAGCAAGGTCTTTCTTTCTTACACTTTTAGCAATTTTCGGGTGATTCGTTTCCAAACTTTATTTTTCGTTTGAAGGTGACTCTTTTTTCTCAACAAACATTTTTTGCAATCGTTTATTTGAGCCAAATTAGTCAGATTATGTACTAAAATTATTTCATGTAAATTAGATGTAATAACATAAAACAGATAGTGCAACAACAAGATATATCTCAATTTCAGAAGTTCAGAAGTTGCTATTGCAGATTCGGTCGATTACTTCTTCTGTTACCGCTTTTACGAACTATAAGCGCCGAAAAAATTGAGCGAATGTTTTTTGTGGCTACGTTTGGGAACTCATCGATCGACAAAATCATTTGTAAAATGTACAATGGATGAATGAAGATAATATTTTTCAAATGGATGTGTTGGTGTTTTTTCCTTTTTTATATTGTCTTGGCCTATTAAAATTCCTTATATCTTAAAACCGGAGATGATGATGATTTAAAGAACCAATAAGCACTCTCTCTTGGTCTCTGCAAAATCAAATTCGTTATTAACAATTGAAAGAAGTAACTATAAAACATGTACAACTCAAAATCACCAAATGTTGGTTGGGATCGATGTGAACAACCTAGATGTAAAATTAACAAGGAGATCAATCTTACAAAATCCAAGTTTTATACCATTGATCACTTCCATTTTTCAGGGAATGATAAGTAACAAAGTTTAATTGTATTGAGCAGAAATTGAAACATCAGTCAATCGCATTGCCAATATAACAGATTAATGGAATTTTACGAAGGTAATGAGTGACATGAATTAGAACTTTGAGTGATGAATATACAACAAGAAATCAGATTATTTTTCATCAGTTTCTTAGTATCCATCGTTTTCAAAGAAAGAAAAAAAAACAGATCAAACAAAAATGAAACGGCAACTAGGTCCATAATGCTAAATTACATAATCCGTTTATCGATTCAATCATCCTCAACTCTTACCCTGTCACGAAAATGTAGAAATTGATTGAGAAGTGTGCGCTCATCGTACGATTATGCTATTCCGAGTCATCATAATAGAATTTAATTGAAAAAGTTTCTTCTTTCCTTCCTAACAAATCTGTTTCATTAATTGCTAAGTGAATGTCATCGAAAAGCTTTTCTTTCTGTCGCCTTAAATGTCACTGAAGAATAGAATTTTGGAAAAATCGTTTGTGAATTGAAGCTGTCTGTATATTTCAAACTGCTACTGAAGCATTTCCTTCACGATTTATTCCACAATCCTTGCAAAAATTAATTACGATTTTACTGATCGCTTAAAATGTTGATAATGTCAAAAATTATCAATTTCTTCAACTGATTATTTTGGAAATTCCTGCAACAGTACTGAGCTTCATTCCAAAATCTTGGTTGCTCACTTAAAATACTAAATCACTTCTAATAGTACCGAAGTGAGCAAAAAAATCAAATAACCAAAAATCGATAAAAGTAACATAATTCTTCTTTTGTCATTCGGAAAAACCAGACTGAAATGAGCAAAATTCATGAAAATCTGACAAACAGTACCGAAAAAGAAGCAGTTTAGTAAAATTGATTTTGCGAGCAGATCTCAGTCTTGCTTTACCTTTTAAAAGGGATATACTCCACTATAGCATTCAAAATTATTTCTGGAAGGAGTTCAGTATCTCGAACGCTACGAAGTAAATGAGAGAATTTTTCAATTATGTTTTAGCAGCAACTATTACAAAAGAAAGGAATAAATGAATAATCCAGAAATAATACATTAGCAACGCTTACAACGTAACAATTAAATTTTTAAAAAAGGCAAAGGAAAATTAAGGAAAGTACATGAATAAATTCCGTAAGTTGAGCATGTTCCAAATTAAATCCGACAGAAAGAGCATAATAAGAGAATATCAATATAAGAGTTCTAAAAAGATTAGAAATGAAGCAGTATAGAATTTATGATTCACTGAACCAAAAATTGACTTTGGGCCTAAAAACACCAATTTGCATTTTGATATTGAGAAAATTATAAACAAACTAATACAATACTTCTTGTATTTATAAAATGGAAAAACCAAAAATAGAGTCATATTCTGACAGCCGACTTCTACTTACTGTAGTATAACATTATAAGAATGCCAAAACTGATAACTGAACTTGATGTGTCTGAATTAAATAGTAAACCATTTTGGCATAATCACAAAAATGATGATTATGGGGACCAGACGGAAGAAATTAGTCTCAACCGTCCAAACATCAAGAGATTTCTTCATTTAGAAAAGGCAACTCGTATAGTCGCCACTCTAGTTACTCAATAACGGTTCAAAAAAAAAATAAAATTTACAATGAATAATCAATTTATTAAATATTGAAAAGTGATATAAACAAGAAAAATTAACATAGAATGACACCAAAATAGTTTACATGTCGCTAATAATCCTAAGTGATGGTGGTCGTTTTGCCTGCAGATTTTCTCCTTGCCAGCACAATACTCGACCAGATACGAAATTAACGAACAATCTCGTACATCGATTTGAAAAACTAATACTGGAAAAAAGAAATGACAATGATGATAGTATTTGATTTACTTTTATACGCTGTACTAACAGCACAACAGATATCTTATCAATTTACCCATTTGAAGCATCAAATAACAGATATTACGAGAAAAGATGAAACTTTGAAAGTTATTCGCACAGTCATCAATTTCCAAAAGTAAATCGGCTGCGTAAGAGATCTGCTTTACAATGAGGGCTCAAACAAACCTAACAACGGGTTCAAGAAACCGATAATCAGCGATATCACGCACAAATCTCATCGTCCACATATCAAATATTCTGAAATTTTTTGACCAATTGAAATATTTTAGCAAATCAATTAACTTCAAACTCAAAATGCGGGAGTGATGATGTTCAATTAAAGAAAACTGACTGATAATAAAATTTTTAGAAACTGGTTTAAGTCGGAAATCTTTGTGAAAGCACAAATTTACCTAAAATTTAAGATACAGTGATGATTTTATACAATAATTGACGAAGAAAAAAATCAGTTATATTTTGAGAAAAAGCAGAATAGTTCAATAATTCCCCATTCATAGAGATGCAGTGAAATCTAAAATTTCATACCTAATCACTCCATTTTGCATTCCCAGAAAAATGCAATTTACGGCGGTTCCTTCCGAAAGCGATGTCATAGTAATTGCAGTAACAACGATGTTGGTATCGATGCTACCGATTTCTAACCCGTTGATAGTTTGCAACGTTACATTGCTCCCGTATCCTGCAATTTTGTGCAACTACATATAAAAACAGATAAAAGAAAACCATTAAACCATTTGAAACAGATAAAAGAAAACCATTAAACCATTTGACTCCAAAATGTATATTTTTTTGTATTGGAATTCTTCATAGAAAAGTCAACTGTCAGTGATGCTCAAGAGAATTGCAAAAATTATAAAAAGTAACGACCATAAATGATCAAGACAGTTTTAAAAGCGATATCTATCATTTATTTGGGTAAAAATTACTTAAACAGTTATGAAATAGTTATGAAAAGCAACAAAACTTGTATAATCTAAAGTTAAAATTTCCAATTATAATGAATCTATTTCTAAATACACCAAACCAAGAAATATACCAGAATTTGCCACGACAGCCACGTCACAACTTGTTTTACTTATACAAATGAACTGCACTTCTTTTCCATTACTCGGAATGAGAGTTCGAATATATGATAAATGATTTAGGTCCCATATGCAAATTTTACCCATATCACAACCACTCGCAGCAACAGCAAAATCACCGCAAACTGCTAATGCACGTACTGCAGTGTCATGGGCATATAATGTTTTGAGAAACACAAAATCTTCCATACCCTGCGAAGCAGAAGCTATAAATAAATAAAACACCTTCCACAGGCTTGAGATCAAAATACAGCAAGAAAACCAAATAATTTAAGAAACTTACAAGTTTGCTTAAATGTATACGATAAGTGAGTATAATACCACATGAAAGTCCCACGAACAGTAAATCAAACGAAACACAATAAGCTACTGCCACCACCTATTAAATATTTCATATAAGAAATGGGTAAAATTAATCCATGTGCATTCTTATTTCAGTTTTTACAACTTAAGCATATTAAGCGATATCCATCACAACTGCAGTAAACAAACTAATAGATTTAACTGCCAACAATGTACAAAAAGTAACAGTTTGAAAAAAAATTAATATTTCTGACAAATTTTGTTTATTTGACAGAGGTAAGTAATAAAGAATGATATGGTTATTTCATTCAGTTGGAAATTTATCACTTTAGTTTCATAAAGGTAAAATTCAAGCTTACGAAAAAATGAAAGTATCTTCTTTCTTTTATGTTTCAAACAATTCAAGCTATGATACAAGGCTTCCACAAGCACAGTAAAAATCAACCTACATTATAAGTATGGTAACTGGCCAAATCCCACCATAGATTCGGTTCGTGAAGACACAATCGAAGCATTCCATCATTGTGCCGCCATGTTACTAATCCATAACTACAGAGCTCTCGCGGTCGAACTCCTTCCTCGTACTGGAAGAGAGAGTCCTTCATATTCTTTATAAATGAAAAAATGAAGAAAATTAAAAAGATACTTTTCTCAGAGCTTAATTTATGAGTTCAAATCAATACTAAGATTTTTATCAGCATCACCATATATCTCTGAAATAACGAGGCTGACTTAACCAAGCATACCTTTCTAATTCTCGAAAAAAAAGTGTCATTCGATTTTCCACTGGATTGTAATCACATGTGTCTCAAATCTTACAAATAAAAAACACCATTAAACCTTGTAAATAAAACATGTACTGCTCGGAAATGCAAAACAAGTTCCTTCCGAGAATGCAACAAGACGACCAATGCAATCATTATTGGACTGTAGTTTTTGATTCAGAACGACTGTTAATTTTCCGAATTCGGTATCTGGACTCCCAACAAATTCACCCCATCGTATCCCTCTAACCGTGTCAAGTGGGCTCTGAAAATTATATCCGAGTTTTTTGGGGATAATACCAAAGGCACAGTTAAATCGACATCCAATATGGAATGCTATTAATAACATCATAGGATATTTAATTTTGATAATTTAGTTTTACTTAACAAAACATTTTTGCTTCTTCAGTATTCTCGGTTATTCAAATTTCAACGTCTCGCAAAAAATTACGATACCCTACCAATGAAGTGTTGGGAATATTTTGTTGTGTTTTCCCACACAAAAGTGGAAGATGTGGTGAATGAAAAAGCTGCAATGGCATTTGTCCGTAAGTTTGTATCATAGCTCGTAGGGCAGAGGTCGACAATTCGTCGGATTCTTTGTTTATACCATTCATTGTGTTCACCCTGTATGTCTATAATGTCTACGGTTATGATCCAAATTTATAAAGAAACAACACCGAGGAACATTAATCGAAACAGTCATTAATAAAAATTCACAGTCCATGCATAGAAAGAAATATAGAAGTGATTACTAATCAGTTCCTTAGAATAGTGCCTCCCACCTTCGCTCAGTACAACCGCCTTGTTATTAATATCAAAAAAGTAGGACAAAAAAGAAATGAATAATCACACGATTAAGCAAAATACCGCGGGATGAAATACATTGATCGCATCGATCGCAGCCTTTCCTGTTTGCTTATAACCAAAAATCAGATCAATCCAATAATTCAGCGTTGAAGAAACAATGGAAGATTCAAGTGCCTGTCGATGAATAAGAACAAATAAACGTGCTGATCCTTGGCACCTAAAATAATCCAAGAGATAACTGAAATATATGTGACATTCTGGAATGTGACGTAAAAGAGGTATTTTAGAAATTCAGGATTTCGGACTTACAAAAATCCTAGCGCCATCTTCGTTTGACAATCCACCAGTTATCAATGGCTTATCACTCGTTCAAATATCATAAATGGAATACATGAATCTTCCCATGGCTTATAAATTTTTGGAATTTAACAGCCGTAATCGATATGTAAGAATTTACAAAGTCAAAGCAATACCATGCCGGTAGAATAACATCGTCCACAATATCGCCATTCTGGCGTACTCCCAAATTCAGCTTTTCTTTATTCATCAAGAAATCAGGCAAATAAAAGAATTCAGGGATAAGTTCCTTGAAATCAGTGGTCGAATCAAAGCTTGCCAAGCGCCATAAGGTTTCAATTGAATTGAACAACCGATCAGCAATGTCGAAATTGTTGTCTGTAAAATGAAGTAACAAGTTGTTGCCTGTAAAATGAAGTGACAACAGCAACAAGCTTCCCCTATTAATTTGGAGTATTCAATAGTCATTCTCCAATGAACTTTTTTAATTCACAGTTAGCCTCTTTCTTGAAGATCCGAAGTTTTCAAAAAAAGAATTAATACAACTCCATCCATCTGTGCTTTTCAAAAACTGTTTATCGAGTACTCAACTATAGGATTAACGTAGTCATTTCTTAAGCTTACTTTTCAGCTGTAGAGTAAACTGTGTACAGCAAAAATATAAGCCTATTGAAAAATCAAAAATTCTAAAAAATCCCAAAGCCAAAAACAATTCACCTTGATATTCAAGTGCAATGTCGGTAAATGGTGGTAATCTAACAAGATAATGTGCAACAATGCCTATATTCGAGTAATGGCTTCCATAATGATAAGGTCCCAGTACGAATGGTGAACCACAACCAGGCATTGCTTGAACTTCTTCGCGAGCCAGATAGCTGTATTTTCGGAGATAGTGTTCTTCTAACCGCTTATCCTGAATTGCCATTGGGCGGCTTAAATCCCTGCAAATTCATTACTTCCGTGTGTAAGAAAAGTGATAAATCATTCATACTTAAGCTCGCAATATTAGTAAACAAACAGATAGTGTAATTTGAATTTGCTTTTAACTTCTCCAAAACTTCATTATAGAGTGTGTTTTATGACAAGATTTATACTGTTGTACTCCACATTCGCGGATAAAAACTCTTAAAGGTTTTCTGCATGAAAAAGTCCATATATACATGGAAGGTAATCAAAAAATGCTAGAATATTAAACAAGATTTGGCTTTATAAGTTTAACACTGCCATACATTGGCAAACAGTGCAGTGTCTAACAATCTGTCAATTGGATATGAAACAAATTAATCACTTCGAAGTTATCGAACTGAATGTCGACCATAGACAACAGTCCTAAAATGTGTGGTTTTCAAACCATTTTTGGAAATTTAGTTCAAGACAGTCGCATTACTTTACTAAGTAACGTTATAATCGTAATGCTAAATTTGTCAAGATGACCCTTGACATGATCATATTTACTTTTTTCAAAACAGTAGATTTTTAGGTGAATAAAACACCACCAAGAAAATTTATATGAACCTAAATGACACTGGATTAGTGAGATCCAATATATTGGATTTATAATCCGACAAAACAAATGGAAACACTGGATACTGCATGAGATCATTATACGAACGACCAGCCGACTTATTTAATTGCATCAAGTATCTGCAATAAACGTTACCACAAAGTAACTGAACGATAAGCGTTTTTGAGCAATTCATTTAGTAACTCCAACTTGCTTGGACATTTCGTAAATTCAGGAGTTAACTTTAATTACTAACAAAATTTTGTCGTGGATTTCAAACAGTGCGCTGTGTCGAAGACAGTAATGCTTTCAAACTAGTAAAAGGAAAAATCGCGCATAAAATTAAATCTTTGCACAACAAATTCTAACGACTCTGCATAAAAACTGACCTTACAATTCCAGCTCTCTCTCTGAGAAAGAAGAATTAAACAACGCGAGTTTGCAAAGAGATAGACTGAAACGGATTTTCTGTAACAAAACTAACTCAAAATTTGTGATCGTTCCTTCTCGCCACAATTGTGCAGCTGATTGTACAGATACATCCGAAAAATCGGATAATTTACATAAACTGGATGAAAGTATTTGCCAACCAAACTTATCGCGTTTCTGAAAGACAACTTTTTTGGACAATGATATACCCTATGCTTAAAATACCTTGAGAATACTCTGAGGAAATTATTTGTGATCAAAGAAATTAAGCTGACCAGACAGAATTACTGAAGATGAACAAAGAAGAAAAAATGTTTTTAATAAAGCAAAATTAATTTAAAATGGAGAAAAAAATAAGCAAAACTTGTCCCAAGTTTGTTTCAATGGCTGATTACTAGCCTCTTGTTCTTCGAAAACAAACAGATAAGTTTGGCCATCTGACAAGAAAATTTCCAAAGCAACATCTTTCAAAAGATGATGCCGTTTGTAGATTTCGACTACATCATCGTAGTTCCACCGGATAAATAGTTTGTTGGCCCGGCTTAACCCCTTCTAGAAGTGAAATCATGCAATAAACTGCGATTCAAAAAGGCTCATATTAAATAATATAATAAACAAGAGCAAGAGCAAAGTCGCTTCATATGATTCCGCCACAAATAGTTTAACGCATGCAAAGTAGCATCACGAATTCAAATGAAGAATTTGCCTTGCAACTTGGCTTTTACAGGAAACAGAACATTTGTATGCTAAGTAATCATTTTATTAAACAAATCAGCTGATGAATGGAAATGTGTAAGCAACTAAATAGAAAAAGCAAACCTGAACGGATCTTGTGAAATCACTATGAAAGTAAAATTTTTTGTCGCCAACAAGAATTTCTCCGCTACTTTCAACCGTCGATCTGACAACCATGGCCGGTAGTGATAAAATAATGCTTTCACCAGGTGCTAAACCATCATCCAAACACAATTTATTCATGTTTCTTCTTATATCACTCTGCAAAAAAATACATAAATTTAGTGTATAAATTGAATCTCTTAATCTATTTCATATTTAATTATAGTTCCAAATGTTCTAGGGCAATAACAAGGCTATTAACAAACCGAATCCACTTAACAGGTTAATATTAACACAATATTTGATTCAGCACAAATAAACTAGAGGAGAATAAATCGCTTATTTTAGCAGCTCAATTTTCATATCTTTTTATCAAAACGAAGTTAAACAGTTGTTTCGAATCCTGCATAGCTTTTAATCATTGCATGACAAAATTATTTTTCCTTTAAACCAACCAATAAATGAAATAGAGGAGGAGATTTTTCTCGTTTTTTGATTTTGTTTTGAGATTGTGGCCGCAAAAATTTGTTGTCGAAGGACAAATGTGAAGGTATCAATCTACGACGTTCTCTGTTTAGCCCTTCCGTAGGGTCAAGTGCCCAGCTTGATGGCCACGATTCCGAATCATGACAAAGACCTTCTGGATGACAAAGTTCTGTCTGTAATATCTGATATTTTCGTGAAAGAGCCAAATCTAGGAAACCTAAGATATAATGAAATAATTAAGAGATTTAAGAATTTCACAAAAATGACTGTAAAGTCATTTTGTAAATAAACCTTTATTTAAGTTTTCAACATCAAATCATCTTCTTCGACATGTTTTTTTGATAATTCGAAATAGCAATGTTAAAAAAATCATTTGTGATACTATATTTTGTGATAAACGAGTTTACTATATTTTAAGACTACACGCAGTGGTAAGTCCCATTTGTTCGAGAGTGAGTAAATGAGCAATACAAATTATCAAGCTAAGAATACTCAGTCAATCAACCCCAGCAAAGAATCTCAAAGAATATATCAAACAAAATTACCAATAAACCGTCTAAAAATAGATCAGCAGCCATATTTCTTAGTTCCAATTCTTGACAGGTTTTCATGAAATTTTTTCGCAGTAAATTTTGATCTTCTACAACTCGACATGTCATTTGCATCGCTACCTATAACATATTAATAATGTTCTCCCTATTTCAGTTAGAATACATATACTACAGTTAGCTGGATAAAAATGACTGAAATAGATGAAAAACAGCATTGAGATAAGTATCATTCTACATTTGATTAAATGCGATATCCGTGTTCTATTTAATGTGGCGTTCGTTGAGGAAAATCACTTTTTTTTATAGCATTTGTCAGAAAAATTGGAAGAGAGCATTTCAGTTTAAACATCGCATTAACAATTTGACAGAATTGTCTAAAAGTTAAATAATTTAATAATTCTACAATAACTACAACCTCGTTTCGAATCTTTGTTTGTTGCTTTTCTTCAACAATATAACGAGTAGCTCGTTGTTGTAACCTTGCTAAAAATTTGTTTCGATATTCTATATAGCCACGAACTGCCAGTGATTCGTTCATATTCAATGATGCAAACCGATCTAGAAGCAATTTATAAATAATATGAAACAATAATCAAATAATAACTTTGTTAAACTGGAGTATGTGAAAACAGAAGCTCGGTAATCGCAGTCTCGAATTCACTAGATTAATAGTATTGACTGATTATCTTATGAATAAAAACACAAAACATCTAGCTTAAAGAATGTCCATTTTTTCAATTATATTTTCCTACAAAGTATCCGTTCTAACACTAGAGATGCAAAAATGGTAATTTTCTCCGGCAATGCACTAATATACGTGGTCTTTTTGGTCTCAAATTCCAACAAATTTCACTGTTAGGTGTGAATGTTCTTACTGCAGTGCAGAATGCACCGCGAAACGAATGTCTCTACGCGATCCTAATGGAAAAAATTTTAATACCGCTATTTAAAGTCGCCAAAGGAGATTCGATTTGTAATTCTCTCAAAAATTTAATTAATTTTTCAATATCTTTTTGAATGCTCGAATCCTTGATAATATCCAATAATGCCAATTCGTGCAATGACAAGTTTAAGGCACACTGGTATTCCTTAAACAAATCGTAGTGATGATGATCACCGAAAAATTAGACATGTTTTCGTATTCGAGTGTAAGTTATTCTTATCTTGAAAATCAAATCCAAAAAATTTTTTTAGTTAACTTCAATATACGAATAAATATTAGTGACAAATGAGTGGAGATGTTTTTGAACAATAAATAGAGAAATTTCCAAGCTAACCAAATCAGTATCACGAAGGAATTTCAGGTGGTTTCTGTTCGACACTAATGTCTTCACAATCATCAAGCGTTTTCGCATTTCCCAGCTGCTTTCCTGAAGAAATCGTCCATAACTTTTGGAAGTAAAAAGTATAAAAATTCCTCACCAGATACAAAAATTGTTTTTAAAAAAGAAAACAAAAGGATCCTGTTGTCTTCTTAATTTACTTAAAGAAATTTAAACTTGTTTTTGAAAGAGATTCAAAATCTGTTCTTTGACATCTTATAATAAAAAAACCAACATTTCTTCCTATATTCGATGCGGATGAATTTAATTTTCTAGCTTTTGCTGACGCCGGAAAAAGTACAAAAGCAATAAGTAGACCAAATAAATGTTTAGTACGCTCGCGACAGATGTTAATTAAACGCTGTTTTTTGTTAAGATGCTTAAACGCTATCACTCGTGTATCACCCTAAAAAACTGTTTTATAGTTAATAAGCATTAGAATAAAAAAGTACATACGTAATCTACATTTCCAAGCAAAACGAATTAGACTCATACAATACTGGATGACAGGTAAGCAAATTGAAACACACTCAGAATTTCTGAATTTTTCAAAAAAAATCAATGAAAGCCTTACTCGCTTGCAAACTAGAGACAGAAATGACAGGAATATTTCAAATAATTTCACTTCTTGATTTGTAACAGCTTCAAGTGATTTCATTGGCATGTTAGTAAAAAAATGTGAAATTTCAGTGATACAGAATATCAGACGATCCGCGCACTCATCTGTTGAAGGCAAGCACTTGCTATAGCACTTGTTATTTTTGTAGGTACATTTTCTACCTGAAACGTCTCAAAACTATAATTTATTTTTTTTCTCGACTAAAATTCTAAATGAGTTCCTTAGCTATAACCGTTATGCATGTCTTATTTCTTGCAACTTCTTCGCCTCTTGTCCCATCTATGTTATTAGCAAGAAAGAAGTTCTCAGTTGCTCAAAAGTGAACGAAATGCACAGTTACATCTAGTCTGATTCAGATGTTTTATAAGCTAATATGGAAAGCTTGCAACAAGAAAAAATAGATACGTTCGTATCTATTTTTGGTTCACAAAATTTCTGGCCCTACAAAATATTAAGCCAGTTTTTGAAATAAAAAATGGATTTGTCATGGTCATTATCAATCTTAGAATAGGAAACATACAATCTCGAAAATCAGCAACCCTTCCAAGTATTGTGGAAAGAGTTTCAGAGAGAAAATTACTGACAAGCGAGGTATCACACTGTGTCCTGTTATTCACTACATCATCACTACTTTCTTGATCAGCAGCTAACACGTCATTGATCGAATCCCAGTCTGATTTATCTGAAAAGTGAAGGAGAAAAAAACAAGCATCGAAATTCTCGAGATTTTTCTAAAAATTCTTGTTAACAAAAAGGACTTTACGCAGCAACGGGATTAATTTTCTCTTACTACTACAGAAGTTTTCAAGTTTGAAAACTTGCTGGAAACTGCTTTCGCTTCAGATTGTGAATAAGTTTCTTAGTATTGAAAATTTAGCTATAGAATCAAATCACCATTCTGTGCATTAAGTGAAATAAAGTTAAAAAATACGTTAGTCTTCAACAAATCCACTCGTAGTTCATATTAAAATAAAATTTCAGGATACTTCAAAAGCGGTATAGTCCCAACAATATCAGTAACCGACAACAAAATTTTACCATTATTTAGGTAAAGTTCCTGTAGCACTGTTAACCATAATCCATAAACACATGTAAGACCTTGACGAGTGATTCTTTCGGAATGGATGTCTGTGTACAGAACTGCCATTTCCAGTAGCCATTGCATATTTTGACACATACTATACAGATGCGAATTGCTAGAAAGATTATTTAATAAATACCGTAATCAAAAACAGAAAGAGAAATTGAAATTTTCGATATAAAATCATGCAAATTCTTTTAGTTCAACAAACTTTAAATACCCTACCGGTATGGCAAACACAAGCGTATAATACTCCACACGATACCAAACCAACATTCCATAAAGGGGGCTGTTGCACTCACGTCAATCAAATCGATTGGACTAGAGAAAAAATTTCATAAATTATGTCTAGAACGTTTACTAAAAAATATTCAAAAAAATTATCTTTAACTGATCAATAAAGTGACTTTTACAACTTAAAACTACATGGCATACGAGGAAGGAAGTGAAGCAATTCTTCTTAGAATAGAAACAACAGTGGTGCATAAACCAACGTCCATCATTGCTTGCATCAGCATTTCGTTTTCGTTAAATAACTAAAAGAATATTTCGGAAATGAACTGAAATATTTTCAGGAACTTCTTCATATAAATGTTACTTGAACATGCATTTCATTACTTTTAATTTACTTTTAAAGTATTTGTAATGCATTTAAAATATAACCATTCCACTACAGATAAAAAATGAAAGATTCATTATCCCTCAATTTTGTTATCAAAAGGTTGAATTAAGTCGTTGCAATACTATATTTTAAAAGTTCTGTTAAAAGGATGAGCCGGGGCATAACAAAGAATAATAACCAAATTAATTAACCGTTGTTAGCATAGATGAAATATTCCAGTATAAATGCAAGCTCGAATGCCGAACGCTTTCTTCCCATAAAACAAATATTGCTTTCAGTGATAAGCATTTGAACTGATTTACTTTTAAAGATGATACATGGTCTGAGCCTAGACTGAAATTAAAACGTTCGTAATGAAGATAGATGTAAGAAGAAACGGAAAAAAAATTGTCGTACAACCGAGTTTAACCCTATCAAACAAAAATCTCACCTTAACCCTATCAAAAAAAATTTGTTATCCATCAACTTTGATCAACTTGACATCAACTTGACCTTATAAACTTACTCGTCGCTGAAACGAACTGCTTCTTCAAAAAGCAAGGAGAATAGTGATGAAGCTATTTCATCTGTCGCAGGGTAACCTTTCATCTGGCTGGAAAGTAACTCAAATCCATCGTTTCTTATGAAATCAAATCGCATCGCTGAATCTGCTCGAAGCTAAAATTTTGATGGCTTGAAAAATCAAACGTTTTTTAAAGACGAGTTCACACTTAATGAATCTTTCCAGAATATTTATCTGACGAATGATTCTGCAATTATGTTTCAGCAGAAAAAAGTTTTTGCAAAACCACTGAAGTTGCACACTTCTATGAAAATTCAATACGTTAAGAAAGACAGAATACCAAAATGTGCTTCAACAAACTGAACACATGATCTCGAAAGCGCTCATCAGATTGATTTGTTAAAAGAGCTATTATAGCTTGCCACGATATCTTCACGTTTACAACTTCATTGAATGATGCATCTGGAGCATTTTGAACAACCAGTGCTAACTGTTCCAAACATCCTAAAACAAGTTTACCATTCATCAAAAAAATGAAAAAAAATATTGAAAAATAAAAAAGAATATTGTGTTTAAAATTTTCAGATCATTTTACGCTTTTAAAATAACAAATATTAATGAAATGCCAAAACACCAGCGAATTCAGCTAATGAGGTTTAACTTAGTATTAAAAAAATATCATTGCAAGACAAGAACTGAAAAATGTGGACTTTTGAATATGTCGCATCAAATGAGGAAATAGAAATGACAAGAGAAAAGCTTTCCAGTAATGCGTGTCTTGCTCGCTGTGTAACTCAAGTCGGAAACCACCATGTCAGCTCTCGAAAAACATTCTAAACTCAACTATTGTTTTCCACTTGACGACTTGAAAGTGATACCTCTTGTTAATCTTTTAGAAAACGATACATAGGAAACTGAGGAAAGAAAACTCACCACAACGAAGATCACAAAACCAATTCACTAAGCTTTCCTCTTTCGTAGCAGCTAATTCGTCTTCACTGCTTTTGTCTGATTTGGTTTTCGCTTCTTGTAAATCGCAAACCTAAATTAAACTGATTTAATTCAATAATTTAGGAGTCAGATTAAGCCAAAATAATCGCAGTTTGTTTCATATTCAAATAAACTCGTCTCCAGTTTATAACGTTACAAGAAATCAGAAATAACTGTCTATGATCAACAACCAATCAAACGAAACAAATATTGTCTTTATTTGCAGCAGAACAATGCTTACTGATAGCAACATAGATCAGCCCAAAAATACAGTCATTAGGTAGGCATATGGCAACAAGGAAGACACATTCACCGAATGAAACACTAACCAAATCCAATCCACCTTTTTTGTATGCAATATCGGGTTGTTTTGAATCAGCAGAATTTTCAGCACGATCTAAACATGCTGCTTCATACATCTGCCGCAATTTTATTACTGAACGTTCTTTGGTCCAAACTTCGACAATGCGACCTGCAATATTGTTCCAAAACAATAATAGCGGAAACTGGCTGTAACTATCTTGATTACTATTACTGCTCTGACTATTGATCCTGCATTAACTGCGACCAATTTGGAAAAAGCATACAGATAAAAATGAGATAAAACTTTTCATTTTCTGAAATCTCTAAAAAATTTTTGATTTCTATGAGCTTGCAGTGTGCTATGATTTTGATTAAATGAGAAACTTTTTCAAACACCTAACGAAAATTCAGATTTTTACCAAGTCTATAACCTTATGATATTGTGTGAGACCACATGCAATAAAAAAAATTAAACGAACTTTTTTCAAGAATGTTATCATAATCTTTCAAACGGCGCACTAAATCGGTATCTCCCAACAGATCAAATTTACTTTCCTCTTGTGATAATTCTGCAATTATATTTCATTACATCTGAGAATTTGATGGCTTACAGTTAATTAGTAAGATCAAATTGACTAAAAGTTGAAAAGGATGGATTTATAAATCTTCGTTGATTGTAAAGAATTGTTCCCGACTTCTAATCTTCCTTTAGAAGCAAAACTAAGTTATAAATAGTGCACCTTGCTGTAACCAATGAAAATGATCTGTACAGTCATAGGTGATGTATGTATGAGCAGCTGGATGAGAAAGAAATATGAAATTCCACAGGTGAATTATTCCTTCGGCTACTGGTATTGAACATATCAATTTACAGATAATCGTTAACAGAGTATCAATTAATGGTGCAACATCCTGCATCTCAACTCGGTAATTTTTACCATCTTGAAGCATTTCCAAAACGGCCTGAAATCAAGTATAGGAGCAATATCTTGCCATATTTTATTAGTATTAATAGTCAGTTCCAATTCAAAAATCTCAGATAATTCTAAAATGCTGTGATACGGGAAAGTTTTTTATTTATTGAAAGAAAGTTGGGAAATCACGTTTTATTAACGATACTACAAGAAACTACATTGCTCCTCTTAAATATTCCACTATACCTCCAAATCCAAATTCATTTACCTGGAAAATTTTTTCAAGAAAATTGACTCGCTTCAACTGCTCTTTGCTGAATGCATAACATTCTGCTGTTTCTTCTGAAATGCAATGCGCAATATCTTCTAATATAATGCGCCAATGCAACATTCTTTCCCGACCTTTCCTGAAAATAGATAATGCATTAGAATTATTTACAATATTATAACTGAAGTGTACATGACTATTTCAACTTTTATATTTCAGCTGAAAATAAGAATCGTCAACATAATGTATATTATTTCAGATACCTACGAATCACAAACAACCTGATAGCTAAAATAAGACCCATGATATAAAGATATAATGAGAAAAACAAAATTAGCAATGATAAAAATATTAAGAGTTAAAACAAACCATATTAATGGAGCGCAAACCAAACATACTACGAGCTCTGCATCAATAATGAACCATTCTTTCGATCTTTCACTCTGACATTTTACGTTGTGTGGTAATGAAATGCATGCATTTCGAAACTCCTGGAACATTTCGCACAGATATGTAAAGAAGAGCCTTCACATGTATATCATCATTTTATGCATTCTTTGAAATAAATGAATACCAATAATTTCAACTGAATTTATTAGCATCTGATCTGAATAAACATTACCTTAAGCATTTGGGTACCGAGATGCGCAAGTGACGACGTCAGACATCGTATTACGCAATTATACACGTTTGAAAGAGTATATTCGCCTATGAAAGGGCTAACTCGTCGTAAAAATTGGAATAATAGACGAAAGGTAATTGCTTGCTCATGTGCACTGTGTTTTTGATCGAGAGCCTGCAATTCTTTGGTAGATTGGGAAAAATGCAAATTAATCAAAAAAACGTGCAGCCGGAACTCTTTAGTAAAGTACTGAGAAGTATAAAGGCGCGTAAATCTTGCTAAATTTCCCAAGACCAACTTCAATTTTAGGAGTTGGCTAATCCGAAGAGAGAATTTCAATGCTTTCAAACATATATGCAAGCATATAAGCTAGGTTTTTAATATCATTTCGATGGCAGCAGTAGGAAATTTACCTCTGCAAACATAAAAAGGAAAAGATTTTGTGAGCCAAGCGGTAGCCAGCAATCATCGATAGATGTTTTTCCCAATCGCTTCACCACTGGACAATTCCACTCTAAGAGATGTCCTTCAACAGGAGGTAAGTGATCAAACTGCATTTTATTTTGACTGTTTGGTGAATAAAATTTTCGTTGTAAATATGCCATCCGGTCTCTAAATAATCACCGTAGTAAATTTGTTCATCTGCTCACAAGAATTAACTTCAAAGAAAAAAATGAAAGAAAAATGTTCTGACCATATTATGAATTATGCTTTCATCATACAGAGCATGAAAGCTTTAAAACTACATTTATTTGTGTAACGTAAAAAAGCAAAGCCATATGCTCCAATTATATAGAGATAAAAAACAACTGATTTAAATAGACCAAAAAAACTAAAAAAGCACCTTATAATAAAAAGAAAATCTTGCTGAAGGCGAGCAAATGCAGTCCTAACATCAGCAAAAAGCTCGAGAACTGCGTTTTGTTGAAAAGAAACATTTTGAGAGGACAACAACGACGTCAGTCTCAATATCAGAGAACTAATATTACATGCCGCCAAAGAAATGCAATCACAGCCAAGAGCTCGTAAAATAAGAACTTGTGGAACTCTCAAAGAACCTGAAAGAACAAATAATCGGCTACATAGTAAGTTCACAAGTAAATGAAAAATCTTCCACCATAGAGAGCTAGCCAGTCTTCATTTACAAAGGGATCTATAAAGGGATCTATAACATAAATGAAACCAAAGATCTTTCAAAATCCCCCGAATAAGAATTGTCGGATTTAAAATCTCATCAAAATAGAATGGTTAGAATTATCGGCATTCCTTAATTAATCCGGAAATTGAATGAAATTGAAGCCCTCAACCGAAAAGTTAGTGACATTATTCATTACCTCGAAATGAAAGAATTGATGACAGTTCATATACTATTTTCGAGCAAACCAAATCTTTTTGTAGTGCGCCGAAGCCGAACACAAATGATAATTTTTCTGAAGATTTTGTGCATTCAAGTTTCATATGCATGATAAAACGTTGCGAATTAATCCAAACCTATAATTTGCAGAATTATGGTACAGAAAACTAAATAGTATAATTAAACAAATAAGCAAAATCAGACAACAAGTTCTTATTGACCAATTTTTTACGAAAGTTCGTTCCAAGATGAAAAGTTTGAAACTTTTCTTCGTTTTTAGGAAGGAAAAGAAATTAAAAAGCTGCAACAATTTTATGAAATTTCATTGAATGCAATAGGAAAAAATGTTTGAAATAAAGTAAAAATACTAACATGCACTGAATGCATCGAACCAACAGCAACCATTGACACTACAATGTGATTCCAGGCATCACCTATTAATATCGATCGAAGACGTCTGCTGCGTTTTATTTCGCCATTGAGAGTAATACTTAAAAATTATGTATGTGTGTAATCCTCAGAAAATATATAATACGGGAATGAAGTTTTCAAGCAATGGTCACATTACTTGAAATAAGTGCTGGTTACAAATGCGGTTACAAATTTTACAGATATTCTCCTATTAGTTTTACTGTATATAGTGCTGTTTTATAAACAATAGTTTCATAGATAAATTTACTGCTCAAAATTGGGAAACTTAAAAACTGTAGTAGAAAATAATATCAAAAGATGATACAATATGTCAAAAAAAATTCTTATATGGGAAATACCTCATATATAAAGTGCGCTCATCGGATATCTGAAGCAGAAAACTCAGATTATTAGTATCTACTGAACAAACTGGATAAATTTGCTGGGAAGCATCAACGATTTCCTTAAAAAGAGTTTTGACTGAAACAGAATATAAAAGTGAGTTTTTCGGAAAATATTAAATTAAATTTAGGGCAGTAGAAAATGACACATGAGGAATCAATTGGAATAAGAATATGTACATCTTAGAACAGTGAAAGATCACTAATTTGCTTCTTATTCAAAGGTTACTAATTTGCATATTAACCCGAACTTTCGTCATCTAGTAGAATTAATATCTTAAGCAGGCGTATAAACACATGATTTCTATATTGGAAAGATGTCTTGACTAATTTATTTGTTTCCGGATATAGACACCACGTATTTATAACTTCTTAATGTCGTATTAATTTCTAATACTTGAAACTTGATTAATTCATCCAAAAACGGATGAGTTAATCAAGTCTATGCCACGAAATGATCTTGCAAAACTCAACATTAATATTATAAATGCATCTCATCCTTTCCTGGATTTCTTGTGGCAACAACCAAAACGAAACAGTAAATCCATCGGTTAAACATAATGATCTGTCAAGGACAAGTTTTGCAGCACAACATCGATCAAAAGAATTCTCTTCATATTTAGTGATTGCTAAATTGCTTAGAGATCCAGAAAGTAGTTGGGTGTTATGTCTCTCCTCTGCACGTTCCTCATAAAGTGATGCATCCCGTGATGCTGATTTTCTTGTCTAAAATTCGCTTGTAATTATTCAACAAATTTTAACTGCTAATATTGAAACTACGATATTACTACTAATTTTTGATCAAGTAATTTATTTTGATAAATTATAAGTAAAGTACGAATTGAATATAACAAATGCATTTTACCCAATCGCTTCCATCAAATGAAAAGTTATTTCGCGTTGCTTTTTCGCAGTTAAATCTGACATGAGAATGGATTTTTTGTGGAAAAACATAGATATCCTTTGGTTCAATTTTTTCATTCAACAGTAATTCCAATAAAGCTTCTGTTAAGGCTACCTTGAAATTTGTAAAATTTGTTTCCAAAAACGAAAATTTTTGAGCACAAATTACAAGAGACATATTGCCTGAACTTTGAAAATGTACTATCGAAAAAGTCGGGTTTCTACGCTCGTTATTTTCTTAGCCGTTTGTTTTTTATCTTTTTACCGAATCTATACTAGATAATAATTCCGCATTATGAAGTGTATTTTCCGTTTTATTCAAACAGAATAAAAAACTTGTGTGAATGCAACTAATTGTCACCTAGATCTTAAAAGCCGTTTTGATATTCTTACTAATCTAAAGTGGACAGAAAAGTCATCTTCTAAAACGTTAAATACCATTTACCTGTAAATAACGAGCACTCCTTACAATTGCAAACACATTTCGTATATCTAAAGGTGTAAAATTTGTGGAAGCCAAATCAAAATAGAGCGTAAGGAAAATCCGAAAGCAATTCCAAGACACTGATATTTCAGCTAGAGTTCGCAGCAAATGCAAAATGAGGTGATTTAACTGCAAATTATTTTATATGAGCATTAGCTATGGCTAATAACAAAAATGAGCATTTGAAAATTTTCTATATGACATTCTTCGAATAGATAGCAGCAATTTAGAATACTGGCTAAATTTCGAAAAAAGTTAGCTGAAATATTACTTGCCTTGCTAAGAAGAGTGCATTTTTCGCTTTTGCCAAATTGAACATTTAATACTGCATGTTGAAGCATACGACATATTTTGCGAACATAATACTCGTTATCGGATGAAATACTACGCTTAACTTGAAGATGCTTTTGAAGCAGTTCTATTGAAATAACAAACAGCTGTGAGCAAAATTTATTGGCACCTAAAAATTAGAATGTAAGATAAAAAAAAAACCAATGTCAGAAGCTGGTTGACAAATGCTGATTCAAAAATAACCATAGTTTGAGATACCATAATATTTTCACATTTTAAAAGCATGCAAAGTACCAAAATAGTGAAAATACATTCGCAGAGGTAGATGCATGTTTTATATTCACTTTTTTTAGTATTTACTTAACGCCAAAAAAGTGAAAATAATATAAGCTAAAAGTGAATCGTAAAAGAAATGGTGTAAAATATAGACCAATCAAAAATAAATCTGTTTCCATTAAGAGTGAACATAAAATTCTAGTGAATTCGAAACCAACTTTTAGCTACTTCATTAACAGATGATGACTCTCGAAAGCGTTTGCTTTGAGTAGGTGAATATGTCGTAAGAAGCAGTACCCGTATGAAGCACTCTAATAAACGCACGTTTGAAATGAGCAACTCATTTTTCAGCAATTTGGACTGTATCCACTCCAACAGATTTTCCTGAATCTTTGTTCAAATTACAAAACTTTAATATGAATTCGTGGGTTTATCTTCTTCCTCCACAAAGTCACGCGCAAACGAACTTCATACACAATCAAATCTATGACTTGATCTATGACTTTTTTCCACTGATTATATTACTCTAAATTTACTCAAACTGAACCAGAAGTGACAAAATTTACAGTTTTTGCAAAAGCGTTCACCTCAGCTGCATCTGTTGCAAGGACAATCCGTAATGACACACCAAAAAGTTGACTTATGCGAAGCCTGTGTGAATGAACCTCACTGGGTGCCATCATCCAGTCCATGGCAATACCAACAAATGTTAAGCCATATTGCTCAGCGTATTTCAGAAACTCAGACGGCAAATCTGCAAAAATTTGAAATCATTTTTTGCGAAGTACTACCCTCAGTGATTACAAACTAAGATGATATATCAAATAGATAAATAAGCAGCGATGTATAAAATAATTCCACTTCATTCTCTAACCACTAAATTAACGAGAGAGTGCAAAATAATAAACCAAATTAAAGACTTCATTATCTTCATATGATCATATTAAAGGACAGAAGCAAATATATATTTGATTTTGAAGACGTTCGAATTATATTCCTTATTTTTTCTTTCTTATTTTCTTATCATTCGACATTAATAATTAAACCTTTTTTATTACAGTAAGATAACATCAATAGCAGAAGATCAGCAACATGAAGTAATGGAATAGCGAAGTCGGTAACTCCAATTAACGTCCAGATATCCGCACTAGCATAAGCCAGTTCTCGAGCAAATCGATCGCTTATTGATTTTGCTAAATCTTCCACCTGTAGAAAGGCTGACGAAACACTTTTAAACAGGCAAATTTTAAAAATGAGAACGTCTTAAATAGGTTTTGAATAACAAATAGAGATTGTGATAAATGATATCTTTTGTAAAGCAAATAAAACGTTGCCAAGATAAAAGACACCTACGCTTTTGGAACTGATCAGTTCATTTCCAATATAACGAATACAGCGTTCACAGATAATATGTACAAGGCTGAATGATGCAGCAGATGTTTCGAGAAGGGTCATAAGTGGTAAAATCACATCACTGAAGTTTTTTTAATATTTATAATCAAGATGTGTCTAATACTCCACCGTAAATACACAACACTTTAAAAGTCTCGAGTGTTATGTTAACTAAGAATTAGCAAATGTATGTACCGTTTGGCTAAAAGAACTGTTGTACTTTTGTTCCATTTAAATTGCTAGCAAATACAAAGCCTTTGGGACCTTTTTCGTATCACTAACAAAAATAGGTACAACTTTAAAAGTAACTGGCCTAATAGCAAATTCGACAGCTTTTTGTCCGACCAAGTGCTCAGCAAGGAAGTCAGCCATCGCATCACACTGTGTTGAAGTAGCGTCCAATTTAGCACCAATATTCCACTGTTCAGAAAGTGCTAACTCAATTTTTAAACGATTCAAAATTGCCATACAGATAACTTCTGTATCTTGTACAAGCAAAACTGAAAAAATTCAGAACTATTTTTATTTACTAAAAAATCCGAAAAAAATTTTCGATTCCATAATTCCACACAGATGAGAATTCGATTGGAATCAATTTTCTTTATCGAGATATATTAATTATGCGGACCTTCAGATTATGATATATACTTATTCTATCCCTTTATAGAGGTCGCTTGTCTTCCGCGCATTTTACTCGGCGATGCTGGTACTTGGAATACTTGGAATTTATTACTATTACCATTCATAATCTATTAAAAAGTAAAACAGATTTCGTATATCAAATTAATCACTCATATCCATAGACCGTTCAGATGAAAAATATATTCTTTCGATTACCTTCTAAGGCTTCAGTAAGTTTTATTTATTTTCATCGGCTATCTTTAAGTCATAAAAATTATTTTTAAAATCGAATAGAACGAGGTTTCTGCCGTATTTAGAGAAGCGTTTGCAGTACTGAAAGATTACATGAACAAATTAATGAAAGCGTTTGCAAAAGACAAGTCAACTTCGCTCCTTGGAAACTACCAATACGATTCTCTAATGATACCAAGAATGCATTCGATATTGCCATAGTAGTTCTGCAATACTTTTTGAAAGAACAGTTGAAAACTTACTTATTTTTAATTGAAAAACAGTGGAACCTTGTTTTCTCTCTATTTAATATTGCATGAATAGATTCTGGTCTCCGCTATTTGTTAAAAAATTTACCGTCTGTCAAAATTGTGCTGTTCCTTTGCAATAATTTCCGCACATCGGTCAATAAAATTGTCCGTTAGACGAACTGAGAGAAAAGTTGTAATGAGTGATGTAATCTCTATGAAGGAATAATATTCATCGGGCAGAGAGAGAGCACTATTGAGAATTCCTGAGAGTACAGCTCTGTAAATAATGTAAATTTCTCAAATGCAAATTTTAAAGCAACCGGATTCACTGATTAGAAAAGACTAGAATTTAATGTTTAAAGTCATGATTATAAAAAAATTACATGGATTCATAGAATTATATGAAACTTAAATTCTTATTATTACTTTATCAAATGTCTACAATAAAAAAGAAGTCAGGGAATTCTAAATTTCAACAAGAAAAATTTATAAACTTAGGAAAAAATAAAAAAACCAAACTCTTTGGAACAATTTTTTATAATTTCCGTAATAATGTCGTGCACGAATACGTACGCGCATTGCACCCCTTCAAAATAAAATCTTTTGCCGTTCCCCTACAAAATTTATTTGATTTCATTAGAAAAAAATTTACTGCTTATATCCACAAATAATGCTGTAAGTTTTAAGTAGACAGCTTTTTGCAGAATAAAAACAATAAGACAGTTGTGCAATTCTTGATTTACTGCATACTTAACATCTCTTGTGTTTCTTCTTCTAGAAAAGCAAATACAACCTTAAAATTACATCCTGACTTCAGTAATGATTTCTTCAAAAAAGCAACTCGATTCGAAAATTGCACAATACAATCGCAGAAATGGCGGATAATGTCCACACCAAACGAAGAAGGGAGATATTCAATGAAAATAAACAATTCTCCTACTAATGCAACGAACTGTTCTTTTCTACACAACGAAACAGAATTCGAAATGACAGCAAATATCCTCTTCAAATCATGTTTTGATTTAAGAAACAAAACAAGAATATCAAGCACCGTGATCAGTAATCTGAAACAAACACTTCAATTCTCATATTTAAAAAATTTGTAATCCTTCAAACAAAGTACAAAATACACCTAATTGTCAAACTAATATGTTTTCAAGATATTTCAAAGATATATTTGTTTTTATAAAAAGAAAGTATTATTAAGCTGCACTTCACCTGTAATATATTATGATTCCATCGAACAAGTTATATCGGTTAGCAATATACAGTTCATAATTCACATTATGGGAATGTATATAAACATTTAAACTACTAGTCATCTGAAACATATGTTGTTCAATGCAGCGTAATCAAATCAGTATTCAATTTTTTAAATGCCAGCTCATGAACAAGTACAGAACTCGAATGTGTAAAGTTTTAAAAATTGATCGTAATTATTTTTTAAAACCGAGTGCTACCTATGCGTGTTACTCAAATCCTTTGAAAAAAAAGGTATACCTTTGCCGCACAACAAATAATGCTTTCGAGTAGAACACTTTGAAATGAGAAACGTGAGATATCAAATTCATCGTATAAGAAGTTTATCGAACCTTTCAGAAGCAAAGATAACATCACCTTCCAAACAGCAACGGCTTGCTCATTTTTGCCGATAACTATAAGAACCACAATAAAAAGAATATGACTAAATTTGGGTTTTAATATTTAAAAGTAATTTCGAAAAGAAAACTCAACATGAAGTGTAGCTTCAGTTTACAAATTTACCGAGATTTCTGGTGATCTTGGTAAATTTTAGAAATACATAAATTTTAGAAATACATTTGAGGAAATCATTGTGAACCAGATAAAATAACTGCATATTCACCTATTCCTGAAATTATCAGGAAACACAGTGAACTAACTTGGAAAATCATGAGACAAAAGTTGTTTTACAACGAATCCGTAGATGCTACTGTCATCAGTCAATCGAGCAAATATTGATAGTGAATGTGCAAAAATTTCGAATTCGGACTTTATATCAGGTAAATGACCGACAAGTTTATAATACATGATTTCCAGAGTCGCATCTTCGAGTGCATAATTTACCGCGATAGACCCTATGAAAAACCAGATAATTAAAAGATTAACTGATTATACAATTGGCTCTCAAGTTAATCTGACCTTTTGATCAGAGTAACAGAAAGGACTCGATGACTTTTTGCTCATGTGGTAATAGCACAAAACAAACTTTTTAACGCATAAATCTGAATGACATGGACATTTCACCTTTCAGCATCTTGAAAAGTCATTGTTTTCCACTAAACTTTTTGTTTTAGTTTTCTGTAATGCAATATTTTCAGACTGAAATACATCACGAAGAATTGGATCTCCTTACCTAAGAAGTCAGAAATGCTGCTAAACACCAAAAAATATTTCCAAACAATTAAAATTTTTTTTTTCATAATGTCTCAACCTGGTCCTATTGAACTGTCCGTACGCTTCCGGAAATTTTCAGGCTGTGAATAATTGTTTGCTGCTTCATTTGTATATAAATACCTTTAAGAATTGCTGCCGATTCCTGTTCTACTGCAAAACCGTCCCGATCGACGTGAAAAATGTTATCCCAAATAGCCATCTATAAAATCCATCTAATGAAACATCAAATATGATAAAATTTCTCGACTAGGAAAGATTGGTTCAAAATTTTTTATAGACGAAAACTGATCTTGCAGCTTGAAAGGAAATCGTCGTTCGGATTTTATGTTTTTTTTTTGATAAGAATCCACTTTGTTTAATAAGCAGAAAATAAAAAAAAATTTGTGGCTTACAAAATTTCGTTGCTTTCTTTTACAAAATTTGCTATCACCCTTTTCATTTTCCTTAATATTTTCTTGTTCGTTGCAACGTTCACATTGCAAGTCTGACAAGAGCAGTGCATCAGAATAAGATATTTCAGCGGAGAGACAGGAAGATGGGAAATTTCCCAAGTAACTACCCAACTTCGCAGCTATTTGTTTGCTGTGTCCTTCTAATCCTGAAAAAACCCAAAATATCGTTATTCTTACAAATACAGCTGTAGTGAAAAATACCATTAGCAGATTTCAGACGAGTGAATAAAAAAAGCTAGGTGAAGTCAGATTTCAAAATCATTTTGAACTTGTTAAGATCTGCAAGTGCTGTCTTCTGTACTACAAGTGCTCGAATACTGCTCATTCAACACTTTTTTTCTTTCCCTGCTCAAACCGTTTCCGCAATCTATTTTATGATATTTTTCTCTGAATTTTGATATCATCTTGCAAAATGAAACAATCCATTTAGAGACAGAACCAACCACAGCATGGATTGAGCGGTAAACGCGCAACGATAGCAAGTAACAGAGCTGTGCGAGATTCAACCGTTTCATTTACTTCCAAGCTATCCCTCAAGTACGCTAACAGGCTCGTTCGCCAACCCACGTAGGCATTAAGCCCCAGCTGTTGCCACCGTTCACAATGTTTTCCTTCTCCTCCTTGTTTTTTATTTCTCGTCGCCATTTATACATATCTGTAATAAATCACACATTCCGCGATCGCATGCCGCACTACAATCATTCTGAATACTGCCTAGGCTCTTCCGATTAGACCAGAATCGAAAGTTCCACGCACTAGCACAGACCTTAGCTGACGTCAAAAAGTGCATACTGCGACAAGACGCTTGTGACCCTCTACGGCAGACCGGGCAGACTTGTCTGTGCACGCGCCAGTAATACGCGAAGGACAAGCCGCCCCTTAAATTACTATTCGGGCATTCCACGTTTGCATTTTTATATCGCTTAAAAGTTTTATTCTAGCCGCTTACGTTCGTCACGGTATCCCCAAAATCTTGCGGTAGGTTAACTTGGAATTGATGGAATCTTACATATTCTAGGAAATGTGATATCTGTAGTCTGTATATTCTTGTACATCATTCCTGCACACTCGAAATACCTTGGTAGGTCGAGAAAGATGATATCTCGGTAATAACGATACAGATTGTTGTGCTTCAGATTAGCAAACAACTAGGTACCCTTTGAAGGATGATGGGTGAAGAAAAAAGCGATCACTGTGAACAACGGAAAAAGGAAAAGAATTGGCGGAAAATACTGTATGAACGACAACCGTTTGAAGACGAATACAGTGGTGGTAGTGAGTTTTTGAAGGAACTGAGAACAAATAGTGAGTTTGCTCTGAGCATTTCATGTCCTTTAAGGAATTTGCAATGTCACCTTGAAGCTTATCATGATCCATAGGGAATGTATCCCTGAATTGGCTTTTAAAATTTATTAATAATTTCTGAAGTTTCATACAATTTCTGCACATCATAACGAATTTGGTAATGTGAAGGTTTGTTCTGGCATCCTGAGCTTTCACTTCTGATAGTAGATTATTTATCGGTATATTCTCTACACAGTACTAATGACAGACATACTGCGGTGGATTTGAAATGGGAAGCTCGATGTGTTCAAAAAAGATTTGCAAATATTTGCGAATTTAAATTCCGATTCACAGCAGTAGGATAATTCAGAACAAATAGATGTGGGAAGCTGTAATTATACAATTGGTTCAAACCTTCTAACTCTTCAATTTTTTGAATTTTTTTCTTTGTTAAATTCCAATTTTAGTAACAGTGGTGGAATATTCATTTGTGGAAGCAGTATGTGGTGCTAGTCTTGTTATGCTACATTCTAATGCTGTTATATTTTATTATTTGGTGTTCAATTCCATCAAAAATAGTTCCATAAGTTCGGTTCAGCATTTTTCTTTGATATTCGCTATTGCCTTGGTTCTGTACACTGTCTATTTGTATATGATCAAACCGGTAAATCTTCAAGATCACATCTACACTTTAATCACACTTCTTTGTTTTGGCTATATGTTGACACCTGTTATTAGGTTTGTTTTATTATATCTTTTAAAATTGAACCATCGTATTAAATTTCATCGATAGTTAACTTTCATCAGTATACGATGACTGCAGTATTAAAACAACATTTCACTTTCCTATGAATTTAGAAATCTCCATCTCTACAATATAGGGCAGTGGAAATGAAAACTTAATTTTCATAGTTTTCTTTTTGAGGACACTGACGGATACAATTAGTACAGATACTATATATGCTATGTCCTTCATACTCTTTCTCACGAGCTTTATTTTCCATGACTACGCGATGGTTGCACCATTGTAAGTTATACTGTGCAATTCTATAATTAAATAATTGGAAAGATATAATTTGGGAGATAAAAATATGCGCTTAATGCTTCTAATAGGAAGGTAATGAAGTGATCATTCATACTTTCGTTCGAATTGAAAGTATCTGGTCAATTTCTCAAAACAAGTAATTTGATGAAAAAATTGAACATAAGCACAGGTTCCAGCCTTTGTTGTTTTAAGTTGTAGAATTCAAACGATTCCGAAATAGACTCAAAATTTACTGAAAAAAATCGATGATTTTTGCAGGGTTTCAACGATATTATCGGTCAACCTTTGCTTAGCAGCATCAGTTTGTTTGGTTTCTCGGGTATCGTCGAACGAATCTGCATTTGGTCTTCTGGCTCTTTCTATGCTCCTTTTCTCATACTGGCCACAAATGCGTAATATCTTGTACAGAAAATGGTCGAAATCACCATTAATCTTGATCATTTTTTCTTCTCCTCTTCTTTTCAGTGCACTACATCAGCTTTCTCGCTCACTCAGCATTTTATACATATTTGCACTAACGTTTGTTCTCTTAATTTGTCCGTCGATCCTGATGATAATGCAACCGTGGAAAAGGTATGACGAGATTACAAACTTGTTTTTATCTTAAAAATATTTCCCGCAAATGAATGATCAAACCTTTGATAAAGAATATCAAAGGTCTAATAAAATTTAGAATTTGAGATTTTCTTCATTCGTTCTATTATATGTAAATAAAGTATTAATTTTTGAAAGATTTCAACATTTCACCAATTCTAGATGTATTTCAGTACAAAACATGGACCATGGGACGAGGCAAAAGCAACCTTCGAGCGATGACTTCTTGCTACAAGATTGTTGCATTTGATGTCGGTGTGTTCGGTTCGATATGATAACAATACATGTTACAAAGTAATTAGATTTTGAATAGATATTTGCAAAAATTTTATTCAAAACTTGATCTTCAAACTCGAAAATAAAGGTTTTAAGTGTGTTTTGGGTTTGTTTCTTCACTTTATTCAACAGTGTCCACTGAGTGCTGAAATGTGATATAGTGATCTTGAATTTATTCATTGCGTTTGGTTCCAGCAACTTTTCAATATTTAATATTCCGAGATGTAGGCTCTTGGAAATCTGTAACCTGTATTTTTTTCTAGATCGTGTACATTCTGAATACTTCATTAAGTAGAAAACTTTTCAGGATAAACATCTAAGTGCTGAAAAGAGTAAAAGAAACATTTTGGATTCTTCCGCTACTAACGCACATTTTTAATGGTGAACATTTATACATAAATGATTAAATGATTAAATAGCTGGAAGCAGGAAAAAAAGCCTAGGTGACAAAGATGGAGGTGGTGGACCAACATGGACATATAAAGTGCTGTCGAGATTTCTAAATATAAAAGATAAGGGAAGGGAAATCTACTCTTTCATCAAAATCTTATCACTGTTCAGATAAAATTGATTTACTCGCTTCGTTTGATTATAATCGTTGGAATTCATTACTGGTATCAGTACATTGTTGGGCGTCGTAAAGAACAAATATAATATAGATATTCTCTATCGGATTGGTTAGTGAAGATCTCTTCTATCTCATTGTAATACTCTTAAAAACATGTTCATTTCAATAGATTTTGTCACAGGATTGCCATTACGAAATTTAGGAATTTACAAAGATCGGCACAGTATCTTTTTTCTTCCATTCGTTCTTGCAAAAATGTTGACAATGCACTATTTCTACATTACTGCTAGTGTAATTTCCTTTAATGTTATTGACTATTCCGATCACCAAAATCATTAACTGTCGTAACACGCGCACGCTTTTACATATGTCAATTCATTTTTGAAATAGATGTTTTCGCCATCATTGCTATCAGTATTTACTGAATTTGACTGAACCACTAATTTCATTTAATCATTGAAATGTAATCTCACTATAAATCCCTTAAATTTATGTAGAAAAAAAAGAAAAAGCCCTTCTCAAGAATAGCATTTTGTTAATGTTTCGCACATTATAATTGCATTCCTTCATATTATAAGAATGTAAATGTAAATTTTTCGAAAATTTTAAACTTATTTGAATTTTATGGTTGGTTCGTTGTCTGGGACTTAAACTAATTCGTAACTTAAGTTATGATGTGCTTTCACTTGCTACATTTGCTATTGATAATGGTTAATTCTGAAGTTTCTAATTTTATATGAATAAAATAGAATGATGAGCGCATTTTTTGGTCTATCTAACCTGTCATTCGGTTCTCACTTGTTCGCTTGCTGATTTGTTTGTGTAACAAATGCATTCTTCTTTCCAATGAAATTAATATCTTATGAATGGAACTTAGAACCTGACAAATTTCAGATAAAAGGTCGGGGATGTATAACATTGCCTTTATCATCACTCGTTATTTCAGTCTTTTCCTTTTTTTTCCATAAATAATTTCCAAAAGCGTGGCACCAACTGATACAAATGGATTCACAAGTCAAAATGGACTGCAGGAAAGATATGATTTGGATTAACGTTCTTTATCCGACTTTATTGAATCTTCTGGAATTAAGTTAGAAAATCTTGCATTTCAGATTATTTGAAAAAAAAAATATTTGGGATATAATGCTTCGTTTGAGCAAAACTCAGCAAAAGTAATGAACTTTCTGGGCGATTCAAAAATTATGGTTGATGCTGGGGACAATTTTTTAAATTAATTCTTAGAATTCACTTAACCTGCTTTCAAAACTTCATACCATATGTTGAAATGATCGAGATTATTAAAAAAAAGATTTTTTTTAAGTCGATTATTTATTAATCGAAATATAACAATGCTATGAAATTTGAAATTGAATTATTCCATGTACCGAAAGATTTTGTAGAAGTTGAATAGGAATGGATTGCTTCATTCATACTGTATCTTAGTTCAATTTTCAGAATGTTCAAAATATTGAACTAAGATGACAAGATAGGAGGTAGGGAATTGTATGCGTAGAGAAATTGCTTCCAAATATTTTATATGAAGAAGTAAATTGCAAATATCCATAATATAATACAGTATTTACAATCAGATAATGTTGAAGATTGAATTAAAAATTCGAAAAGAATTATGACAAATCCGAGATTACATTCGCTAACGTCATATCATAATTAATTTGCATTGATTAATCTTTCCATTAATCATTTCCATCTTAATAATCAATCTATTTGAGGATAACAATTGAGATATAATTTCTTTTTTGTTAGAATTTTAAAAAGTCCGAAAATTCAGATGAAAATTTTCGAATATTTAGCAATAAACTATTCAATTTTTATCAAACATCGTTATCAGTGGCTTAAATAAAAATTCTTATTATTGAACATGTTTAGATTATATCTGCTTAGAAAGTTTTAGCATTTCTCAGTGAAAGGTTAGTCCCCTAAATTGCACAATTGACTGTCAATAACAATATTATTCTTCTTTTCTCTTTGTTCGCAAATATTGACGTAAAATATGTCAGACAGTTACTACTTTTACATTTTCGTAAGTCTTCAATGTTCTGCTGCTGCATTTTAATTAAACAACATTCATATATCATTTGTTAACCTTAACTTAGGCCTGTACACTTCTTTCGTATTCGAGTAGTTTTTGCATTTTTAATCTTTTCCTCTTTTTAAAAAAACCTGAGATCACATGAAAATAATGAATAATACAATATGATAAGTTTAATCAGTAATTTATATAAATATCTAACTTCCCTCTCTATTGCTTTAACTGTTTCAAATTTAGCTAAACAGTTTGAATTGTACTCTATCTCTTTTTATAATCTAAATTGCCAAAGAAGGAGAATCGTTTGTTTAGTTGATTTATTAAATCCAACATGAAAACTGGAAATGAGCGAAAGTCGTCATATCGAACTATATGCTTGGAAGCGGTTGTAGCATGGCGCAGCATCATCGCTTACACACACGCACACACATATATACATACATACACACACACACACACACACACATATACACATATATATATATATATATATATATATATATATGCAAATATCAATTACACAACGAAGTGCCTCACACTGTGTTTATTTTGCAAAAGGGTAATTTCGGTGGTTCCTCGGCATTAATTCTCTAAGGATACGACGTTATTCTCGGCCCGATAACATTATTTCTAGCGCTGTTGCCACTGACTGCGTGGTTCTATCATCGATTCACAATTTCAAATCAACAAAACGACCCATTCATTATTTCTTTCACTAAATTGTATCAAAATTAACTGATAACATCATTAGTATCATTACTGATCGAATTCCATTATGTTCTCTTTGAATAAATAACTGAATTCATTTTTATTGAACAATTTGATCAGATTTTTAAATTTGAATGATTTTCATATAAATTTTACACTTTAATATCAAAATTTGCTCATTTTCAGCAAATTTAATTTATTTAAAAATTTCAAAAATTTTAATTTGTTCTGTTTAAATTATAGGATTTTATTCAGTTATGAGACGAAAAGATGGAATTATTGTCCTCATTTATGTTATCAAAAAATCTTTGATATTAATATATAATATAGAATTGAATGAAAGTGTTGTTGTACCACGTGAGATCATAATAATTCCACTTTATTCCTTTTTTTGAATCTCTTCTGTTTCGTTTCACTAAATGGATTTATGGTAATTTTTCGGAATTGAAGTTTTTTGTTTTATCATAATTCTCAGTGAAATTTTTTAAATGTAATGAATTAATTTTGAAAAACTGATGAATTGAGATTCTAAAAGATGTCGGAATTATCAATAACCCATTCAAGTTAAATCGAAATATTTCATTAATAGTCCATCCAAGTTGAATCGAAATAGTTTGACATTTAATATTTCATGATTCTTTTTTCACGAAACCTGTATGAGAGATAAACTTATCTGTATCAGTAAATATACTCAATATAAACCACCTGAGAGTTATTCGCGTTTACAATCTTATGTAACTGTTTATAGACTTTAAAATTTATTTATTTTTAAATCATTCATAGATTTTGAAATTTCATTTATTGTTTCATATATTCTAACTTCTAACAGTAACATATTTTAAATTCACATCTACCGTTACTTCTTTTATTTGTTGACTCAGACTTTCATTTAAGAATCTTAAAATTTCGTTAATTTTAGAATCTTCAAATCTATGACAATAATTCATAGTTAACGTTAAATATGACTTGACTATGAATCATTTTTTATATTAACGAAGAAAAAAAGCATCCTTCACATTTCATATCACAATTTGAAGAGCAGATTTATTTATTTCCTTGCATAAACGAATCCTTTGCAAAAAACCTGAGAGAGCAAGGGAGAGTCTGTCAATCCTGGATAGATCATTAATCAGAAGGTGGAAAAGATTACTCTATCCCAAGAAAATAATGAACGAATATTGGAGATGGAAACAGAAAATGTTGAACGAATGAGATATTATTCATCAAATTCGATTCCATTCCATTCACCTACTCATCCCATAAAAGTAATCCCTCATCCACCTAAAACTATAGGCCTTTTCTCAACTGCATAATTCAATCTGCATTACGTTGACATATTTCCCTAATTTATTGCGTTATCAATTTTTTTTTCCACGAAGAGAAGACTATCATTGGATGAAGAAGATGAGAAGGAACAAACAATTCATTTACGATTGTTTTGTGTTTATTGAGCGATGAAAAATGATAGTTTTCAGATCTTTTATGGAAGAAATTAGTTGTCATTTTGTTATGTTTGAAAATGGAAAGAACGAATTCGATCCGATCCGATCCGATCCGATTCAGTAACGCACAAATGTATTTACTAACCAACCACTTTTACAAAAATGCAAATCATTTACAAAG